TTATCATTTGAGAACTTTATAATATAATTATAAATCCAAAAAGAGTTGTACCGACCGTCAGTAAAAATCCTTTTATACGTGTTTATGAAACGTATAAAGAAACCCTTTGGATTGGACCTTCGTCGGCATTTTGACTCTTTTTTTTTTTTACTTACAATGTGTGTGTCAATAAGATTGTCGTCGTTTCTTAATCTGGTACGAATTTGTCATGAAAAGTTGTGCTTGAATCACATCAAGGAAAAGGTTTGTCCAAATCTTGTGCTTTACTTATCCAGGTGGATTGGATAGGGTGAAAAAATGTCAATATGATTATGTTTTACGAGATGTTTCACCAAATGCAGGACGTGACGTGGTGCAGGTCTGATAACAATTGGGACCAACAATAAATGCGATGCGGAGGAGGAGATGCAGATTACGAAGAAGAAGCCCTGTGATACTTGTATAAATCAATTAAGTCCCGTTAACAAACCACTGCAGGCAGCTCTCTGGATGGATCTACTAAATTAGCTAGATTTACAATTCACCGTGCAGTGGTCGAGTTCTCATCCTGCAGGCCATTCATCATGACAAAGTATTTCGAATCTGCAGAATCCAGCTCACACCTTGCAGTGCCTGGCGTGGTGGTGGCAGCATTATTTGTGAGCTATCACGTTTCATGTGCTATTACGAATGATGAGGAAGTTGTGTGCAGGCTGGGAGAGGTTTATTACATGATTGATAAGAGATGAAAACTTGCTGTCTCCGAGTGAGTGTGACTGGCCAGGTGAATCGGAATTGAAGGGTGCACACAGCCCACCACAAATGAAATCAACGTAATACAAGTACAAGGGACCCTTCGTTCTCCTTCGTCTCTCTCAGTGCTGCTGATGATCATCTAAATATGTTGTAAAATGTGTTCAATTCAACCTTCACCATTTAATGCACCAGGCAGCAGCTCCATAACTGCTGCTTATTACGACGAAGGAGGTGAGGTGTGTGAGACGAGCCGACCGTTTGATATATCATCGAGAAAATTGACAGCCCTCTGAACAAAACGATTACATCAGCAGCTGGTGTATTATCTTACTTTTCGTGGCATGAGTGCAATCCATTTGTTCAGTTCCAGCTCCTCAGTTTTCATTCCCAATAGTCAATCGGAACTAATTCATTGTTTTTCTATCTGACCGTTATGTATGTGTGTTGTCTCATCGTGGGTTTTCTCCAAAATTTCGTGTTGTGGGGAAAGTGAGACAGTTCAAGTTTGCATAGGTAAAATAATGGCAAAATACAAGCAATTCTATTTCTTATTTAATTAAGGGACTTAGAAAATACAAGAGAGGGAGTATGTAGACTTATTATGAGTTGGGCGAAACTATTAACAATTTTCTGCTGTATGTAGGTGTGGGATAAATATTGTTAATTTGGTTCTTTCTATAATCATTTAACTTGATTGGTGGTTTGCACCCTTTATTGGACATAAATTATGATCCTGCATGCGTTTCCAATTAGAATGGTCCATCTGTCCAATAAGTGAACTCCAAAAGAGCCACTGCTCCCAACGAAAGCGTAGCAGTGTTGTTCCGCCTTTGATAATAATTCTTCTTTTTGTTTGCTACTTAATTAGTTGCTAGTTGTCCATCCATCCACCCACCTCAGCCTCACTCCCTTCCAATATTGACGACTATTAGTACTATTAGTGCACCCAAAATGAGATCGTGTGCTCAAGTGGATCTTACTTAATGAGTTTCTTGTACTTCACGAAAGTAACAAAACGAGGAAACTGCATCCATGGTGTCGTATTGGTGGGTTCTTACGGTGCCCTTAATGTGCAATGCATATGTCATATACATATATTGGGGATCAGTGTTTTGAAGATTTACATGAATGGAGGTGGAGTAATTCTTGGGCGGAAGGACCGGCAGTGACAAAATAATAATAATAATAATGAGTGGCAGATGTTTTCAACTTCAAACGTGTCCGTTTTCACACTTTTAAACAACTTTTGGTCTCCAATTATTTTCAATACCATTGACGCGTGCCATGATCCACTTGCAAAACATGTTAAATCTCGAGTTAACTTTATTATTGCTCATCTCACATTTCCCAATTTATTCCTTCTTTCTTTACCTACTTTATATTATTATGATGGAGATTTTATTTTCCTCCGATTACGTCATCCCTTGAAAGGGCGGTGCATGTGTGTGAGGCAAGAAAGTAGGACGAGAAATAAGAGAACGAAGAATATTCAGAGAATAGCTCAGCCATGTATCGTTTACAAACTGGACAAGTACAAAAGTGGTTTTGTAATGATATGAAAAAATAAAAGATTTCGAAATCACACACGAACCACTTTTCAAGATGGGTCCAGATGTTTTGATTCAATAATCCACGCTGTCAATGAGTCATGGACAGAACAGGATCTGAGAGAGAGAGAGGACTTTTAAAAAAATTAAAGGGCCAGAAGCTGTTGGGCACAGAATACGTTTAGAAATAAAGTTCGTTGTTGGAAGTCACCATACTCTCCATTTCTTTATGTAATAATGCAAAGAAGAAAGTCGTTTAATGTGTTTGCCTTTGCTATACCTCCGAGATTTTATTCTCCTCTCGTGGAGATTTTTAAGAAACGGAGATGTAAAAAAATATATATAACTTGCTAACTTTTGCTTGGATCCTGTTCCAAATTAAAATGCATGTCATACACACAAATCGAAATAACCTTTGACAATTTTTATCTTCACCTTCAGTTAAGATGAATTGAGAGCCCTTGATGTGAACCCTTTTTCTCTCTGGATCTCTACCTGTGATGAAAAGTTTTCTCCTGTCTCTCACAGTCAGTGAATCCTTTATGCAACTCGAGGGCAATTTCGAGGATAAAGGATCAAGGGACTGTTGTAAGGGAACCTCTTTTTCTTAGTTAGTCGTCGCTGGGGATGGATTTGCAATCATGTAGAAATTTAAGTGTATAGAGATTGAGGCAGGTTTTCGTATGAAGTATGAACTACCTTGCGACTCCATCAAAAATACATATTGGAAAAATAAAATCCCTCACTCGACAGAATAGAATTCTTGGCCCGATAATTCCGCCCATTTTTTGGTATTGTTAAATTCAGAAGGATTGGGAAATAAACATACCACGAATGAGAATTCATTGTTGTGAATCACACAATCAATTGTTATTAAAGGAAGAAGGTTGATTGGTGTAAAAAAGGTTCCTACTACATTTTTGTGATGAAACTGTACAGAGTTCTGATTCAAGGGTTGTCAATTTTTTATATCTGATTTTGATCATTTTTAGTTGATTAAAGAAAAAAATCATTTTCTTTTGCTTGACATAACTTGTTGACAAGTTTTTTGCTCATATTTTCCAAATCATTACATATTTGTCAACTCATGTTCTCTCTTTCTCTCGTCATCTATGTATATCTGTGTATCTATCATCAATCAATCAAATTATTCTTTTCTACTCTGCTGATAAGATGAGATTTGTGATGAGAGAAAAAGGTAAGGTTAAAGTTTTCTGGAAAATGGGCTATGTAATAAAAATATCTGTGAAAAAAGGGTTGATTCGAATTTTATAACGTTATCTATTATTTAAAAATAGCTGTTTGGTTATTTGTGAATTATTTAAAATAATTCTACCTGGAAAAAGAACATTCTAAAGTCATATGCACATAGTGGTCTTTCCTTGAATTCTCAATCGATTCAGTGATAACAAACTGTCAAAATTTACTGAAATCTTGCGAATAAGAAAGAGATAGATTTAGAGTGGAACCGTCAATAAATTATGCTACGAGTGACAACCCATCGCAAGCTAAAGCTACACAGCAACAAAGAGAAGATTCACCACACGAACATCTTCTGCTACATACAATTTTTGTCGGTGAAACGCACATGTCGCAACTGTTTGTAATGTCATGTGTTTGTTGACTGGAGAAACATGATTACAGTTTTAACTGCTTTAATTATACTTGCGTCGTTTAGAAACTCCTCTCTCCAGCCAAAGATGAATGGGTGGAAGTCGGGAACTGATGAAGGGGAACATGACCTATGGCAGCATCTGATCTGAAATGCGATTCCACATGTCGTGTCGTCCCCCATTTTGTAGCTTTTAAACTATTTCGACCAAGTTCTTTTTGGTGTCGATTTACTCACTTTTTCTTAAAAGGCAAAGAAGTTCAAGATACTTATTTGTGTGCACATTCCAAAGGCGGCTCAAGGCAGGCACCCTTTTCTAACACTCCGACCAGTGAACAAAGATCAATGCTTGAAGAAATTGAGGCATCGATGGAATGCGCGTTGTTTGACAATATGTACAAGACGAAGAAATATATTTCAACTGACCAGATTTTTAATGTATTTATGAATATTCCATTTGAAAGCATTTAATCTAAAGTATTTCTGAAATACATACAAAAATTTTCACGAATTACCAGACCTTATTATGAATAGCAAAATTTGGGAGCTGCGCATTATGTAAGCTGCTGTTGGATGGAAGAGGGAAAAGTTATGAAATCAGAGATTACGATTGTGTAAAAGTTTAAAAGAACCCACCTGCCTCCACCCCACTCTCTGCACCAAAGGTCGAGCTATACGTAGGCAAAGGTGGTTGACGAAGAATGATTTTTTTGGCTTGTGCCACTCTAAAACCATTCAAGACGACGAGATTTCCTAAATTTCCAGCTGCATAATTCATCGAATAAGATCTATTGTAGTTTTGTAAATGGATTTGTCAAAATTATCAGGCTCTCGACTCGAGTGAGATCATTTTTAGCGCTAATGCATGTTAAAATGTATATTCGGTAATACTATTTCTGTAATTACGTAATTATATAAAAATTCAATTTCCAAGGTGTGTTCTAAGCTAACAGGAAGGTGAAATTGATTAACTTATTGAAATGCAGAGCAAATGTGTGAATGATTTGTGAGTTTAAGACACCTTTCTCTCTGCTTCTGGGATGAGTCTATGAGCAGATTTTCATTACGTTCATTAGACATAAGATTGTTACAGTCGACGGTAAGCTAGGGCAGTAAATAATAATGCAGGAGGCAGGTTTTGGTTGTAAATCAATACCTGAATTAGAGGTGTGCTCACTTCTATTATCTTCATCATCATTACGTTGGTAATCTTCACTGGGAGCAAAATAACAAAAAATAACATCTGCCAATCCATGAATGATTGGGAGGTATGTACATATGGACACCTACTTAAATCTTTCCTTGGAGTGGTCGTGGTAAGAAGGCGAAGTCATAAATTGTTTATACGATTAGTTAACTATTAATTTTATTTTTCATTCAACAAATAATAATTTTTTCGTGCACTACAGAAATGATTATTGTAAGACTAATATTCATCATTTTGTCCTAATTATCTTCATTTTCTTCTTCTACAATTGGGACTGTTGACTGGACTTCAATATCACAATCTGGTCCAGTTGACACGCTTGATTGTGAGAAACTCAAACTTTTATTTCTTAATAAAATTGCTCTAATTTTATCTTCCACAGAAAATCCCATCAAATCTTTCCTGGAAAAATGTTGGAATTTGCATAAGTACCTAACAATTTGTGAATATTATTAGAATTTCATACCGAGTAATTATGCCAATGACTTGATTGAGTCTGTCAGTAACCACCTAGATATGTATGGTTAATAAATATATGTAATTATATTTAATTTATAATTAATTCTTAGAATTAATCACCAAATGACGCAACCCCATAGCCGTAAACATCATGTATGTCCTCCGAAGACAAAAGTTGGATGGGACGGATGGAGCCGACACATTTATATAGGGTTTCTATTATATAATTGCATTAGGTGATCCGTTTTAATTATTCGGAACTATTAGCACTTACCAAATTGACGTAAATATTCTTGTAAACAATGTTTGAACTGTATTTATTCAAAACCATGTTGGCAGTCGATGCATTTTTTAATTTTGTCGAACTGTACTGTTTGATTTAATTATAAATATTATCATAAACTGAAATTAATTCATTAAATTAAAATAACACTGAATACATACTTCTGGATACGAAATTCTCAGACGATCCATGTCATCTTTCTCTATGAATAGATATTTAAATGCATACATAGTTAAGTTCTGTGGTCGATCATTGAATATCTAAATATTTACCAATCTCCTTTGGATCAAATCGTTCCGTTTTTGTCAATAAAATTGTGAGTTCCAAACTGTGCGATACAAGATTTTATTAATTTTACAAATGATGCAAAGTTAAAAAAATTTGGAAATACCGAGTGATAATTCCCAAGTATGTTTTTTCCATTCCATCATCATTGTTCACGACGGGGAAAGCTCCATGATTTGTATCGAGTAGTAAATTCGCTAAAAATTTAACCGATTCTTTCACTCCAACAAATTGTACAGGAGATTTCATTACAGTCGATGAAGTAAATAACTCCAAACTGACTCTGAATTTCATAAACCAAATTATTAATTTAAATTTACTTTCATATTAATTGGCATACTAAATGAAATTACACTTACTTTAGTCCATCATTGTCATACACTTTCAGGTCTGGTTCTAAATATGGGATACATTTAATTTCCAATACTGAGTGATATATGGAATGTGTGAGTAGATCTCCAACGAATTTAGACATCATCACACAAACCATCACGAGGAGGAGGAGGAGTGACATGTTTATATTCGTCATTTCAACCTTTAAAACAGCATACGATTTTGCATACACACAAATAATTAGCTTAATTACACGTACTTACCACCATGACCACAGATGTGATTGGAAGTCTTGACGTGCCGGATAAGAATGAAGCAGCGCCCATTAATGCAAATGCTCCAGGATCCACCCATTCCCACCCCACGTTTTCATACCTTTCCATAATTCCTTTTAAACTGGAGTGCAATAATTCCCCCATGAGTCGTCCATATATTGCTCCAATTGCTCTTATCAGATTATTTTGTTATTAGTATTAGTTAGGAATTTCCTAATTAACGTGTAAGAATTAGTTCATACAATTGAGGGATGAGGAGACCACATGCCACATTAGTCATTGATGTCCAGCATGAGAAAGTCCAGAAACATACAAAGCATGCGCAAATGACTGGAATTTCAAAATAGTTGAATGTCTGTCTTGATAATAAATTCCGAATCATTTGTTCCCATGATCCGAGGAGGAGAGAGGCACCTACACAATCAAAATAAAGTTTAGATTATACATAAAGTTGTATGTAAATGCATGTCTATATGTACGCAGCAGATTTGCAGTACCTTGATTATACTCCCCTGCCTGCAAACTTTGACCATTTTCCAATATTGTAGAGTTCAATGGTTTTTGACAACGATATGATTGTAATTCAAGCGATTTTCTTCCATCGCTTAATCCCTCTTGATGATTTACTTCTTTGCATGGAGACAGATGTAACACACTGACAATAAATGAGGAACATATCGCCTGCGCACAAAAATTATTATAAGATTTAGGATAAGTAGTTTTGTGTCATTCCCGTTAAAATAAAATTACCGCAATAAGAATGACTTCAAATAATTTCAACACGTTTTGAACCTGAGTGGATTGAATGTATGAAAATAATTTCCGCCTAAGTTTGGATGCTTTTAAATGAATGAAAATAAAAACTGCTCCAAGAAGTCCACCAACTGCGCCAATTATTAATGCAGGAATAAAAATCAATAAGCTTAAATTCAAATCGTGCTTCATCTGCAAATACAAAATAAAAATCAGGCAATTATGAATAATATTTTACTAATAATAGCTTACATCGAATAATGCGGATTCTGGCAAGTGCAAAATATTCATTGCGTGACCAGAATTAAATTCACTGATTGTTGTTTCAAGACTGCGCAATAATTCCGTCGTACTTCTCGCGAGGACACAACAGACGAACGTTCGCCAAGTGTCTTTCCGTGACCAATGGGACGAGATCTCCTCCATTGCAAACGTTAAACCACTTATCGGAGAACTGAACGCGGACGCCACGCCACTCGCTGCCCCAACGCAAATGAGTGAGTACCTGCCATAATTCGTGGAGTATTTACGCCATTTTCAGAAAATATGTACAGCTTTAGGCAATTAAATTTTAATAAAATACCGTTCTTGACAATCTCTGTATCGACATAATCGAGATACACAACCAATTTTTGGACAGCAGCCATTTGACGAATCGTTATGAAAACATCGCTGAATTGGTTTTGCCATACATGCCCCCACCATCGCACCAATGTGGACCTATACATGATGTAGTTAGAAAAAATACAGGGAGTTGATGTTGATAGTCAAATTGTGTGCATAAGAAAATTCATACCATTGGACCTTCAAATCCTACTGGAAGTTTACTAATTACCACGAAAATTACGGATATCATTTTACAAATGAGCGTCTTAAAGCTTAGAACATTTCGAACCTATGTATATAAATCGTACTTTAGCCGTTGTTGACCATGATATGATATTAAAGTAAAGTTAAACATACCACGCATCCATTTAATATGCTGCATATAAGACCATAATCATAGGTTTATGTGTATGCAAAATCTAATAATATCAATAAAACGTATAGCTATACCCAATAATTTCTGGTAATCCTGACCCTGAAGCATGTGGACAGAAATAAATTATCACAATTGCAGCTACTGATCCAAATCCACAACTTGCAATTGTGTAGTATATCGAAAGGGACAATGTGTCATTAGTCTGCGGACAATAATTTAGATTAGCGACTAGATTTATGTACAAAATTGATTGTTTGTTACGATCATTACCTCCAATGCATTTTGAATGAATGGAATATAAATAATTTGAAATTTTTCACAGATTAGTCTCAAAATAAATGCCAGAGTGCCAGTTAATATGGACACGATTGACAATATCGTCCATGACTCCATTCGACCCCTGACATATTATCGAATATTATGCGATTAGTGATATTATCAGATAGTTATATCACGGTGGGTAAATTACCTCGGGGGTTCATTTTCGAGCCATTTTCTATAAACTTCACTGTGGGAGGGCAATATTGCTGCACTTTCATACGTTTGCAACGTTTGCAGCTCGTCTTCAGTAAATTGATGCTTGGCATGACGAGGTTGAAAGTCACGACCTTTCTTAAAGAAGCGAAATTTGTCGTCCTTTGGATGAATGCCGAATGCGTCACTTGGCTGACTAGGTAGTGACACGGCATATTCACTTAAGGAACGACGTTGTGCTATGGAATGTTGTAATCAGTATCAAATTTAGTGGGAGTGGACATTTTAAAAATATATTGCTTGTTACCAAATGTTTTTCGCCGTCGAACCAAATCGTCCTCAACTATGCTTCCCATTGCCGATGAGATGAAATGTTTTCAAGATCCTATGCCAAACTAACCACTCGAGTGGCTGAACGAGGAGTATTTTAGTAACAGAAGAAATCCATTCGTTCATAGTATAATTTATTACAGTTTACAAATAACAAAATAGTTTTACATATCACATTTTACAGATTAATTACCCTGTCTGCAGTAAATATCATGAACTTAACTAATATCATTTGTACAGTTTTACTAACTACACGGTAAAACCTGTCATATAACACCTAACTTAAAGCTTAACTTAAAGCACCACTTGTCATAAATAACGCTACTCATGCACATGGATCATAAGTTTGGAATATTTGTGTAAAGTTGACAACCGAGAATGAGATTAAAGCACCAATAATAGATCCAACTTGTGTAAATACACCCGTCCAAAATAAACCACGTTTTCCATTGATTCGCATAATTGTGGCAATTGATACCTTAACGTAGGTAAATAATCCTACGAGCAGTATCCATGATGTCACCTAAATAGAAGAAAAAATATTTGATCCTGTATCAAATATTGATTAGATGATGTATTTTCTTATTTACCAAAAGAACTTGTCCACCAATGGATTCAACAAATGATGGAAGTGGACTCACAATTGCTGCAATAAAAATGTTCAAAATTTTATATTTTAAATGAATGGAAAGCAGATTATAATTAAAATACCAGTGCTCAGAATGTATGAACCAACAGCGAAAGATCCAATCGACGCAAAAATGAGAATCGCCTTTATTGGCTTCTTGAGAAATAACATAAGAAAGCACACGGACGGATTTGCCATTGCAGATAACGTTACGGCCCAATGATAGGTAACGTAACCATAAGGTAGGCACGAATACGATTGTATTGATGGAAATACTCCATTTGCCAAAATACAAATCATTGTTAATAAAATCATCAATGAAACTGATTCACTTTTTGGAATTTGCAAGTTTTCTGTTGTTGGGTCTACTAAAACTGGATAAGAATCAGTATTGACCACATTAGACATTAAAGCTCCTTCTCCAGTAGTTTCCTCTCCTCCTGTAGAGTTATAAAATTGAGTCCTTGGATGATTATTTAGTAGAATAGGTTTCACTTCTGTCGTCGGATGGGCAAGACATTTGGATATAATGGAATCTATGTTTAAAAGATAAAATGCAATTCCACTCAACACTGTCACGAACGTCATCAAATACATGAACACTTCTATTGAAAAGAGTGGTTGATGGACTGCTGCTGCTGTTTTATTTTCCATTTCAGTTGAGTTAGTGATGACCATGCAATTGCGATTTCCTCCTGTTCCTTGGATAACTAGAAAAATATCAATTTTAGTTTTATTATCACTACCCTGTTTTTTTAAATCATTTTAGGTTAATTTAAAAGCAGATAAATGACTTATTTACCTGCAAATATACTTGGGACAAAACCACTCAGGCCTTCACCGATAAAAAAGCATGTCAAATATTGTGGTTTAAATTTCGCCATGAATGGCAAATACATCACTCGGCTAGAACAATCGACTGCTGCCAATATCAACACGAGACCTGTAAAACATTATTTCCATACTATTAATTTTGAGTGCCATACAATAAAATAATTTACACATCTGCTAACCAAAGAACGCAACAGAGTGTTCCACTCCGCCAATGATGGCCGTTTTCATCCAGAACTGCACCAACAGTAGTAAAGTGATAACTGCCAAGCCCATCACGGCGTAAATGCTCCGTTTCTCTGTGACCACTGCTGGGAAAAGTGAATGGAGAATTGTGTAGGCAATTGGACCCACATTTGCCAGCTGGATAATCACAGCCATATACGAAGGGAGTTTCCACCCCTCAGGTAAACGATCCACCAACAGCGGAAGTTCCACCCAAAGGCCATTTACGCAAAGCCAAGTCCCGACCCCAAAAAGAATGCAGGCCAAATTCACGATAATCTGTCCTTTCTTCATCTTAATTGAATGAGTGAGGCTAATGTTTTTTTGATAAAACCAATTAATTTAATTAGACGATCTAGCTCGTCGATAAAAGTTTGGAATTTTGATAACTGTGTTGCCTAATCTAATCAATGTTGTCACATTCTTTAACAATTAATTAATTATTAGCACCGCATTAACTGAGTAAAATTTACTCGCAGAACTCAGGATCAATGTTTACAACAAATCAGATCTCAAAGTTCAACAAAAACCGGATGTGATCTCGCTTCGCGCAGAAAAATTGTGGTGAAGCTGACTCTTCTTTCCCACCTTTACAATGCACGAGTAAGTATAAACTTTACATTGTAATAATTGTAAAGTGAATCAATTTATTAGTTAATTTTTAATGGAATACAAAACTGACCGCAATGTATTTAAATTTCCAAGATTGAAATATATTTCTTAATGCGACGTGATGGATTCCTTTGATTCGAGTGTTAAGAAGCACAAGAAACACAAGAAAGACAAGGATAGATCTGCTACTGCTGGGGACAAGTTGTCGGCGGATGGTAATAAAAATAAATAAATCGTGTTTATTATTTACTTACCTATTGTTCAGTAATTGTTAATGCCCAATCAGTCATTGTTTTTATTGGCTTACAAACATATTGGTGAATGAAATGAAACTGCTGGTTTAAACAAACTTGATAATATTTTTTAGGTTACGGAGGAAGTCCATTAGGATTAAGCCCGGGTATCAAGTTAATTTTAAAAGTGGGTGGATCATCAACGCCGGAACATAGTGATTCTCCAGGCCCAGGAGGAGGAGGACCAATGTCTTTAAGCGTAATGAACCCTCAGTTCGACGTGGACGATTCTCAACACTCTTCACTTTTCGCCCAACATGTTCGGAAATCTAAAAAGAGGGACAAGAAGAGGAAAAAGGATAAGAAACATAAACATCACCACAAGGTTTCATAATTTTCAAAAGATTTAAAAGAGAAATTATATTAATGTTGTAACGGCTCTTAAAATAAATTCTCCCAGGATAAGAAGAGAGGGAAGGAGCTAAAGAGAGAAGAAGATGGTGGTGAAACATCGATGGACATGAGCTTCGTAAAAATGGAGAGTGACCAAAGTATGTCTATTCAAATGGAAGGAGATGACGGATCGTCTATTCAAAGTCCACAACAACAAACGTCGAAAGAACACAAACACCAAAGCAAAACTCAAAAATTCATGGATAAACAACCATTTCAAAAATTATTAGATTATTTATTAAAGGTTTGCAATTATAGTTTTATTTTTGGCTACGCAATGTGAACGCTAAAATGAAATGCAATCGTTTTTTACACAGACGTTGGAGAAAAAAGATGATCAACAATTTTTTGCTTGGCCAGTTACAGATAAAATAGCACCTGGATATTCCTCCATCATTAAAAAACCAATGGATTTTAGTACCATGAAATTTAAAATTGAAAATGAAACGTACATCTCATTATCCGAATTAACGGTATGATAGTTTAATTAATTGTGTTTTCAATTGTTAGAAAAATAGAATAATTAAACGTTAATTGTATGAATTTTAGGAAGATTTCAAGTTAATGTGCAACAACGCAATGACTTATAATCAACCAGACACGATTTATTACAAGGCAGCCAAAAGGTTACTTCAGGGAGGCTTGAAAATGTTGGCACCCGAAAAAATTAAATCATTATTACCGTTGATTCCATCTATACGATTCTTAACTGAGGAACACCTTGGATCTCCATTATTTGGTGGATCAGGTGCAAATGAATCTGGCGACGTCAGTAACTCTGATGAGGATACATTAGATCTGGTTTGTTTGGATCCTACAAAAAGTGTTCACTACGTCCCTCCACATCCCAATGATCCACCGTGAGACTTTTTAAACTGTTTTCCAATTCTAGGAGTAATAATTGAAAGGTACTTAACAGCGGTTATTAAATTGCAGTGACATATGTGGAGCGTTCACGGATGATTTAACAACGGAGGAAGTTTTGTTACAAGCAAGGCTTGCTGCAAGGGAAGCCGCTCATCGATTGTCTACAAAGAAACCTAATTCTAAGGTGCGTTTTCCATTTTTCTCATGATATTTGATTGATAGAGTGAGAGGGGAGAAGCACTCTAATAAAAAATTGTTTTGTAGATGGGATTTTGCAGACAGAAACCGGATGGTAGTACTTCTCTAGCGATATTAACGCCATGCAGTGGGGTATTACCAGGGACTAAAGAGATGCCAATTAGCTTGGGTGCATTGTCAGGAAAACTAACTCATGGCACGACTCAAGTCCATTCCTTCAAGGAAGACAAGAGGAGTTTGCAACGATCAAGTGAGATGAGATTAAAATAATCAGTGTTTTTTTACCGTAATCTTATTTGTTGCGTATTTTTTCAAACTAGCAAAAACACTAGGATATGGATCATTTAGTTCGTTTGCTCCGACACATGACTCTACATTTGCAAATTTAAATCCAGAAGAAACTGAAGTTATTGGGTCAACTTATGGAGAGGAGACTGCTGTCCAATATGCTGAGAGGTAAAAATTGTAGCTCGGTAGTAATTGCAATGATAGAAATTTTGTTTACATTTTTTTACATTTTTCTCCCAGTATGATAGAATTTGCGAAAGGATGTGACTACGCGATGCACATGGTTGATGAAATATTGGACACGATAACAAAAGGTGAACATCGAAAAACTGTGAATTTGATTGAAGAAAGGAAGCGAATAGAAAACGAAGAGATTCGTCTAAAAATTCAGCAAGATGAATTAACATCACAATTAGAAATGGAATGGCAAACTCAAACTACTCCAACTATAAGTTTGGAATCCCTACAAACACTTGGAGATATTGGCATTGACACAAAATTCTTGGATGATTTCAATCCGCAGCAGAGGTGATATAAATAAATTATCATTTCGTGATAGATTTGTATTGTGCATGAAAAATTTTGATTGCAGTGCCGCGAATGCAATGAAATTGCAAGAAACGGCCGAATTGATTGGAGACTTACAAAAAGTTCAAAATGAAAGATTAAGTCAACCACCAATTCCGTATCCACCATACGCTCCTCAAGCTACAGAGATGGAATTGAGCTTGGCTTCGAAAATTACGGATAATGTGAGAGATTAAGATAATGTTTTTTTTCTCGGTTAAATAATTCCATAATTGGTTGTAATACGGTTTTGTATTTACGCAGTTGACTGAGATGGCGAAGCAAATGACACCAGGAGATTTGGTATCACCAGAAGCTATAAGAAAAGTTATGGGGATAGATATAAATTCTGCAACGTATATCCCAGTCACGACGTCTAATTAAATTGGGGGAGGGATCATTATATTTTGGATCCATTTTTAACTAGCATTGACTAAGTGAAGTTGACATTTATAATGACTAATACTTTTATTATTATTGTTTTAAGGTAATTTAGTAATAATAATTTTCTATTCTATGCAGCACTTGCAGCATATTCTAAAAGCAGTATGTATTACATAATATATAAATAAAAATTATTTGATTTCATACTGTTAATAAACGTGTAAGGTCGATTGTGTTGAAGTTTTTGTCACTTTTAGGTAAAATAACTTAAATAAAATTTAAATTATGTATGTACACAGAGAATTGGTACAATTTATTAAAATAAATTAGAGTTTGGCTTATTTTGTAGATTTCACTGAGGTGAAAGTTTGATTGGTATTTTTAGCATGGAAAATTACTATAATTCGAAGTTGGTAGGTACATATTTATATATATAAAAGGAATTACAATATACTTTTAATTATTTAGTGGAGGACATTTCTCAATGATTCGAAGGTATAAGTATAAGTATCTAAAACTATGTTAAATATTCTAATAAATTACCATTTATTCACTACATAGAACATGCTAGTACTTTAATATTCGTTCATGATTGATGATTGGTTGGTGAGGCAAAAGAAGTATAGGCAATTGTGAGTTGTGGTTGTGAAAGGTATTTTTTTTAGTTTTTTTAGTAAATAGACAGGCCGATAATTTTGAATTGTAAGTTTTTATCGGAAAGAGTAAAGTTAAGCGATCGATGTGTAGATTATAGGCCAACGTTTTCACATGGCATTTGGATTGGAAATTCAAGCGTCATACGTATTTAGCAGTGGAGGTGCGATGGATAATTATGAATTAAAGAGAATTTAATTTAATTTTACACGTGTCATGCAAAGTTTTGACATTTGACTATTCAGAGTGAATAAAGCAGCTAAAAAAATGCATGTTAAAAGTTTGTCATGCAGGGAATCTATTCAATTCCACTCTTTGTGCATACATGTGGTTGGGTGGATTGCGGACCAGGGATGTGATAGGAGTGGATAAAGTGAAAGTGTGTGTGCGGAGGAAGGAATGAAGCCACTCTTACATATTTATTCTCTCCGAGTGCACGCTGTATACTAATGATATTGGGCTGAGGTGGATAATTGCATGGTCACTGGGGAGCAGTTGTAGTGGATATCCAGTTGTAAGAGAAAGCAATCCAATGATGCTAGAGTGAATCCGGCAGAGCGTATAAAATTATAATGATGGGTTTCCATCTGTAGAGGTCGGAGAGAGCGCTCTCCTCTGGAAATCAATGTGTATGGTAATGCATACAAGAAAAATATGTCCTTGTTTTGTTACTCGTGCTCTGCCCAAAACAAAGGAGCATGTAATTAGTGGGACAGAAGGGATGGTCGGAGATTAAGGTCGTTGTTCAAGAACATGTTGCGTGGTTTAGAGGACTCAGCAGCAGGTTGGCTATTTTGTAAGAGGAGAATAAGAGGAGCTTTGATGAGATAGATTAGCGTGGCTGGTGGGTGCGTATAGTGGTCGCCAATTTACTTTACCCTGTAATTATGTTACTTGAAGCTGATTTGGTCCAATTATTTTGAAGGTAGTTGAATAACGGGATATGATTCGCGGTGTGTATCTGAGTATTTAATGGTGGAAAAGCTATGATGCCCAAAATGGGACAATATCACAGGAGAGAGAGAGAGATGCTAAAATGGTATAATAATTTATAAGCAGTTTTTGGTTTCTTTTTTTTGTATGGAGAAAGTAGTCGATTTTGGTTGTACATACGTAGAAAGTGGAGTAGACGCATCTTTCTCCTTCTCTCCACTAAGCAGTAAAGCGGTAGAATATAGAATTTATGCCTTGTTTTTTTTGTAACGCTTGAGTTGTGATGCGGCTGTGGAAGGAGAAAGTAATTTCAGATTGTACCCACCACCACCCTCTGCATAATGTCTTTGACTTGGGTCCTTGTGATAATAAATGTTCGCATTCGAGAGATAGAGGAGAAAGGAGAGAGAGAGAGAGAGCAAGGAGAATACTTCTCAATGATTGATTGTCAAGCAGTGATGGATTTCCAAGAGGATGTGTGTACTTCGAGAGGAGGAGAGACTAGAGTGGAGTGGAGAGCGGAGAGAGGATATGTTTGGCTGGCACTGAATATTCAATGAACCAACTGTCTAAAAGAAATCAACCTTAATTAATGTTTGCCTCTACTCGGCTGATGCCATCATCATCATCTGAGCCGTTGTCATCCATGGGGAAATGTCAACACAGAGAGAGAGAGAGAGGGAGTAAAAGTTATAGGCCATGTTTGTAGATATGAGACAGACTGGAGGAAGAAGATGACGGAGGAGGAGGCGAAAGTTTGCGGTGGAGAAAGTATGATGTTCTACTAAGCATATTCCGTCTCTGTAGACACACTTCGATCATAAGGTCGGTGGTGCTGATGCTCGGCGCCGACAACGACGCCGCCGCTGCCTTCACCTTCGTAGGGTTCTTCCGCCCCCTGGCTCGACCTTCGCGTCGTCGTGTGATGGGCATAAGCCAAACTCTTTTGGTACGAAAATAGTTGCCTGAAATATTTACATACTTACGAGTAAAATATGTATTCCCTTCAGATTTAAGTTATAAATCACCTCTCTAAACTGTAATTTTCCGATTGTAATGCAGTTATTTCTTTCCTGTAAGAAGATTAATAATAGATTTCAGCATCTAAAGAAGAGTCACAGCAAAGCGGGGAGGATGAGATTTTTTTTTACCTCATTTGATAGTTGTGCACACGTGTGACGTCGTCGTATTTGTGATACGTGGACTGGAACAAAAGATAAGATGACAACCTAAATAAAATAATATCACGAATGAAACAAATTTCCCTTATCGTATTTATTATTTATTATGCAACCATTCTATCTGAACTCGAATCTGTTGCTTGTCATTCAAGTAGAAACTGTTGGGATCACGTATCTGCAAGAAAAGGACAGAAATTGCATAACACACACTTTTTCACGTTTTTCATTCACGTATAAAAGAAAGGAACTACATTCACTGCAGATTTTTTTCTTCAACCTGTTTTATGGAGAATGAAATTGAATTACGTTTTCTCAAAGGATTTGACTGCGTAGATATCTACACAAACTGAATTTGTGTGCCAACTTTTAAGACAGTTTTGTACGAGTTTTAAAATTTATGCAAGTAGTTGACGGTGTGTGTTAGCATGAATATTGGATGCATGTTTTTACTCCAAACCTTGTCATGCCACTGCCTATTCTCATTTTTCCACGAGTAAAATTAATGAAAAGAGAAAAGTTGGAATGAAAAGAGAAAGGTTGATGATGATTGACAAGTGAATGCAAAAAACTGGATGGTCGTGGTCGTCCTCGTCGTAGTTGCAAACCTCTTTCACGGTCACATCTGTCTCCATCATAATCCCATCGTCCACCTCTTCTTGGGCATAATAATGACTGTAGGGGGCATGTGTACACGTTATGGGGTCCAGGAGGCCCGTTTTGTTATTATATCTCAAAAGATATGCACTCCAACACACATGACGCAAATGGTTCCTGCAATTTTCATATAAATTGTCATAAGTTTTCTGCGCATGAATTTTTTACCATTTTTCCATCTACATACCTGGGAACATTGTGAACCTATAAAATTACATGAAAAATAGTCAGTGCCCATTGAAATCAAAGAACTGGAGTGACTCTGACTCACATCTTTGTAGATCATCCTGAGTCGCAAGGTCTCCGAGACACAATCCGCCTGTTGAGTGAAATTATTAGACCAATGTAATCAAATTACACGAGAGCCAGAGAGAGTATTCTCCTAAATCAATTTATTTGTCAAATTAAATTTACTCGAGGCTAATATTCATTCATTTATTTAACAGGATTTGACAATTCAAAAGGATTTAATGCTTTTGAGAAATTATAGCCATCCAACCACTTTCATCCATTTCATCCTCTCTCTCTGGTAATTTCACGAGAATGAGACCCACCACGGTCCACAGATCTGTACGCCCTTGTGGTTTATAGAAAAGGGGACTCACCTCCAATGTCCAGCCATGTTTGTCCTTGTCGTAGCATTGTATAGCCAAATTTTCTCCACCCGACGGAGCACTGGCTGTGGTGGAGGGGACGATCCCAACCAAAGCACCTCCATTAAGACTCGTGGGGGCTTGGGGAACTAAGGCCACTTCACTCAACGTATTGGCCGTCAATATTTCCAAATGGATGTGGATTATACCCTGCAAATTACCCTCACGTATTGTCACCCGGATCCATTCAAGTTCAAAGCATTTGGACGCTGAATGCGGTAATTCCGTGGGGTAATTACTCATAAAGAAAAGCGCATGGTGAAAGTTGGTGAAAGCGAACGTACCCTTTGGACGACATCGGATAATCGTATCCTGGGCGACCATCCGTAACTTTTTCCGTTGGAGTCGGAGATATCATCGAGAAGTCCGGAGTTGATGGCACGATCACCTTCGCCCAAAGTGATGACATACCTCACTCGGCAGTGATGATCATAACCCGTGAGGCGGTTCAGATACACAAACAGCCTGTCGTCGCTGGCATCCTTCCCGAACGGATAAATTGCAACATTCCAGTCAAAGCCTCCAAAGGTAAAGTACTGCGACTCTGTTTTCACCGGGTTGCTTCCCATGCCCATCCGCGGACTGGGACACTTGTGAGTCGTAGCGTGTGAGCTTATAAATGCATTCGGAGTTCGCAAATCCGTCTCAAACACCGTGCGAATTGCACTCATTTGTAATTCCAACTGAAATTCTCCGTTCTATTCAGAATTTTTCAGAATTTTCATGAAATTTTGGGTTGATTTTTCTGGCTTTGTGCATTTTGGTGCTTACCCGATCTGCAAAGTTTCTCGTATATAAATCTTGTACTGCAATGTACCTTCGATTACCCTGCACGACGATAAAAATAAAAATAACAATAGCAATAAATCTCTTTGAAAGTTGCTTCAAACACGATGAATGTGTGTACCTGTGCAGGTGAGTCGTACGAGAATTTCACGTTTTTTCCACTAAATGTCTCGTTAGCAGAAAAATGTGGATTCAACAACGTGAAACTATAATATTGTTATCATTAAGGGTTAGAATTTTATTTGCCAAAATTAACTAGTAAAAAAGTAGCTTTAAAAATTACCTGAAATCCACATAAACCCGCATTCCTTCTGATGGATTTCTGAGCACGAGATAAACTCCGAGCACTTTCTCTGTCCTGAATTGTACCATTTTTTAATAAAAAGCAAATACAAGACATTTTTTTCCAAAATTTCTTTAGGGGAAAATTACCTGCTGAAAGTTATGGCCCATTTATGGTATCCGAAAACAAACTCCTTTGACGTCACATCTCGGTACCTGAACTCAACAGGAGAAAGCAAGCAACAGTCACTCCATGGCCAACAGCATTGTACGAAATAATACGAAAAAAATAAAATAGAGCACTTACAAGTCCCTCGTCACCGATTTTGTGACAATGAACGTGAACAAGTGAGAGTTATGACGATCAGGTAGCTTGGCAAATCGGTAGAGCAAAGACATTTCTATGCATTATCCGCTGCAATTTATAAAATAAAAGACAAATTCATATCCATTTTCAGCTCAGTAAATTCCATCACAGCGGATGAGCTACATAGCTAATCTGAATTATATGTAAATGACGCATTGTTGCTGTGTCTGGATTGCTCGTAGTAAAACTTGTGTGAGTTTCCTATTTTATATACGTGATTACAGGGGAACCGTAATTATCTCCTGTTCACGCTTCTCCTTGCTCTAATGTAAAAGTTGGAATGATTGAGAAAAGTTTGAATATTTTTCTAATCGTTTTGAAGAGTGGTAAGTTTATGTAACTGGTGCATTTCTTCCTCTGGGGAGGCGAGGGGGGAAGATAAATGCATATTTTTATTTAGTGTATGCATGTCATATTTTTTGAAGTATTGGGCTTTTCATATTTTGCGACACAAGCACCGCACACAATGTGGGAGATCATCTTTAAGATTATGGGATTGTAGAGAAAATACATCCATAAATTTCGTACATAAATCGATACACGACGACTATTCTCAAAGTGTATCATACTTGAGCAGTTTTCTCTTCCTCCTCGTGACTTTTTTGTGTCAAGAACTTTCTCTGTTGTGAAACCGCACTGAGCTGTGATATATACAAAAAAGTCATTTCGCAACAACAAAAATTACTCTCTCTCGAGATTTTTACTCACTTTTATATGTCGGATAAAAATAAATCTAATCTTAATTTAGGTAACTTTGATGCCACAAAAATGGAAATCTTTCTCACACTGGAAAATATAAATGAAAAATTTATGCAAAGAATATACGCTGGAAAGTGGCTACGAGTATAAAAGAAAACTGCCTGCACATGGTTCAATTTTCATCCATTTTTATTGAGTTTTGCAATTTTCCTTGTAAATTATGGAGGTGGAGGTAGAAAGGAGAATTTATGGACCGGAGGTGCGCTGCTGAATCCTTAAATAAGGCTTAAATTAAAAATAATGGTAAATTTATAAATTCCTCCAGCACCAAGAATACGATGTGTTTATAAAGTGTGGTGTAATTGTGGGGGTGATGATGATGACAGAAAAGTGAGAAAAGTGGATGAAATCAAGTTTCATTAGCGTGGAGAATGAAACGGATGCATTAAAAGAGGTGATGGTGGTGATGGTGGAATCCAATTAACCGAACCTCGTTCTTTCTCATCAGCAGTTTAGATGTAAACGTTTAACAACACTTTCACTTGCACTTTCTCTCCATCGGAAATTAGATTTTCTCACTATTTAAATTTAAATTTTATTACCCACATTTTCTTCACTTTCTCTTTCGTAGCGAAATCCATAATCATCGCTGATTACACTGTGTCGAATTATTCACCAGTGTCACGCTTTTCACCATCCTTTATTCTTATCCTCGAATATGGGAGACAATTGATAAACTTTTGCTACCTCTTAATTTACACTTTCTTTTTTTGCATCGTATTAATTTCCTTTTGTTCCCCATTTTTATATACTTTTTCTATATATAGAATCCTTACAAGAGTTCTTACATGAAAGTTTTAAAACTTTATTGATTAGATTTTTATTGTGGATTGAGTTAAAAACCCACTGGAACCACATTTCTGAGTATTTTACTTTCTTCAGGAGCCAATTTTTAGTCAAGTTTTTTTCTTTTTCTTCAAGTTAGTGAAAAGTGGAGATGGGATTTTCCCCTGGATCCATTGTAGTATCGAATTGAATTAAAAATGGACTATTTTGATGTAAAAACTCAAGAGCAACCACACAACTTTTTTAGTTGGCTGGAGAGAAATTGATTGGTTTGAGATGAAGAGGAGAGACTGGAAATTGGATATTTGGATCAAAATTTAATTAAACTTGGTGTCGGGTTTTATGATTTGACCTCGCGGCATCCATTAATGGGTTTAGTGAAAACTGGAGCTATTTTATAACATTTTGTCATCTCATACTCTCCAAACTTGACTCTGACTTAGGAAAGTTGGTCAACGAGAGTTTAATCAAAATTAGGATGCTGCGGATCAACTTATTTCCGTGACTAATTTTATTTCGTGGGATTTAACAACTTTTTTCGTTATATAAATTCATGTATTATTATATTTTTTTATTAAAGCCTTATAATTTTCCCTCGAAAACAATATCTCGAAAATGTTGTTTTCTTATTAGTGCAGACTTTTCCTTCGTGTATCGACGTGGAGGAGAAAATAAAATTTCTCAACCCAGTAAACTTTGAGAGATAGTAATTTGCCAATCTCATACGGGCGATGGTTAAATCACTCTCCACTCGACGGAAGGTCTGTGGGATGGTACGAGAGAGAGAGATGAGATAGATGTAAGGAAAGATAAACACTCAACGTGGTGCTAAATTTATAATATCCGCACACTCTCCAATTTCCTATCTATTCCATTAGCACTGCTCCCCTCTCATTTTCTGTCCGAATTCAATTTCATTGGATCATTTTGATAAAAGTGAAAAGCGAATGGATTTTGACAACATGTGAAACAAAATTAGAACACATTCTAAATTCTAAACAAAAATTGGTTGCGTAACTTGTGACTAAAAAAAACATATTCATTTAGAAAGTCCAAAAATCCATACACAGTCGACTCGACTCGACGATGATGGGCTGTATAACCAGGTCCAGCCCATGGTGAATTTCTCTCTCATGTGGTGAGAGAGGAGACTGTTTAAAATTTCAAAAGGTTGAGGAGGACACAGAGAGGAAACAAGTCAACATTTACACTGCTTAAATATTAATGATATATTTTGTAAATGCTTTCTCCATCTCTCTTTCTCTCGCTCTCCAGTGGATTGGTTGCTGCAAATCTAAATAAATCCACAAAATCCACACAGGGCAAAAATACATGTGCAGAACCCACATTGACTTTTCATGTATACAAAATAGCCAGTGAATGGAGGGAGAGAAGTGTGGATATTTTGGAAGAATTATTTGCTCTTGATTCGTACAGGTTCCAAAAACTTGTTTGGTCAGACACGCGGAATGGTTTGTGTACTTTCTCCTCGTTCTCTCTCTCTCTCGTGACTTTCTCTTTTTTGGTTTGCTATCCCCAAAGGCGATAGAGCTGAACAAGTTGCAGGAAAAAATAGGAAAAAATAGAGAATGACGTTTGACTCAGAAAGACAAGAACACAGTTCAAGCACCACAGCACAGGCAAAATTGCTTCATTATTGCTTTTTTTCTTCTTCTTCGTATGTATGTATGTATACACATGCATGTCAAGGCAATTGCAGGCGGATGCTCCGTTGAAATTCTCTCTCTGTGTGGAAAAGTGTAGACGTGAGCAACAGATTATTTTATGGGAAAAATTCTACTCTCTGAATGTGAATTATGCCATATGTAACCAAACACACCCTGTTCAATTGTGATCAAAAGTAGTATCTGGAAGATAGTAAAAAAGAAAGCGAAGAATATTTTTTTTTGCTAAAAGTGTTGGTTCAAGTCCTCTGAGGAATAATAAAGTAAGCAGAAAAAATATACGTTGCTCAAGAGTTGGAAACTTTTTTTTTCGTCCTGCGGAATTGAAAAAAGTCACTTCCCCAAATACCAACCAACCACTTTAGACATTTCACTGGGTCAGAGCAACAGAATAAAAGCAGGCACCACGTACATGTGCAGGCAACGTGAACTGTAGTTGTATAATAGAAAACAGCAGGGACGGCAGATGTGGACCTGGCTGATATCAACACTATCGAGACACACACGGTTTCTTTCTGTATAAGGAAAAGGACAAAATTGTGAAAGTAGTGCAATAGAAGAAATATCTGGGACAATGTTATCTCGACTTTGCCACTTGTATCGACAATATCGAGATATTTTTCATATTCGAGGTATTTTTTGATAGATGTTTTCTTGTAAGAAATGCGCACTACAAAAATATTAAGGAGAGAATTTGGGATTGAATTTTCTATGAAAAAGGTGATGATCATTTTGATGATATTGCATTTTTATTGATACATCTGCAAAAAATGAGACACTAAAAAAATCAATATTCATTAATTTGAAATGAAAAGCGAAATTCTTGTACTTTTCTTTCTCTCGGTATTGAAAAAGTATTGAAAATAGCGTGTAATAAGGGGGAAAAGAAGGCATTATAATGGAATGACATGCGGAATATAATGGTCGCGTAGTATGTCGTGTTGGATGGGTGGGAATGGAAAGTGATAACGATATCGACCCACACTGACTCTTCTCCATTTCGAATAGCGTATATGTACGGTGAGGAGACATGCAATTTGGTCAGCCAACTATCATCATCAAGAGAAAGTCGTTGTCGAGTTTCTCTCTTGGTGTAAATCCAGAAACAAATCAAGACTATCCTGTTGCGCCTCCTTTCCTGTCCCAACCACCACCAGGCTCCTAATTTCTATCCAATTATATCCACCAATTTCTCATTTTAAAATCCATTTTTCCTCAAATTCCCTTTAATGGCTTTCCCTTTAATGGGCTTAATCTGGTGTCGTTCTGGAAAAATAGGTCACCTTTTAAGTCGACGAGATGGAAATTGCAATGCGTGACTTGAAAGTTTTCCCTCTCTCAAAGTCACCTTCCTTCGTCTGCCTTTCTTCCATAAACAAAAGAGCAAATAGTGGTCTAGAGTTTGTTCATAAATCTTAATAAAATGGAGGCAGTCTTACTTATGTAACGAGGAGGAATGAGACTCTAATGATATGCGGGAGAGAAAGTAATGGGAGCGAGGGGAGATTTGTGTGCGGCGGAGGTTGTAGTCATGTATATGATCATGGTGTCAGTGTCAGTTAGCAAAATATCACACATGACAAGAATTTGGTTCCTTCTCTTTCAATCCAATCTTCAATCACTCACCTTTCTACTTTCTCTCTCTCTCGTTTCTTTTCTTTGGTTTATTCCAAGAAAAATATTTTCGCTCGGAACACATGTCATTCTCAGTGTGTGTCATATTTGTGTACTTGCAATTTGTCAACCCAATAACAAAATCCTTATGTAAAGTATCCCGGCGCTGTGTTTTGTATGCATACGGGTCGTCGTCTAATGAGGGAAGAAATGGTGTATGCATGAAAGAAAACATGCTTTAGATTGATACTCATTTTGTTAAATGGACCATGCGTCGATTGCTTTCCTTTACTTTGTAGATTGAGTTGGTTTGTTGGAGGAAACTATGTAATTGTAGAAAATTTGGTACCGTTCTAAGCAGCACAATAGGAAAACCTCCTCCCTGCCTGTCTGTGGGGATTATATTGACTCGGATTACGAGAAACATTGCCTGCTTCTCTTTTCACCATGGCACAAAGGAAGGGAAAGCGAATTACAAAAGTGGTGGATGCTACAAGTCATATAACAAATAACTTTCTGGGTATAGAAAACAATTGCAGGTTTCTCTCTGCTCATTAAAGGATCTCGCAGGGAAAGGAACACTGAAACCATTGTCGTCATTTCCTAACAAGGAAATCCTGAGAAGAGACAGACGAGGACGGAATCAGAGGAAATGGCTTAACGAACGTCAAACCCAACAAATGAACGAAACTACTCGTGAGCTAGATATTTAAAAAAAACGAGAGGAGAATTCAAAGGACGGTGAAATTAGAAAGCATCGGAACTTTCTCATTAACTTTCTCAAACGGTTTAGATAAGATGATGGGATAAGAGTAATAATAAAAAATATTACATATTGATTTGTTGAATTAATGTAGAAAAAATTTCATATTTTTCAACCATTCCATCACATTTATGGGCACTAACCCTGGCCAACAAAGGATAGGATCACTTGTAGAATAAAGCCCCTCTGGGCACCCGCATGCATCAACGTCCTCCACCGTCACTCACTTTACTTTCACTACATACAAGTTTTGGAATGAACTTTTTGTTGTAAAAACTAACTAAACAACGCGCCCACTTAATTAGTTTTCTTAAAGTAAACAAGATTTTTATTAATAGAGTGAACTTCAAACTTGTTAAAAAAGTGAACTATGCTTTTCCTGGTGCTTGTCTCTTGTGGGATGTAAAACGGAAAACTTTTACATTATATCCTCCAGATACAGCTATGAGAAACTCTTTATTATGTAAACTTTGTGGTCGCACATGTACATTTACCATATTTCATATGCCTTACACCAGATTCACCTTTCACCATGCTAAGCCTCGTATTAACTCATTCGGGGTTTTGCTGCTCTAAAGAGTGGGCAACTTGTATAGTTGACGTGCACACTTTGTTTACCGTTGCAATGCTTGTTTCTCAAAGTGAAATAAGATTTATTGCTATTTTCTTGTGATAAAGTAGACAAGGGAAGAAAAATAAAAGCAAAAAATATGGAACCGACATCACTTGAAGTATTGTGTGACAGACTTCAACTCGGAGAGAATAAATCAATAGATGAATGATTTTGTGTACTTGAATACTTTATCAAAGATTATGCAAAGACTTGTGAATGAATAAATTTATCAAACTCTGTTCTGGGAGAAGTTGGACAGAGAGTTTAGTTGAGCAAAACCCAAGTAATTAATCAATTCAACGAAATCCCGACAAAACGGTGCATGGATTATATAATTAAATTGTGGAAGAAACAAGCATGCAGGGAAATGGCTGTACTCAAACTTTTCTAGAATTGCATTGTTAGCAGTGGTCTTGTACAATCGCGAATACTTTGTTGATCAAAGAGGAAATCGTACATGGCCCTTGTTTTTGTTTATGAGGAGGTGATGCCCAAAAATCTATTTGCTAAATATCAAAGGGATTTTTGTCAGCATTACAAAATTATATCCACAGAACATTAGATGTTGTACAGGGTCCTTTGACTGTTTCCTTGGAGGATTTCTAGACAGGGTCATGTCAGTTCAAAAATTCTCCAAATTTTTTTTTACAGATTTTAATGTTTGGGAATAAAATAGTTATAAAATAATTGAACTAGGATCGGTATCAAAAACGGCACCTAAAAATTGTTCGCACTCATTTATGACGTTTTATAGAATATTTTATTTTTCTTGACAACCAGATTCTCCCAGCAAAAATAACCCATATTCTCAAACTTTAAAATCTGCAAAAACAATTTTGGAGAATTTTTGAACTGACATGACCCTGTCTAGAAATCCTCCAAGGAAACAGTCAAAGGACCCTGATGTTGTATAATAAGGATCAAAAGGATCAAATAAAGTAAATAATCCACTCTTTTTGGTTAAATTCGTTTCATGTGAGGAAATTTCTTTTATTTTTGTTTTAGGTATTATCTTGCAATTTTCCATGTTTATTGGATGTTGAACGAAATTTTGCAGTTTATGTGATTCCTCTGGTGACCTCATTTATTTAGGAACTTATTCCAATCTATTTTACAAAGAATGTGATATTGCCCAGATGTCTGGCTTCTGATATTATTTCTAAACCATGATATCATTTTTTTTATTAGATGATGAAGAGAAAGCCATAACAAAACACAAAGTATTTGTAATAGCCAAGTGGTGGCTGTGACTCTGTGGAAAGGGGATTTTTGTGAAATCGGATTTAAATATTTTCAGCAGTCTCACATTTTTCGGTCACACACACAGGAAGACAATCTAGTTGATCTGGAAGAGGAGGAAAGTAATCGGTTTTTGTTGCCGAACAGGTATGCGTAGGAAATGAGTCTCTCTGTGGATAATATTCACTGCCATGCTTTCTCCAACCTTGTGCAGTGGGAGGAAAAACAGGGAAATCGGATGGAGAGATGGACAGGAGGCCTGAATCTTTCATTGTTTATCCGATAGTGCGATAGACTTTCTACTCACTTTATAATCTTCTCTTAAGAGAGAGATCAAACTGGGAAAATAATAATTTTGGAAATTCAAGGATTACCTATTTTCAGATAGAATTCAGCGTCTTTAATTTAGTTACGTAAGGTTAAGCCATTTATTTCTAGGGTTTGATTATGCGGGTGGATGCTGGTCTGGTCTCCATACAACTTTGTAAAAGTAATCAAAAGTTTGTGTCTGGATTGGAATTAAATAAAAGGGAATAAACTGAACCTGGTTTGTCGGGTGGTGGTGAAAATGGTGAATGTGAATTACTTTTTTTATGTGGTGAGGATGCTGTAAACGTGGTTTAACAACAACTCTCTGTCAGCAGTATTATATAAAAAAGTGTTGGATTTTAATAACAGTCGCATCAGAATTTAGAGTCAGCGAACAGGAAAAAAATCATGTTTATAAATATGTCAGTCCGTCTCTCGCGTTTTATGAGGACACGCAGTTTCCGTGAAGCGAGAGTAGCAATTTTATTATTTGCATGATTTTGACAGTCTTTTTTTCCCTGCGAGGATGAGAGAGAAAGTAAGGAATGGTAAATACGAGGAAATCCAATTGTTGTAACAAGAGCGGGATTCATAAAATTAGATCAAATGTAAATCAGATTCTTTTTTAAGAATATTTTTTACATACATGTTTTCTAAACTGTTTAGAATTTGTTTGACATGTGTGTGTGGAGTGGGTTTGCTTTACATGTAAAAATATATTTCAACTTTTATTTGATGAATAAATCTCGTCCATTCTTAAGAGAAAGCAGAGTATTTGCTCCTTATTAAAGAGAAGCCTCTGTAAACAGTAATTGACGTAAACTGTGTACGCGGATCAGGGAAAATAAATACCCATCGTTTATTTCTTTCTCTATTTTTTGGACTTTTTTTCCAGTTGAAGTGGAACCGCTTGAGAATTGTTGGACTGGGAGGAATCCTGACATGCGAGTTCCGTACGTACTCACTTGCAAACTCCCAGTGGCTTGGCCACTTGAGAGAATGAGTGCGAATCTCAAGAGAGGAGAGAGCGAAGAGGAAATGGTAATGATTATGAAGCAGACTTTCTAATTACATGGTTGGAGTTGCTTCATTACAAATTTAAATTGGAGAAATGAAAAATCCATTATTCACTCACCTCCAGTACGGACTGACCCCTTTTCCACTCTCTGCCTCCTCCTCCTCTCGAGTATAAAGTTGTTAAGTAGTATAAAGCACGCTGGGATTTAGACGAGAGAAAGATTTGACATCGATTTTTCCTTTATATGAAACGTCGTGTAGTACAAATTTAATAATGTTTTCAAGAATTCATTAGATCAAGTCGCTTGTTAAATAGGGAACAGAGAAAAATGGTCCAATTTTCCTTAAAGAGCAGAGCACACACAAACACACAACCCACGTCAATCACGTTGATTTATGTTCTGTCACATCAATGGGTTTCAATTATGGGCAGCCTTTAACATGAAGCCACAACAAGTCACCACGCATGAATTTGTTTTATATGCAACAGTAAATTGCCTGCGTGGGCGGTTGCAATTATTATTTTTAAACGTTACAAATTTTCCTCGTCTATTTCGAGATGACAAAGAGCCGGATGATGCAATTTCAGAGTCTGAATGTTAATTTTCTTTATAGTTGACATGAATATTCACTTAACTCGTGGACTAAAACCAACACTTGTCCCAATACTTGTAGAGCCTTCTAGTCGGAGAAATGAGTGGAGAGAAAGTCGTGGAGGGAGAGAGAGAGTTGTGCGGTGGTTCCCTATCTGGAGACTGACGGTGAGTGGAGTCGAAACTGACTCTGCTCCACTATTTCATGCCTTGTGAAAGTTCTCTCTCTTCACATCGTGTACATAGCGGAGGAGAAAGCGAGTGGTATTCCCACCAGCCCCACCACCACCACCAGCAGAAGCAGCAGTACGACGATCGACTATACGGTTTTCTTTCAGTGTGTGATCCCAGCTTAAACTTCTCTCCCTTGTCTCAAGTTGAGAGTTGAGTGAGATGTGTGTTGGGCAGGATGAGAGAGAAAGGAGATGAGAATCTCAGGTGAAAGTCGTCCTCCTCCTGAGCTTAAAATCCAACTACAACAAGATCTTATACACCATCAAGGATTTCGCTCCTCCAGAGCCAACAAGTTTTTACTTTGAAGAGAAAGAGCCGTTGGAGAAGAGGTGAATGGGATGTGACTAGAAATTCGATAGGGAATTGAACCTTATGTAAAACAGTACTGGCTGCTGCTGCCGTAGTCGTGGTGCGGAGTCGTCCTGGGGCGTGTTCTCTCCCTCTTTTTATTATTATTGTTAATATTGGAATGACATTTGTGAGAATTAAATCGATACTGTCGATCCTGCATAAATATACACTTTTTTGTCTCCACATAATTGCTCTGTCAATAATGCGGAGCAATCTTTGGGCTACGGCTAATGTAGTACTTTTGGCAGGAGAGACACCTTTTTATGGAATTATTAGTCCTCGTTTCGTATGCAAGAGTCAGTATTTTGAAGTTTTAGGATGGGAAAATGCATGGAAAATCATGGGCTCGAGAAATGAAGGAAAGGGGTGTGGTGTGGGTGATGAGAATAATGAATAGAGCCCAAGAGGTGGGTGAGTGAGGAGCCCATGAGAAAATGAGGAGTTGATCTCATCAGTTTGATAAATTGCGAGCAGTCGGAAGGGATGAAAGGTGAAGATGGAGTGGGACGTCCTCTGAGGGAAAATATATAGTGGGAAATATAGCAGAATAAGCGAAAAGTAGGTTTCCATTTAGCTCCAGGCGGCGGTGGTGGTTGGAGGATTGTGGTAATGAAATGTTGGTGGGTGTGGTGGTGCATATATGCGTTATTTTTCGATGGGTATATTTTTGGATTTGGAGAGTAAATTATTCCATACAATATTGTTTTCATGAGAATATTTCATATCAACTTTCCAATTTCACTGGGGAAATAGACCTCGAGGGATATCCAGGATTTTGCTATTTTCGCATCCATCGATGGATTTACTCGTGAGTGGAGAGCATTGTACAGAAGCAATTTCAGTATACAAAACAGGTCGTGTGATTCGCATGACGATGATATAATCCGCATAACTCAATCACAAGTGTCATTAAAATTACTTCTTAACATGCTCGATGAGATTATGAATGGTGATGATGCTGCTGAGATGTTATTACACAATAACACTCTCTGAAGGATGATGCATTCACTCTCCGGTTAAACGTATATGAAGGCAAAAGGTGTAAAATAATAATCACTCTTCCCCTCCACCTAAATCGACGAAAGTTAATAGGCGACGTAATATAGATGCATTTCTTAGAAGCAGTGAAGACTCATATAGCGAATAGCTAATGACTATGTGACTCACCTGAATCGTAAGTATTTTTCATGCGCTTTCGTAGTCACAGCACACACAACACTTGAGCTGATTCTTCGCTGGCTGAGATTCAAGTTATAAGAATTATACGGAAAACTTGGCTTAATCCAATTACTAAATCATTCCATCTTCATGTAAAGACAATAAATTTGTATTAACCTTTTCATCTTAAAGAGAAAAGAGCAAGCCCACCACAAAAAGCGAGAATGGTAAGGAAGGGATTTTTTCTGGTCGATTTAAAAAAACGGAGAAACGTAACTATTATTACATTTTTTTTAAAGAATGAGGAAATCTCTTTGAGCATCATCATCACGGTTTCATTGCTCTTAATATTGGTGCAAGAATCGACTTGCTTTGGTTTTGTGGACTACAATGACGAATGCGAATTTGTTGAGTTTGGAGATCCGTCCACGTTCGTGAGTCGCCTGGAAGAATGGAAATATTGCGATACGAATCGTGGTCTTTTTTGTGTACCTGGTCTTGGCAGATGCGGCTGCCTCGTACCACTCACAATTTACAGAGGAGGAAAATGCAGGGCCAAAGTTGATGCAGGTATAGATTTCATAATTAGTTTTGATTTTTTGATGCAGTTTTACTATTTTTTTTCAAAGGTTGCATCGTGAAAGAGTACAAATTGGAATGTGTAGAACACGCAACGTGTGCTAGAAATCATTCCAGTTTAACTTGGAGATGTGCTTGCGACAGAGGTGAGATTTTTTTCAACTTTCCTATTTTCCTTGATTTAAAAGATGTATTTTTTCAGGTTATTTAAGCAATGCGGAGAACACTGCGTGTTTTTCTCGCTATGAATTTGATTATAGGAGACGAAACTATTACCGAGAGAGGGATGGATTTTATTATTTTGGAAATGGAACAAGATTGACCATGCCGTCACTCTTAATTTTATTATCCATTAATTTCACCTGGATTTCATTAAAATGATCACAAAAATAAAATTAAAAAAAAAAAATCCTTCTCTCACATGCACCAGTATGAAATTTGTGTATATATAAAACCCTAAAAATATTAATAATTCACTGAGAATCATCATCATCCATGAATTCCCTTTCCAGTTCTTGAGCCATCCACTCTTCATCCTGATCACGAGTGCCATCATCCTCAGAGGTCAACATTAAATGCTCCACTTCACTCGGAACCCCTTCACCACGACGGAATTTTACATTTAATGGCTCATCTTCAGTTTCTGTCTCAGTCTTGTTCTGCCGTTTCCGCTTTCTGCTCTTTGACATTTCAGATTCCGTAGAACTCTCGGAGCCTGAGAAGAGATTAGCTTCATATTAGGATACGTATTATTTTGTAGTGGTTTTGTGAGTGTGTGTAGTACTTACTGGAACCTGAATTACTTGTAGAAGACGACGAAGAATTATTACCAAGTTTATCCGATACATCCATTTTTGCTAGCATATCGTTACTCGTCCTTCTTTTCAATACCTTGTCTTTAAAAACATCTCCAGCTGATGACGATCCCTCCGCCGCCTCCTCATCCTCCTCCTCAGTTGATGAGGATTCAGATTCATTTAAAATATCATCCACTTCATGACCCATCGAATCTATTTCATCCATTGAGAATGATAACAAAGGATTTATTGTGTCCATAAAACGACCACTTGGCGTCCTCTCTTTCCTCGCAGCAGCCACTCCTCCTCCTCCTTTTTGTTGTTGGATTTGACCGTTTTTTGCTATTTACAAGAAAAAAAATTATTAATATTTTTTTTTATAAATAAAAAAGTAAATAATAAAAATAAACCCTTACCTGCACCATTATCATTGAAGGCAAGGTCGTCTCTCCTGGCAAACGCATGATGCCCGGGCGGGTATCGATTAACGATAGATTTTTTATATAATTGAAATAATCTCTCATCCACAAGTTTCCATCGTTCAGAACAACACCAAAGCCAATCAGGAGTGACGATATGGATTCCTTTGTATCTTCTTGCTTCATTGACTTTGGCAGTTCCTACACGGGCAGCGATAACGTGGGTGGTGGGGATCTCAGTAGACCCACATGGCTTGTTTGGGGGGATTATTCGTTCAGAAACGTAGGCTCCTAAACTTGTAGCTACGGAGTAAGCTTTTGTGTTTTTACGTTCAGCTACTGGAACTTCAGTCGGGATGACTCCGCTGAACACGATGCTCATGTTCTAGTTACAGAATTGTATCAATTCAGTTATTAAGTTTGAACAATGGACAAAGGACGTGAGTCAATTTTTAGCAGTAATAAAATAGAGTTGTACCTTTAAAACTTTCCTTCTAACATAAGGAACGACATTTTTGACATCGGGGACATTGGTGTCGTTGTATAAACTATAGAAAGCTTGATGGATGGATTGGAGGATTTCTTCTAAATATAGCAAATAATCATCTTGATCCTCTACTTCAACCTCTTCTGTCGTATTGTGAATTGGCGTAGGATCGACTTTGATATTTTCACCCACGACTTGGTGAGAAAATTCATCAGTTTCCATTTTATCATCCGGTTTCTTTGTCGACTCTTCTTCCTCGAGAACAACGTTGTCCTTTTTCTCATCACAAGATTCCTCTTTGTCTCCTTCGATAGCATCGTCACTGGTTTTACTGTGTTCACTGTCTTCCTCGTCGCTTAACGATAAATCGGATGTGACTCGACGTACTTTTATAGTATCACAATCTTCCCTCGACTCTGTGGACTTTGTGTCCATGGACTCGGGTGAACTAGCTTCTGATGATAACGACTCGGGCACTGTCGTCGTCCCGTCCTTGTTAAATGTGAAACCAGTCTTGTCATCGTCATCTTGTTTCGTCAGTCCAGGCGGAGCATTTATATCACCAGTATGACGAAAAAAATGATAAGGTTTCACATGGATCAAGTTGGGAGCAAAATTCCACACGTCCTCTCGATCGTCTATTATACACACCTACGTTGAAATTAAAGTCTAGTAAAATAAACCACTTTTCAATGTAAGAAATACTAAAAAAAAGCGTACCATGTGGTCACCACGTGGAAAAAGTTCTTTTAAATTGGCAGTTTTGGAATTTTGACTAAAACACTCGTCTCTGGAGAGGATTCGATCGGAAAAGAACTGTCCACGTGAATCCAAATGACTTGCGATCACGTGAGCGTATGACCGTGTCCCAAATGTACAAATATGGAGCTCGTATAATTTGGACACGCTTTCTAAAAATTCTATCGTCCGGGGGCGAAGTCGTGTGTGATACCAAACTGAACCGTGGCCCCAGAGTTGAAAGTGGAACACATCCTGTCGGTTTTTTAAAATTAAAACGTTATTAATTAGGTTATTGCAGAATTAAAATAAACGGCGAATTATTACCTTTAAATTATGGGGAACATTGTCATTGGTAGTGTGAATCAAGGTTTGGTCAAGATCAACGAGCAGAACAAGTTTCCTTTGTCCCAATAATCGTTCTTCGTCTATTTTACCAATCTTTTGAGCTTGTTCCATACTAATTCGTAAATCGGGGACTGAATGAATCATTGAAACGGCGGAAGGGGCGGCCTCGTCAGATTTTCTCAAATCTTTACCACATTCAGCGCACATGTCGCGCATTACCGTGGGATGAGTGCATGACTCCAAGGTGGCCAACACACAGCTGCGATAAGGAGGGAAAATTAGTCACATTACAGGATAATTAATTGAGCTTTATTAACTTACCCATTGGAAATGGTTTGTCCATTTTTAGCATGAATGGTCTTGATGACACCGGACTGCGTGGTTTTAAGTCTCTTAATTCCAGGGACTGGTTGACCGTCCAGCAGTTCGACGTACGAGAATATGACATGGCCAACGGGGAGGAAAAAACCTTCTTTCACTTTCCATTGCTGGATTCGGGATGTTTTCTCTTCCACAAATACAATGTCCATTTTTTTCAGTTCCTTTGGTATTTTACATTTCACTGGAATTTATTTTGACATTTGAATATTTCTAAATAAATATGGTGATAAGATGAGTTTTTTTACCTCTGGGAGAAAAGTGGTCGTGGGTGACTGGTCCCCAATGTTTCTTTTGTTTTATGAAGTCTGATGAGTGAAGATAAGTGAATTGGTTTTTGGGAATAAACTTTGAAACGTCTTTCGCAGCGGATGAAAAATCTTCGTCTGTTTTCCTCCAATGTGTCCGACCGCTTCTTTTTCTTTCTGCGTTCAATTCTTGATCCGGAAGTCGCATGGTTTAGCCTCTCACCGCTGGGTTTCAGGATATTTGAGGGTTGTCTGCGGATTTTGGAGTGGTCGCAGGTCGCACATCACAGGCAGCAGGTGTGGCATCACCTATTTATTTATTGGAATTTTTATTGCGTTCAATGCAACGCGATGGGAATCGGAGAAACATGGTGTTGTTTGTCCAATATTTATTCAAGTCAGACATCAAAAATTGCTTGCCGAATATTTGTAAAATTTATACAAGTCAGGCATCAGAAGAAATAAATTCTCAGAATAATTCAACCACACCTCCTCCTCCTCCCCCAAGAAAAAACAATCCAGTCTGAAAACAACGTGGGAAAGCAACGCTTGCGTGGATCCGTTGTGGGAGAGCGAGCGAGCGAGGTGAAATTCCCAAGAGATTCTTTCTCTTTTCGGGATTAAAATCCATCCAGCGAGCGAGGGCAGCTTTCATTCTGCGGACTGCGAGACACGACGGGCTCTCTCTCTTCGCTGCTGCCTTTCTCTCCTCAGTCTCACTTTCCTCGGAGAAGAAGAACGACGCGAGGGTGCTTGCTGCTCCTCAGACACGTGCTTTCTCTCCTACTTTCTCTCTCTCCTTCTCTTGGGCATTGCTCTCCTGGCGAAAGTCTCCTCAGTGGCTGCTCCCTGTCCATCATCTCGCTCTCTCTCTCTCTCTCCATCGGCATGTCGCGAAGAAAACAAGCAAAACCAAGAGCTGTCTTTAAAAGTAAGTTCTCTCTTTTCTCTCCTTTTCCCTCATCGTCCGTGTGTTTTGGTGTCGGTGGAAATTCGGAATGTGTACAAAATGTTTAATTATTCATTAGCATTATTAACGATGCTTATGGGGAGAGTGCCACCAATCCATCTCCGGCTCTGCTGTCTCCCTTTCTCCATCTCAGGTTGAATTAGGTTCAGGAATGTGATCACAAAGAGCTAATTATTCGTTTGTCTTAATGGCCTCTCTCGAGTAATTAGTCTCTCAAAAACACATGCACCACTCCAACTCGGAACAAGAGAAAGTCGGAGAATGTTTAATAAATTACAAAACAGCAGCAGCATCACCAGCGGGTGGAGAAGATCTCCTTTCAGGTCGCATAGGTAGAAAGGGAAATAATAATAATGCAGTTCATTTGGGTCATATTGACACGACGGCCGTCTGTCTCACAAACCTTGGTCTTGGTGGTCGGAGGAAGAGTAGGAAGACGTCAAAAATATCTGTCTGTCGCAATTTGGTCGTCGCTGGTCTCGAGGGACCCTATTTGACTGCAACTAATGGTGGGCTGCGATATCAATCCCAATTCCATGGAAATGTCTCCTGGGAGCTCCTCCATAGCCCTGGGTTCCCACAACACACACGGCCTATCTCTCCGCCATTGTTCTCTCATCCCCCTCCGGCTAATGGCACGTCCTTCATACACGCGCGTCTGCTGCTACCTGGGCTGGACCAGGTCAGACGCAATTATTGTTATTTAATATTCCCAGATACCGAGGGGATTAGTAGGAGGGTAAGAATTTTTATCCAACCACCACTGAAGGAGGAGAAGCCGTGTGGCAGTCTTACACTTTATCATAGAATTCCCAAGGAGCCTCTACATTACCGTCTCGACTTGAGACAGTTTAATTAACGAGTGTGATTAAACACGCGCGGAGGTTGTGAGCAAACACGAGTTAATGCTCAAAAGATTCTTTATTTTGATATACATGGATTCAGATCGTGAATTTCCATCCAGAAATATTGGTCGCAGTGGAAGTAGCGGTGGTGGTGGCTCTGCGAATAAATTGGACATTGTGGATGATGCTGTGTGACAAATTCCCCGTGTATACTGCTGGCATTCTTCTTATTCTGCAGTCAGTCAGTCTGTCTCTCTGGTGTCACCTTTTCATTTGCCTACCACCACGACGACGACGACGAGGATGACGACGAGGACTACTGCTCCGTACTCCCTGGAGAATTCCCCAGGCACGACGACGACGACGCCCATCCTTCATGATGATCCAATCCTACTCTCACTCCACTTAACCCCATTTCACAAATGACTTTTACCTCCCTTCCCTGGATACATTCCTCATAATTATTATTCCTCCGCGTCGTCCTCCTCCTCGTGGGGCTCGTGGAAATTATCTCCAACGTTCGCTCCTGCATTTTTTTTGAAATTTTGTCATCCACGTGAGGGTGCAGGGAGAGAGTTGACGGGGGTTCTCTTTCTCTTTCTCGACCGGAGAGCGCAGTGGGAGATGGAGGCTCAGCAGGGGGTGGGCTAGCCTCCCCCTGGAGAGCCAGCAGCAGCAGCCAGCCAAACCTAGTTGAGAGAGGGATGTGACCTCCTGGTGGGCCCACCTATGGCCCAGGAGCCCCCTGTGGATGAGAACTCAATTCACTTATATCCCAGCAACAACTGCAGGCATATATCCATTTCAAAATACGTCCTCCACCGGCTACTGCAATCCTCTGATGACGAGTGAGTGAGAGAGAGGCGAGGCACACAAGGGCGAGTGGTAGGGGAACTAATAAGCAGAGAACAACTCAATTTTGTGGGTTGGTTGGCGTTCAAATGGAATAAAATACAATTGTCATCTCTCAAAAAATCTCCCATTCAGAGAGTCTCAAGTGCTGCTGCGGGTCTATATTTTTCCTTCTACTTAATTCTGCTGGCAGTACTCAGCGTTGGAGTCGGTGTGAGTGTGCTGGTGGTGAAAGGGTGAGGAGCAGTTTGGAAATATGGATGTAGTTCCTCGTCGGGTAATAATTGTAGTAAAACTCGTTGTCTTCTTTTGGTTGTTAATCCGAGTTTAGTTGCGGAGAAAAGTTTTAACACTTTGGTAAAAGTGTTGGTTGGGTGGAGGAGCTCGAGAGTGAAAGTCCTTTGATTGGAGTAGCAGCAGTCCCACGGAAAGAGGAAGGGAATTCCCCAGTCGTAGCTAAAACGTATTAAATCTTGAATTTCATTTCGGCACATTTTTTTTTTTACTGCTGCGAGTATTTACTCCACCACTCAACTTTCGGAATTACTTTACATGCCACGACCCATGGCCCTCGGAGAGAGATGCCATTATTTCGCGAGTTCTCTCTTAAGGTGGATATTCTACCACGTGACATAATTGGAAATTTTAAATTTTCTTCACTCTCCCATCCACTGATGAATGAGACAGAGAGGTGGATTTCCCAAGGGACGCACTCGCAGCGGAGCATCGGTGGTGCTTGTGAAATGATAATTTCTTCTTCTTCTCTCTCTCTCGTTGTCATGCCAACTTTTAGGTTCCCAAAAGGGCCTTATGTGATTAATGCCAAAGGTCTCGAGGGACAAGAGGAGGACGACGACGAGGACGACTCCTTTCTCTCCACCACCACCACCCACCATCACTTTCTAAATACTCCATTATCCAATACCCGGCACACCTCTCTCCGCTCTCAGACAATGGTGCATCAACTTTTTTTCTCTTGGCGAAAGAAGACGAGAGCCGTCTTTTTTTGAGGTTTAGAGTCCTCGTGAGACTGTGGATGGAATGAGAGTGGGAAGAAGAAGAAGAAGTTGGAGGTAGTATGGATGTTGAGATGAGAAAGAATTCATGAGGGAATATTTCGGGCATCTTTTTCCTCCGCACGCTGCTCTCCTTTCCTCTGGGGATCCAAACTAATCAAGCTTTTTTTGATGCTGTGACAGCCGGGGACCACCTTTCCACCAGTGTCACGCTACCATCGCAGAATATTAAGATAACTGATCCAGTGCCCCCCTCATTCCCCCCAAAAAGAAACTCAAGCGGTTTTCTGACTGATTATTTTTAGCTGCGGGAATTGTGTTACTTTATGTTTTACCAGTGTTGATATTGGAACGATCTGTTTGATATTTCGACTCTTTTATCTCTTTCTTTGGTTGAGTTGGCCTGGTGGTGGTGGTGGTGGAGGATCGCGTGTGTGTGTGTGGCGAGGTCCCAACTCTATCGTAATCAAGACACTCTGAAAATAAAGCTCGCACTCTAGAAATTTCCCAGAGCCTGGAACTTCGCCTGTACTGCCCCCGCGAGACCAATGCGACTCCCAAGAAAGTCATTATTCGATTTCTAAAACTAAAAATGCTCAAACAGGACGAGGACGACGACGATGCCAACGGAGGAGTCAGTCAGTCTGTTGGTCCCAACTGAATCAGGTTAATTTTCTAGCGTAGTGAACACTGCCCTTTGGAGAATATCCTCCGCTCGTCCACCATCCACCTGACTACGTTACATACCAACTATTTTATTTAGTGGATCAAAAAAAATCGTCGCATCCGCCCATAGACAATCAGCCCATATAATATTTCACTCTCTCCTCTCTCTCGACGGACGGCGAGGAGAGTGGTGGCGAGGAGGAGACTTGGCCTTTCTCTCATCACTTTTTGTTTCCACTTTGAATATTATATGGATCTGCCTCTCTCCAGATTAGGCCAAGTATGAGAGCAGGATGGATAAAGCGATAAAAGGAGAGAGAGAGCATTTTCTTGGAGAATTGTAGGGTTCCCTAGACTCGAGAATCCTCTGGGGCATTGCACACACATCTCCCTCAACCCATTTAAAACTACTCCTCCGCTAGGCTGAAACTATGGCAAAACTTATAGAGCGAGTAGAGTAGAAGCCTGTAGGGCGCTTATTAAAGCCCTCTCTCTCTCGCTCGGGTCCCTTGGGATGTATCATCCATTCGGCTACTGGCGAATTTAAAACCTGCCTCCTCCTCACCCCACTACCAACACCACCAGCACCGAATGCAGGCTCTCACTTTCCTTGATTAACTCGGTGTGTCCTTTTCTCGCACAGGTGCCGACGTGGAGGAAGAGTTGGCCAACATGGGATCGGATGACTTGATGCAAGATTATCATCAAGAATTGGACAGTGATGATGATGGGTCGGGTTCAGGTATGGTTTTTTTTATATTTCTATGTTTTCACGAGCAGGAGTTACGGTATGCGGAGAGAGTGGAGAAAGGAGAAAGTTTTTCAGGTGCGGACGAGTTTTGCAGGAGCAGAGTGGTGGTAGAATTCCCTGGAGAGAGATGTGAATTTGGACGTGTGAAGGGTCGTCTTAATGGAACTTGAAAGATGTGATTTCCGTGTATATTTTAATTGATTAGATTGACATTTCTCTCCCATTGATCTTGTCCACGACGACCACCTCGTCTTCTTCTTCCCCGTAGACCCCCCTCCACCACCACTGAAATTACCACCTCGCACAGGGAAAAAGTAGCAGACTCGTTGTTGGTGAGATTAGCAAAAAAAAGAGAGAGACGAGGATGGGAAGCCGATGAAGCGTGATGAAGATTATGCATGTGTCGTCGATGGTTGTGTCGACCACCCAATCATCGGTTTATCGACGGTGATTAGTTTTGGTTTATTATCATCGATGCCATGATGATGCAAACCCGTGCTTCCGGTCGATCAAGGATTCGCTCCTTTTTTTCCCCAATTTTTTCAAATACCCAGAATTATAAAATCCTTCTTATGTTTACTCTTCTCTGTAGCTGGACATTAAGTCACGGTGGAAAACCCACCACCACCACCACTGCCACTTGTGCAGTCATTATCCCATCAATGATGGGCAAGGGCATGACCAAGAAAAAAATATGTAGGGTTTTGTAAAAACGCACCCTTTTGTTGTGCACCGATACTTTTCGACGAAGATGAGAAACGTGGAGTTGAGAAATAATTTGTACATTTCTTTTTTTTCTCTTATTCTCTCTGAAAAGAGAATCGAGTATTTGATCGAGTGTTAAAGCCATGTCAGAAAATAATCTGAAATCATCATCTCTCTGATGGATTCCCTTTTGTGCATCAAAAAATGGTTGTCAATTGGACACCTCTCTCTGAGAGAGAGAAGAGAGGAAGGTGAGTGGTGGTGGTGGTGGGAGTAGTGGGGCATGAGTTTGGTGAGTAAGTAGTAAAATGGCTTTGGCGGATGTCAATCAATTTATTTATTATCGGTGAAGGGAATCAGCGAAAACTATCCCACCTGTCGCACGCTGTCCGTGATCATCCGTCAGGAAATTCTCTCTCTCGCTCCTCTCGTATTTGTCTGCTCAAAGGAATTCTGTTTTATAATTTTCCAAGAAGCAATTAAATCGAGGGTATGGTCGTAGATCGTCGTGGTCTAATTCTCCAAAGTCTCATTCTCAACACTCAATTGCGTTGTATTGACAAAGAAGAGAGGAGATTTTATTATGGGCAGCTTCCAAGGGTGGCACTTGGGTCATATCAAACCTTAAAATAGCCCCTCGTGCATGATAACAACCACGCTGGATAAAAGTTTCTAGTACTAATTACTTGTTTTTTGTTTTTATTTTTTTTTGAAAATATTTCAAAGATCCACACCAAGTTTTATATATTTTCGTGGTTGTGTTTTTCTACTCCCACACTGGATTTGAGTAAGAGAGAGGAATGATGGATTCATCATGTCTCCAAGAAGAAGAAGTGGAGATCTTTCAGAGAGTTGTTCTTCTCCCCCTCGCAGAGAAGACAATCATTTAGAATTGAGATGTTTCTCACCGGGGGAGTTTTAGCTAAAGGAGGGTTCAGCCCTGATTATTATTATAACCACCACCACCCCGTTGGGTCTCTCTCCTCTCTCTCCAAAAGGTGCACACAGAGAGTATTGTCAACTGGATGAGATCTTATCAAACTGATATAATTGTGCAAGCAGGCAGTCACTCGCTCTTCTCTCGCTCTACCACCACCATCACCCCCACTGAGACTTTGTTCAATGCCAAAAAAAAGTCAAATTTCATTGTTGCATTGGTGGAGTGCCGGAGTGGTTCTCGTTGCGTTGTTGTGCAGTGGGAGAGAGATGATGCCAGATGTGATGTCTTAACTACTTGGTGTATACATATTGCATAATTAGATGGAATTCTGTACAAGAATTTTGTAGTTTTTTTATACAAAAGAGAGATTTTTTTAAAAAGGAATTTCAACGTCGGGAGGTCAAAGGGTAGCTCAAGTAGAAAAATATTATGTTAAACCAGAGATTAAGATGGATCATTTGAGCAATTAATAAATGACTCGAGAGTGAATGTAAAATATGAGATTCTTCTACTGGACATTTGATCAAGAAGTGAAGAGGGTGAATTTATTTGTTCATCATCCACTTTTGAGATGGATGCCTGGAGGGAACTCCTGTCTTTTCTACTTGTTATCCGTTTTTTTTCCTAATGGATCACTTGTCTTTTAGATTTCATTTCACTCGTGCCGACAAAAATTACTTTATTTCAAGATGAACAGAGAGACGGACAAATTATGCACCCACGGAAAAGTGGACTCTTTTGTGAGGTGGTAGTTTCCCTAATAATCATGTAGACACGAGTAAACCTGTGATTTGGTTTATAATCATCGTCTCACAGGAAGTTGTGGCTCTCTAATAATAATCTTAACTACAGTAGTCTGAGTCTGACATCTTCGTTGGTTGGTTGGTGTGTGTGGTGCCGAACCATTAAGCACCACCTGCGAACGTGATTGATGGGCTAAAGTGGAGCAGAAAGATGATTTTCAGAATATCTATCGCAATTACGCATCATCCAATATGACCGGAAACTATACTCTCCAGTTTTCCACCCACCTTCTCCGCAGGAGTAGAGTCAGTAGAATAACGGATGAATATTGTGTTGACAAAAGTCATTTGTGTGTGTTGCCCACCTGTCCATCCAGCAATCCACCGGTATTGTCCTTAACGAGGTGGGTCAATTATTAGTGGATATGAAGGGTGCACCATCGTCTCACCTGCTGTCGTAGTCACACTAATTTGCTATAGTGATGATGAGTTGACTCATTTCCGATACCACTTAATACCCACAACGCATTTGTTATTTTTCCTCGTTTCATTGGGTGGGTTAACCGTTAGAAGCAATACCACACCCCCTCCACAGATAATGTAATTCATAATTCATATCTCCAGTGTCTCCAGAGACGCTGCCACTCTGCCACCGCACGAGAGAAGAGGTGACAAAAATGTATGTTGTATATTTCTCCATTGGTCGGAGTGCATATGAAATATTCAATATCTTGGAAAGTGCAAAGAGAGAGAGAGGAAAGATAATCTCGTCCCATGCTCCTCGGGGGCTACCAGCACACCCATTTATTTCCACTACCAGCCTCCCACCAGGGAACACACTGCTGCTGCTACCATTTCTAAATATCCACTCACCTCTCATCCCAAGTCGTCAGTCAAGAGAGTGCTTTTCTCATGCGTACGTATTACAAAATGCCAGCAAATAAGGTCAGAAGAAGAAGCAATGGGGCTCTGGTGATAATGGTATCAGATGAAGAATTGGTTCTCCCATTGTAGTTTCTTCTTCTTGAGGATAAAATGTCAGTTTGACTTTTTCACGAGAAAAAGCATTATAGATTTGTCAAGAGAGGGACCCTGTCATAACATGGTGACTAATATTTGCTCAACCTCATTGTTGTCTTCCAACAAGGGTCATAAAAATTCCACCACCATTATTGACTCCAACTGCCCACCCACAACAAACCCCTCCTCCTCCTCTGTCTCGCTCTTCCACTGAGCTGCCCTTCAAATTATCCCATCAACTTTTGGGTGGTTATACGCTGAATGTGGTTGAGGTGTGGACCCTTTTTCCCTTTTGTGTTGTTCTTCTGATGACTCAATTGTACAATTTTCTTGACTTTTCCTTCTCTCTAACTCACACGAGGGTCACTGCACATCCGGTCAAAGGTCACCCCTTATCTCTCCTCTCCTCTCTCACTCTATTCTAATCTGAAAGAAACTCTGCATGAAAGAAAGTGCGTGGGTTTTATTTGCAACAACGCAACAACAAAACAAGTGCCATTTCATCCAAACGACACTGCCTCCCAGACTAAAAGAGCCTGCGATAATAATACAATTGCAATGTGTGTGCACCCTTTTGTGCGTCTCTCTCGTCTATTGTTTTTGCATCTCTTATTCTTTCTTCAGAATCCAGCAGAGAAACCTGTTACCAAAAATTTCTTTGTGATTTTTGAGAGATTTGTTTTTTCTTCTCTCTGTACTCAATTTGGGTCAATCTGCGTGTGAGGATGAGCGAGCGAGCGTGTGTGATTGGTGTCATTTATATAAAACACTTAAAATACTTTTGAAACTACTTCCAATAATGTCGGTAATCTGTCACATGCTCTGCTTCACTAACTGTTTTTAAAAAGAGAGGAAAAAGGTCCACACTATGTAACTCGAGAAAAAAAATAACTACCCAAAAAAAAAATCATCGTCCATCCATCCGTCAGAGAGCGAGCGTAACAAGATCCCAATTCATCACACTTGACTGATTCTCCTCTTCTGATGACTGACTTTTGTGTGATGGATTTTAGATAACGCACACAGCACACAAAAAAGGTTTATAGTTTTTCAAGAGGTGGTGATCGAGTCGAGTCCGTCGGTGGATGTGACGATATTTTTGGGGACACAGGGTGACAATTGATGAACTTGATGATTTGCTATATATATTTTGCACACACATCCGGCTTTTTATAATAATTTCACAAAAATTTATTCGCTTTTTTACGGATGTTCGTGTCTCTAAATGACAATTATTAAAATCAACCATTTCCAGAGTAGCCAGAAAAGGAGTCACAAAATTGAAGTGGTGCAGTGGAGAGCATTGTTGGTTTGGTGCGGTGGTGGTTTGCTGGTGGGTGATTGTTGTTGGTTGATTCTCATCCTCAGTTAGTTAGTTTTAAGACCCTGAACGGCAAGCACATAAGCCGCGTCCTCCTCTCGTCCAGTGATTTATGTGATTATATTTTTGTGTTTTTTTCATGGTGATTATGCTGTTTAAAAAGAATAGTAAATTGGACATTGTGGTCAATTCTCTCATTGAAAAGATTCAGCAAAGTAATGCTTTTGGTTTTTAGTCGGTTTTTACGTTGGGGAATTTGAGACGATTTTTGATTTTCTCATTTTTATAACAGATACGATGGAGTCGGAATCATGCTACTCGGAAGAGACGCACAATTCTCCCAGTTCGCCCAGCTCTTCGGGTGAACAGGAAATTAGGTGAGTTTTTCAGTGATTATTTTAAGAAGGGAGATGTTAAACCGTGTCATTTTGATAGTTTCACCATCGGCCCCACGGAATCCACGCCGTACGGATGCAATTTCTGTGAAAAGGCATTCCCCCGATTGTCCTTTCTCAAGAGGCATGAACAGGTAGGAGATTTTGGGATTTTAGTTTTTCTGTTATTTAAAAAATCTGACCATTTTTCAGATCCATTCGGACCAAATGCCGTTCAAGTGTGATTTTTGCCAACGCCTGTTTAAGCACAAAAGGTCACGTGACAGGCACGTCAAGCTCCACACGGGTGACAAAAAGTACAAATGTCCGCATTGTGAAAGCGCCTTCTCCAGAAGCGATCACTTGAAAATTCATTTGAAGGTAAATTCCTAAATCTCACTTTAAATCACAATTTATATTAATTTGCATAATGACCCACAGACCCACGACCACCAGAAACCCTACCAGTGTGTCGTGTGCAATCGTGGCTACAACACGGCCGCCGCTCTTACCTCCCACATGCAAAATCATAAAAAAGGTGACAGCAGCAACAGCAGTCAACACACGCCGAGGTAAGTTTACACCGTACTAAAGTAAAGCAAATGACTAAAAATCTATCATAATCACAGTCCCTCCTCCTCCACGACGTCCACCACGACCACGACAACAACAACCACTACCTTCCGTTGTCTTCAGTGCCCGCAATCCTTCCCCAGCGGTGAAGAACTATCAGCTCACACTCAATCCGCTCATTGCGAACCAATCCGATCTACCAAACCTGTCCCCACACCACCGACGACATCGTCCCCTTCATCCTCGTGTATTTACTGCTCATCCACGTTCTCCTCAATCGAGTCCCTCCAACTCCACGTACAAGCCCTTCACGGTCCACACCTGCTCATCCCACCGGGAACTGCCCTTTTGGAAATTCCATGCACCCTCTGCACCCTCAAGTTCTCTTCACTCCAATCGCTCCACAAACATCTCGTCAACAGTCACAGCTTGTCCTTTTATCTCAACAATAATATCTCAACTGCGGGATTAATGCTGTTCAAGGGAGGAACTGGGAGTTTGGGTGGTGGAGGTGCGAGTTCGAGTGGAGGAAGTTCCCCACAATCCATGCCAACGGATTTAAGCAGCAGTGGGGGAAGGAGGGCGGCGGCGACGGCGAGTAATAATTCCCTGCTTTGCAATCAGTGTGGGGCGGGATTTGAGTGAGTTTTTTTAAGGAAATTTCAGTGGGGAAGTATTTCTAAAAATTCTATTTCTATTGCAGTAATTTTGAATCATTTCGGACCCATTTGAAGCAACATTTGGATCTTCCATCCTCACCGAGTAGAAATTATCCGTGTGATCAGTGCGATTTGGAATTCAATTCTGAAGAACAATTAGAAGCTCATGGTAAGTTGTCTTTTTTGGGTATTACTAATTTACTTTATTCAAATAACGAATTGAATTTGCAGCCACGAGCCACTACCTCTCGACGACGAGCATGGAATACGGCTGCTCCAGTTGTCTCAAAGCATTTGCTAAACCTGACGAATTACAAAAACATTTACTCGATATTCATGCTCATCATTTGTACAGGTAAGCCACACGCCAATTATTTAACTTATCAACACTTTAACATAAATATTTTTTATCAGGTGCTCATTGTGCAAGGAAATATTTGACTCAAAAGTTTCCATCCAAGTCCATTTCGCCGTGAAACATTCAAACGAATGCAAAATGTTTCGGTGCAATGGTTGCTCTGGAGTGTTTCGGTCGGAAATGGAATTTCAGGTGGGTCACCCGCTCCTCATTTTTGAAATATCCAATTTTATTAATTAAATCTTGCTACAGTTACACGTCCGCCTGCTGCATCTCCAGCACCATCCAAACAATCATCACAGCAACCACCGCTCCACTCCATCAATATCTTCTGGATTTCGATGTCTTTTATGCGCTGCCACGTTCCCCACCGAGCTCGACCTCTCCTTCCACCATGCCGCTCACCAAAAACAGTTTAGATGCAAAATTTGCGATGAGGCCTTCCACGTCGGTTAGTTTATTTTTATTATTTACGCTTCGTTTTTCATGTAGTAAAAATATGACTCACGCCCCCTCTCTAAACCACAGAATTCCTGTTGGACAAGCACACGATAAGCCACCACTCAACACCTCCCACGTCCACCTCCTCCACCACCACTCCCACGATAAATTCCATCGAAAAATGTGAAATATGCGACAAATCCTTCCCTGATCTTCCATCCCATCGTAAAAATGTTCATCACATTCTGACCACTCCAACCACCACCACAAGCACAGAAGAAACCACTGAAAAGAAGAACCAAAAGTCATCCCGAACATTATCCCTCAACTGCGCCTACTGCCCCACCGTGTCAAAATCAAGAGCGGAGCTGGAAAATCATATGAAATCCCATCAAATCGTTGGGAAAAATAAATGCAACATTTGCGATGAAGTCTGTCCAACGGCCACTCTCCTCGCGGAACACAAATTAACACATTGCAAAGTTGTGGGAGGAAATCGATGCAGCGTTTGTAAAGAGGATGTTAAGAGCAGAGGGGACTACATGCAACACTGGAGGGGACACGGGGGGAGCACCTTCCCTGCGCCGTGTATTGTATGCAGGCAGACGATCGGGGTGGGTTGAGACTTTTTAATTAAAATAGTTTTTCTTAACTAATTTTTAAAAATAATTCCAGAGCGACGTTGAACTCCAACTGCATTCACGATACCACACGACGGACACAAAAAGCCCACCACCTCCCCCAACAAGGACCCCACCAACACCAACAAACAACCCCACCAGCACCCCACGATCATATCACTGTATAAAATGCCAATCCACCTTTTCCTCAGAATCCGAGATCCAATCTCACGTAACGCTAACTCACCTATCCTCCCCGTCAAACTCCTCAAATTCTTGTCACCTTTGTCCTCGACCAACCCCGTTCTCCTCTCCTCTCAAACTGCAAGTTCATTTAATTGAGCATAATTTTGAAGGGATTTCCTCCTTTAGTTGTTACATTTGTTCGGCTGTATTCACTTCTGCAGGGGGACTGCAAGGTCACATGGTTGGAGAACACGGACTGCAAGCCAGGCCGTACGACTGCCCCGAATGCCATCTCAAATTCTGGTTTCGAACGGAAATGGACAACCATTTGGTGACGCATAGCAATAATAATGTTTTGAGTAATAAAAGGAAGAAAAGTTGTGCGAATATTAAAGGAAATAAGAGGAAAAATAATAATGGGAGTGGGAGCAACAGCGGGGGTTTGAGTGGGGGCTTGAATTCCAATGGGAAGAAAAAGAGAAAGTTCTTTTATAGGGATGATTCCGATGATGATGAATTTAGAGTTGGTGGTGGGGAGGTTTTAGTTGAAGTTGGTTGAGGTTTTTTTTAGTTGGAAATTATGAAATAAAAAGTTGGTTTTGCTGAATATTTCTTACATTTCTCACAATGAACACATTTCTCACATGGCCCCATTAACGAGGGAAATTTGGTTTTATTCACATTGTTATTTATCTCAACGCACGTGGTGATCATCGCCTCGTTAAAAAAAATTACTAAAAAAATGGGAAAATCGAAATCCTCCCGTCGAAACAAGCGTGCCCGTCACAATCCAATTCAATCAAATGGATCTCACAGTTCACCACCTCCCTCTTCATCATCCCCCGAACTGTTGGAAAACCTCAAAACTCAATTAACTTCTCCCAACACCTCAGATGTTCTCACGGCTTTGGCATCCGTTTCCGTATTTGCTTCACAAAAGCAACATTTGGGGATTCTGGTGGATCCATCGGTTATAAAATCAATTATTCCACTGCTCACCAATCCAGATACACAAAATTCTGCTGCTGGGACGTTGAGGAACTTGAGCTCGGTGGATGAACACTTTTGTCATGTTTTGGTGAAGGAAAATGTGGTGGAGAAAATCGTGGAGGTTTTGACCGGGGTGGGTTTTTTTTAATTTTTAGAGAGTGAAAGTCTGGTTAACTTAATATGCTTTTAAAACTCCAGGCAGTGCCATGGAATGGAGGCGGAGAAGAAGAGTTGCTCTTAACACAATGCGTTGCCTTACTTTGGAATTTATGGTGAGTTTTTAAATCGTTAAACTTTGTTAATAAATATTTTAACTAATGTTTTATTAGCGAAACGAGTCAACTGGCCGTGAAAATATCAACTCAAAACAATCTTCACATTGTCCTTGCCCGTTATTTAGAGTGGAATAAATTTGGGTTGAATTTGGCCGTCACCGTCGGTGAGTTTTATAAAATATACAATATCATAATCATTCCACTAATTGACCCACATTTTTTTAGCCCACACGCTCTCCACCCTAACAGAGGACAACGGCAGCCTCCCTTCATCCACCCTCCCCACAATATTAACAACTCTTCTCACCACCTCAACCACACCTCCGCAATTGACCACCCCCTGCTTAGGAATACTACTAAATATCGTACAAAATATCCCATCCGACCTCCCACCATTAGTTCATTCATCCTTTTCTGCAATTCTTCTCCCATCCCTCCAACTCAACGTGCAAGAAATGATTAAACGATTTTCATCCGAGCTTCCAATCGACCAAGGCGGCGTCACTTTTGCAATGGACAAAAAAGCTGAAGAAATCAATAATTGGATCACTTGTGGAAAAACTGGGATGGAAATTGTAGCAAATTCTTTTAACATTAGTGAAGAGAGTGATGAGGAAATCGATGAGGACGCGATGGAATGCGACGATGAATCGGATAACTATTTACTCAATGGAATAGACTTGATTCCATTAATATTGGAGCAGATCCGACCCCTTCCCGTGAATGTTGTCGATATTTTATCACCCACACAGGGAAGACTGATTGAAAATTACAATCAACTAAGAATCAGTGGGATTATGGCTTTGCAGAATATTTTCGAATCTTTAAAAATTGACTTGGATTTTAATCAGGTTTTAATTGAATTGATGAAATTGAGTGATATTCCAGAATCCAGTTCAGTTATTCGATCGTTGTTTAGTTTATGGATTCGAAAAGATGATGGAAAATCATCTCATTTGGAAATTATTCCGTTTAAATCCGTGTTTTTCAATCTTTATCAAGAATCATTGAAATCGAATATCAAAATCAATTGTATTAAAATTTTAGGCTCCATTTCTATTTTGTCACGTGATTTGGAGGTGTTGAAAGAAGTTGGTTTGTGGTTTAAAGGGGTCCTGGGGGATCTGGTTAACAAGAGTAATTTGTTGGTCATAGTGGAGACGGTGGATACTTTGATGGATATGTTTTCTGAGGATGAAACGGATCAGGTTTTTAAAGAGATTTCCATTTTGGGGAGGTTTAAATCGTTGGGTGGGGAGATTAAGAAGGTTTTCAAGCTTGTTAACAGGGGTGGGAATAAGAAGAAAGGTGTGGAGGAGGAGGAGGAGTGGGGACAAGAAGCTAAAGCCGTGGTGGAAACAGTTCTTGATAATTTGCCCAGGTTTTTAGATTATAAAAAGAATTGACCATGGTTTATTGTAATTTGAGAGGAATTTGAGAATAAAAGTTGAGGTGGGAATTTTGTAGTTTCTTCGTTTGACATTCTTTTGACAAGCATTGATTTGCATTAAAATCACCGAATTGACACGTGAAATAATTAAAAAAAGAGAAATGTCCACTATAACGCCGCTAATTACTCAGCATTACAATTCTCTTCAGGAGAAAGGGATCGATGCTCGAAAGGATTCTCGGATTTTCTTCATGCGCTCCTTCAACAATTGGATCAAATCCATGCTCATCAGTGGGTTTTCTTATATTTATTTGTTTAAATTAACAAAACAGTAAATCAAAACATTTTAGGCGACACAATAAAGCGGATCCAACGTGAAAAGGACGAGGACAAGGACGATCTCACCGTTTTGGACATGTGTTGTGGGAAAGGTTTGCTTAGTTCTTAAACTAAAATTGTTACTCTCTTATTCTAAATTATTAACAGGCGGCGACATCCAAAAATGGGTGAAAAGCAATGCAGTCAAGCACGTAGTTTTCGCTGATATCGCTGAAACTTCGGTGGAACAGGTAGATTTTAGCAATTTACAAGTTTACTTAATTTTAAAAAATCACAAAAATCCACACAGTGCGCGGACCGCTACCGGAATTTGTACCCACCGGGCCGAGGACAGAAGGAGATATTTTCTGCAGAGTTTGTAACAGCGGATTGTACAAAGGACACGCTTCGTGGCAAATATTCCTCCCCGGACATCAAATTCGATCTCGTCAGCGTCCAATTCTCCTTCCACTACAGTTTCGAATCCATTAAACAAGCCACGAAAATGCTGGAAAATATCTCGGATAATTTAATCTCGGGAGGATATTTCATCGGAAGCACCCCCAATGATAATCGGATCGTGTAAGTGATTTTACTGGTTAAAAAAATAATTTGCTAATTATTTAAAAAATAACAGGAAATGGCTGCGAACCTCCTCACCCTCGCGATCCTTTGGCAACGACGTGTTCAACATTCGTTTCGAGAGCGAGGAACCTCTGCCAATTTTTGGAGCTAAATACTACTTTCAACTCGATGAAGTCGTCAACTGCCCAGAGTTCCTGGTCAACTTTAACGCTTTGAAAGAGTGGGTTTTACTTATTATTTTATTAACTCGGTTCGCTTAACGAGGGTGATTTTTTTGCAGGTTAGCTTCACGCGTGGGCCTCCGCCTCGTTTATAAATACACTTTTGAAGAGTTTTTCGCCATGATGAGGAAAGAGGGACAGTTTCTTTTAGAGCGGATGCAGGCTGTTCAGGTGCGGTTTTTTTCTCTGATTTTCTATGGTTGGGTATTTTTTAAAAACTGTTAATTACGCAGACCTACCCACCACCCGAGACCACACCAACCCCGCCGCCACCACCAAAATCCAGTGTAGAATACGCTCATGCAGAGAAATTCTTGAGAGACAATCCTGAAATTGAAAAAGTGGGAACTTTGTCAAAGTCCGAGTGGGAAGCCGTTTCACTCTACGTCGTTTTCGCATTTATTAAAGAGTGAAGTTTTAAGAGTTATTTTACGATACATTTGACAATTCGTTTTTATTTTATTGTCAATAATTAATTATAAACAATCGTTTAACACGATATCTGGTTAAATTTTTATTATCACAAAAAGATTTATATAAATAAATTTAAAAAAAACACTCATTCCGTTGGGGGTGGAACAATTTTTTTATCCACGCCAGCACCACCTCCGGGACCACCTCCCTGTGTCAAATACCCAGCCACGGAACCACTTCCCCCACCTCCCAAATATCCTCCAATCGCTTTGGTATCCAAAAATAGGTCGTGTTTCTACAAAGAAAAAATTAATATTTAAAAATGAATCGATAGATATAAATTAATAATTACCTGTCCCCTGTAGCCCTTCCAAACATCACTGGCTCCCAGGACCCCCTCTACGTCCGCTCCATAAACAGAATCCCTGGCCATGGCTTGGAGGGCATGGACAATATTCGCCTTGACACTCGCCACGGTCACCCCTCCATCCGGATCTTCTAACAAATGGTCCTTTCCACGTAGAAAACTAAGTAAGATTTCCACCAAGCCAAACCTGACACCCTGAGCGACGAGTTCACTGCTACAACCACCACTGCTAAAAATACCATTCACACCTTCGCAGACGAGCCCAACCCCTCGCTCAAGCTTTTTCAACCCCTTCACAATCAATTCAATCGAGTCAAAATTGATTAAAATCTCTAAAATCGCACCACTTGAACCGAAAAAACGTAAAATTTCACAGCAAATCTTCCTCAAATTCTCTTGATTAGAATTCAGTCCTTGTAAAACTTTAGGAACATAGCCCATTGAAACTAAGGAGTCGGACAAGTGTGGATTCCCACCGAAAATTATCCTCAACGCGGAGCAGACTAATTTAGTTTCACGATCGAAATTTTGAAAGCCAAATTCGAGTAAATCCTTTAAGAACTCGCGTGGTCTTCGCAAGCTCCAATTTGGATTTGCAACGTAGATTCTGAGATAAATATCACCGACGATGAGTTCCGTGTTGGAGTGGATGTTCTCGGCCGTGTCCATCGAGAAGAGCCAGTCGGAGGAGAGGTCGGTGCAGTGGGAGGCGTACAGCGGGGGGAATTCGGCGTGCAGGAAATTGGTCAGAGTTGTGCGGGAGGAATCGTTCCAGACGAGTTCTGGGTTCTCAGTGGAGGAGTCGTAAAGGGAGACGGCGGTTGGTGGGGACTCGGTCATGGCGGAGGTGAAAATCGGTGGGATTAATTTGTGGAGAAAGAGGGAGACGCGGGGGCCGGTTACTTTGTCGGAGGTGAGTCGGGAGATCACTTGGGCGGCTTTTGATCGGATGCTGCTGTCCAGGGTCGGGGTGGTGAAGAGGTGGAGCAGGTAGATCGGGAGGCCTGTAGGAGGGGGTTTATTATTTTTAGGATTTTTAAAAATATGTAAATTAAGGACCTACCCCTCTGGACCCCCTCTTTAACCACTGCCGGATGAGCCCCCAGCATTCCCAAGCAGTTTAACCCGTTATGGACGATTTCCACGGGTTTTTCCCTTACACAAATGACCATGAGGGCTGCGAGGATCCCAGAGCCGACTGAATCCGCTACGCAATCTTGATTTCCAAAGAGGCAGCCGAGCAGTGGGAGCATTTCTTGGCAAAATTGGAGCAGAAACTTGGCAAACAGACGGAATTTCCCTTTACACAAATGTTCTAAACCGGGATTGGACTTTATCGCAGTGGTCAAGGCATCGATGGAAATTGGGTTCAGCGTCTCGGGGTCCGTGGTGGAGAGGTAGGCCAGGAGGGAGGTGATGAACCCGCTCGGTTCTTCCAGTTGGAATGAGGGGGTGGTGGTGTAGATTCGGATGAATATCGATCCTGTGTCGGGGATTTTATTATTTTTTTATAATTGTATTGACTAATGATTAAATAAAATCCCTACCAATGACCAGCTCCCCCTGATGAATGGAATATTTAAAGTCTGAGCCATAAGTCATGTCCGTAATATCACCGCTCTTAAGTAGTTTTAGTTGTTGATCGCAATATTCGAGCAACTCGGCTCTCGTCTCATTGTTCCAAATTAAATATGGCGAAGAGTTGTTCGAGTTTAGCGTTTTCAATACTTGTTCAGGTGCTTGGGTCATTATCTGAGTTGTCAAAAATTATGTTATTAATCGTAATCTCAAAAGAAATAATTAAATAATAACAACCATTTTGGCTCCGTAGGGCAAGAGTAAATTTTCTAAAGACGTTCTAATCACATCATTTTTAGGTTTCTCTTCATCTCCACAGAGCGATTTTAAAGCGATGACTGAGGATTTTGCGAAGTTATTAATTAAAATTTGTAAATTCGTCTCTTCATCCGCTTGGACTTCGGATTCTTCGAGGGTGAAATCGTAGGTGAAGAGGGACGTGAGTAAATGCCATAAAACACCCGATTGGAGTAGTTGCATCTGCAAAATCGTATCAATCGACATGGCAGAAACGCACGTCGAGGCTGTGGTGCTCAGCTTCGTGAGGTGCTGAATAAAGAAATATAGAATTATTTTAGTAGACTATTGGCAGAAATGTTTATCTAAATCACCTTAAAATTGAAGATTTGGCAGAGTAAATTGGCAAGCATGGGCATTTCCACTAGTTTATCCCGACAGAGTTGGAATTGTGTCGCGACGGTGAAACATTTGGTAACGTAAAGACAAACTTTAACGGCTACATCGTCCGGTTTTGATGATTTGGAGAGCACGGAAACACAGCGTTCGAAGGCTACGAGTAATAATTCAAGGCCCTTTTCTCTCCTCAACTCTTCCACGTTGAGAGCGGAACAGTTGAGGGTCCAATAAACCACCTCGGCGCTGTGGGGAAGGAGCGGATATTCTTTGGCAAATAGGGCCTCGTCCTCAACGTCCATTTCTATCGTTTTTATCAACATTGGGTAGCCCGAGTATTTGTAGGGCGAGAGGACTGCGGGATTAATTAATTGTTGTTTAGTTGTACATAAGAATAAATTGTAATACGAACCATCTCCGTAGCGTTTGAAGAGGATGCTCTGAGTTTTAAGGATTAGAATTATCCTGTTGACGTCCGGATTTGCACTTTCAATGCACATTCGACTGCATAAAAACTCGTACGCCTTGTTCGCTGACTCAAAACGCTGGAAAGTTATACAAATCATTAGTTTAAATAATTATTTTTAAAAATTAGAGTAAAAAACCCACCTCTCTGCCTTGAGGATTTTTATCGGGATGATATTTTTGAGCCAATTTCCTATAATTCTTTTTAACCAGTTCACTCCAATTTTCATCATTTTCATCCAAGTCCAGGGCACGCAAGGCTTCCGTCACCGTCATCGGAGGTGGTTTCTTCTCGACCTCGCTTTTCCATGCCTCCAAAACATCACGCAAGGTGGACAGTGGGTCGGAAATTGGCCAGTTGGGGAATCTGCACAGAGAATTTTTGTTACTATTTTTTTAAACGGTAATTACAGACCACCCACCTCACTTCATCCGTTAAATTCCTCAAGTAGAAAACCCCGCAGAATAATTCGGATTCTAAATTGGAGTAAACTACAGCGGGGATGGCACAATAATCGTACAAGGCTCTCGTGTTTGATAGCAATCGAGGTGAGAAATCGGCTAAATGCAGCGCAATCCTTTCTATTAAATAACGACGCATGGATCCACTCCAAATGGCTTCGGGGGTGTCAAATTCACCGAGAAATGTTTCCGAAAACTTCTCAACGCCATGATTTTCTAAATACGCCACCATCGCTTCGGGCAAGAGGGATCCCAACACGGACTTTTGCCAGATGGACGTGCCCTTTAGCGAATTTATTAGAAATTTGCATATATATTTTTAATTAAATCATAAGTCGGGACAAACCTGCTGAGCGGAGTAAGTATTTTGCTTGAGATGAGTGAGGTGAAGGAATTTGGCAATTGGTAAAATATTGGACCCAATGTACATCATGATGAAGAAATACACACCCGTCGCATACACTCGAGAGGCGAATGGGTTTTCATCCAGTAACTATTAAAATCTTTGAATTAGTTTCCATATAAAAACAGACTAATGAAAACATACCAAAGTAAGCAAAGTGGCAACTCTTTCGACGATGGGAGGATCGAAAGTGAGTAGAATTTGTACAATGTGTGGGAAACAAGAAGCTCCATCCGTTAAAATTTGTTTGGCTTTATGAACGGGTCGGATAATTGAGTCCCCAATTTTTGATGGACAAAATTGTAAAATTTGTATTAAAATATCCAAAACCACGGCTGCCAATTTGGATTCGTTCATTAAAGATGGTTGATTTTCACAGATTATGAACCATTTGCATTGCGAAACCAGGCCAAACTGCTTCCAAGAATCCAATCCGTTCGACCAGATTTTGGTCTTAGTCTCGAGCTTTTGAGTTTGGTACAGTTTTTGGAGCTGCAGGAAAGAGGAATTATGAGGATTTATCCGTGGGATTTTATTAAGAAAGTGGAAACCAAACCTCTTTAAATCCTACGGGTCCAATTTTCTCATTTCCTTTCATGTAGTACCATTCTGGTGAGTCGGCATGTTTCATATCAGTCCCAGCTTCAATCACATTGCTTTGTGTGGAAATTGTGGCACGACTCGTGTGTAAATGAGCCAGGGGTAATAAATCCACGAGGATTTTCAATCCACCACAAGTCACCAGTTCACGAGCATTTTCGGAATGTTTCACCAGTTGTTGGATGAACAGGACCAGGCGATCGCGCTCCGATTTGTCCAGCGACTAATTAAGAGTTTTTATATTTTATGCCAAATTACTTTAAAATAAAAAAGTATTTTTTACCCTTTCCAACATCAGCACGACGAATTTCAAATCGTTGAAAACCCCAATTTCTACGGAATATCTTTGATAAACGATGGTCATCGCTTCCAAGCACATTCCACGTAATTCCGGTTTCCCAGTTAATAGAAATCGATGGTATAAATCTGCAAAGAATTCTTTTGGATTTCGAATCGTTGACGTGATCGTCGTAGATGATTTTTCATCCAACAGTAATCGGAGATAATATCCACCAACGCGTATTTCATCGTTGAGTGATTTGTACACGACTTGGAAATCGGCGTAATTCCAACAAATACTTCCGCGGATGTGCTCACGATCGTTGTCTAAAAGGCGGATTTCGTTCTGGAGGCTTTCCCTGTGGGAGGTTTTTATTTAAATTAGGTCTTAATTAAGGAAACAGTTATTGTAAATCATACCTCAACTCCTCTCTCGTTTGAAAGTTCCAAATTAAATCCGGAGCGGCCACATCTTTAAGAAATCCATAATAGAACCATGTCCAATTCCCTTCTAAAACAAGATTTTGTCTCCTTTTCCTTAGAGCAACGGGTCGAAAGGCAACGTTTTTCCTCGCCTCCACCGCCACATTTAATCGCCAATGTTTCAGGGCTGCTTCTACTTGTTTTTCTACGTATTTCTCCACGTTCCTCACTTGGCGTTGGAGCGTGGTTGGGGTTTTGTAAATTGACGTGGCAATGGCAAGGGTATCACGAGTATGAATATAATCTGGCTCCGTTGGGGACGTCGCAGGGGATTCGGGGGGTTGGGAGGTGGAGGATAAATAGAGTAGGAGGCCGGGTGGCTGTGGGGATGGAGATTGTTAAAGATTTTCATTGAGTAATTAACTATTTTGGCTTACAAAAATCCTGTGAAGTAAATCCTTGCTTTGGTCATGTTGTGAGGTCCACAATTGAATTAAATGGCGTGATAATTGACGTAAAGTTAGCAATCTTGGGTCCGAAGTTTGTACGAATAATGCGGAGAGGAGGTGGCGTATCAAAGCGCCTTCTTTCAGGGCCATGTCTTGGATTTCACGACCCAGTGTTCCCTGTCCTTCTTCTATCAGGGCCTTCGTTATCAGCCCTGCGCCTTTTACAATAGCGATGGAGGGGTGCTGGGGGGATTTTTTAAGTTTTAGTTGTGAAAGTGGAAATGAATACGATATTTTTTAGTTCTTTTTACTTGAAAGAGTGAAAAGAGAACGGAGGCCCTTCCAGCCACTGCTTGTAACAAGGTGTCAAATTGTCCACCCATCGTCGTCTCCGAATATGGAGCACAAAGCGCAAACGTCAAAATGTCCAGCATGGCTTAAATTCAAGAATAAATAAATGTTAGTCATTGAAAACATACAATAATTAACTAATTCCCTCACTCAATGTAACCAACGCCCCGGTTCCCCTCTTCATGCAACTTGTCCACATGTCGAGCAAGGAATCCAAGAATTTCCCACTGTTTAAAACCTTTTCCTTATTTTCCTGTTCGATCCTTAAATCTGAATCCGAATGCATGGGTTGCATCAAAGCAGAGATAACTTCCAAGGCGGAGTGGATAGTCGTCTCCGTGGTTGTCGTGGATCTCAATGCTGCCACGACCAGGGATCCCAGGCGTTCGCGGAAGCTGTTTTAGTTACAATTTTTATTTTAGGAAATTTTAAATAAAATCTTCATACGTTTGCATTTCCGAGAAGGCAGCGAAACCGGTTTTGGAGCAAACCAATCGTCGGACGAGTTGGAAAAAATCTTCATACTCAGGTTCGGACACGTCTTTGGTTAACAGGGCGTTTATGGCGACGAGGATCAGTTTTTCCTTGTTTTCAGCGAAGAGGCCCTAGGGAAATTTTTGCTATTTAGTGATTTGCTAATTGAGATTTTAATAAATTTTACATTGGACGATGAGGAGTGGATGAGTCCGGAATACTCCACGTTGGCGTTGAACCTGATCAGGAGCTCGTGAAAGGACCAACTCGGCGGAGGTTGATGGAGGAATTTCAAAAACAGCGTCTCCACCTGGGGGATTGTTAAGTGATTTATTTTATAATTTAATCAGTAAAGAAATTAAAAAGACCTTTTCATCGACATGATTGGAGATGGGCCCCCAACGTTTCCCTTGCGGAGTAATTCTGGATTGGACATGAACGGCCGTGTTCCCCGCCGCCCGCGTCCCGTCCATCAACGAAGCGAGGAGAGAGTCACGCTCTGTAGAAAAATACGTCCTCGGACCCGAGCCCGTCGTAAACTCAATCACCACGGCCTGAGAATCGTCCACGCAGCGGACCAAGGAGAATATTGTGGACAAGGGGAAGAGCGATTTTATCTGTGGATACAGGGAAATTATTAGTGATAAATATGGATTGGATAATGAGTCCTTACCGCATAGCTCCCCGGATCCCTTTCGAGGAGGCAGGTTTCGCTGAGACAGAGGAGAAGGCGGAGACGTTTATCGTTTTGTAGGCGGAATTCAGACAACGAGATTAAATGGACGTCGGCTGAAAAAATGCCCAAGCGATTGGAGAGCAGGGTTGGGAGGGGGGAGGTGGACTTTATATAGGTTAGGTTATGGCCGAGGTAGTGGGTCGAGTTTTCGAGGAGTTTGGCGATCAGGGAGGAGGTGGATGTCGTTCGGAAGATGTGCTGCAGTGGAAGTTACGATCAGTTTTGGACAAGAAAATTATTAGTGAATTCACTTACCAATCGCTCGGTTAATTTCTTTCTGAGTGCGAAAACGCCTTCTTCTCCTTCAACAACTGCGTCCAAGTCTTTAAAATAGTAGATTTTCTTCTCTCCCTGGTCCGTGATTTGCTCGAGGGAGATGTGGGTTAGATTTAATGTTATCGGGGTGGACGTGGCTGAGCCGTGGCTGGAATTTTTTACACACTTTCTTAGCACCAAATTTTATAAATTAAATAAAAAATTACCAAAACTTCTCCGCCCCACCACCACCACCACCTCCTCTCCACCCGGATTTATTACAGATCCCCTCCGTCCATCCACTTTTTCCAAAACTGCTCACAAACTCCAAGGCTCTGCTCAGAATCTCCACTCGATATTCGGATTCGAAGCGCATCGTGTCCGTGGACTTGCCTTTGCGGTGAGTCAGCTGGAAGGCGTGTGGGTGGTCCGGGGTGGACAGTGGGCTCAGGGAAAATATATCCGGCCATTGCCAGTGGTTTGTACGGTCGGAGTCGTGGTTGTAGGTCGTCAGCCCGTGCGTGGACAGCGTGAAGATTCGGGGGTAGCTGTGGAATAATATTATAAAGTATTGTTGGTGTTATCATTTGGAGATAAATGACTCACTTCCCCTTCCATCTCGTGAGTTTGACGGTGTAGTAGGAGTAAAGGTCAGTCGTGGGGGGTGGGAGCGACGTGGAGGTCACCATTCTATTCTTCTATCAGTATAATTAATAGTGGAAACTCCCCATTTATTATTATTTACGTGTTTGTGTAGTAGCAAAATTACAAGGATTGTAATTTATTGTGTGTTGATTTTTGCAGATGGGGAACAAGGAGATTGAAATGTTGACTAGCCGGCAGTCGGACGGAGAGGAGTGACGTGAGTCAGACTGTCAAGTTGGTTACAAGTTTTTTTGCGGAATTTAATTAAATTTTGATAAAATGGATCCCCAGTTGATTTCGTTTTTTAATGGTGAATAAATCGTTGGAGAAGTGTGTTAAGTAATTAAATTAATTTCTCTCTATTTTTCCAGCGGTGGACGTCGATCGATCCGGGCGGATAAATCCGACCGAGTTGCAACAAGTATTGCAGTCGTCAAATGGGAGGAAGTTCTCGGAAAATGCTTGTCGTTTGATGATTGGTGGGGGTTTTTTAATTGATTTTTGATTAATTAATTAATTAAATTATTTTATTTCTAAATAAAATTATTTTTAGGCCTGTTCGACCCCGGGAACAGCGGTTCGATTGACATGCAAGGGTTTTCCGCCCTCTACGCCTATGTCAACCAGTGGTTGGGAACGTTCAAAAACTTCGATCGGAACTCCTCAGGGTTCATCGATGAGGGTGGGTTTTTATTTTATTTGCTAAAGAAAATTGGATTATCCATAAATTTAATTTCTCAAAAGGCGAACTGAGCCAAGCGATGGGGAGCATGGGCTACCGATTCAGCCCCGGATTCGTCGCCTTCCTTATGCACAAATTCGGGGAGGGCCAGTTCGGGTTGCCAGTGGATGGGTTCATCTCTGTGAGTTGTTTTACGTGAGAAATTGGGTGCAAAATAATGATAAAAATGATAATTTGCAGGCCTGCATCCTAATCCACAAGTTCACGGATGGATTTCGAAAGAAGGACACTTCCTCCTCGGGAATGATTCAGATTTCGTATGAGGACTTTCTCCAAATGGTTCTGACCGGGTGTTGATTTACTATTTCCGATACTGTCATTTTTTATTCATAACTAAAAATAAACACTGATGAGCAAAAGATATTTATTCGACCAACTCTCGTCTCATTTGAACTGCGGCCTCAACTAAAAGGCTGAACGGAGACGTGTCAATGTAGGAAAGATTTAGGGAGACGCGGGAAGAGGGGGGCGAGCGGCGGTTACGTTTTGTCGAGGGGGAGAGTGGCGGTGGGGGTGGGGATGGTGGGGAGGGAGATAGCGAGGAGGATGTGGAGGAGTCGGAAGAGTAGGAATCTTCTTGTTGTGATGTGGTGGTTGTGGAGTGGTAGCTGCGACGGGTTGTTGACGATGAGGGGGATGAAGTAGTTGTGGTAGAGGTGTGACGACGGGAAATTGTGTAGTTTTGTGGGTTCTGCCCTTCCGATAAGATCTGCAAAATCAGGGAGTTAGTGGATACGTTAGACAATTTTATATGTAAATTCATACCATTTCCGGTAATATCCTCCTCCTGGAATTGATGAACCAATTGCAGACTTGGAGGAGCGAAAGGCCACAGCGACGACTCAGCTCCAGTTTCTCGCTCTCGGATGGGTAAGCATTGTAGCGGTGGTCGTATAACCTGCGTGGGTCAAAAGATTTTAAAAATTAGTCGGCATCCACAATCATCCATAAGCGATGGTCAAATTACCACTGCGTCAGCACGGCGACGCTTTCTTTGGGCAGTGTTCCTCTCTTTTTCTTTTTATCACCTCCACCGCTGCTGGCTGAACACGATGAGGAATCTTCATCTCCTTCTGTGTATAAATTAAATAACCTTGATTTCAACACCTCAACACTCGAACTCGAACTCTCACTACTCCTGCACACACACTAATTTTCAGAGTGGCAGCAGCAGCAGAAGAGACAGCCTTGAATTGACTGCGTAGTTTATTTATTTTATTATATTGCAAGCAGAGAAAAAACAAGGAAGCCAAAAAAGAGATAGAAGATCTGCAAGGTCGGCGGGTTTTAATAATGTTCATATTATTCAAGCAGTGGTGGTGGTGGTTTGACAGAGACTGAGGAGAAAAATTGACAGCAAGCAAAAGCATGTGCGTCGTGGTATACACACAAAATTTCTTATGTCTGTTAGGCTAACTAGGCCACGGCCCTCTCTCTTCTTTGCGAAGCTTCTCTCTCGCTTATTATGAAGTAAGAGAAGATGTGCTAATGTGTGTAAAATGTTGCAATATTTGACAGCACATAGAGGAATAGGAACGCTCTTTTCTAATCTCTGAGTTAAAAGTGTGCGTTTGGAGCTGTGCGCAAGTTAAAAATAGACACGCTGCAGAATTTTTTTTTAGTTTCGTTTTTAGGGATTTACCTTTTGTAATTTGTTGGTTTGTCGTCGTTGGTTGTGTGATTGTTGTGGGTGTGGTTGTATTAGTTGTGGTAGTGGACGAATGATGACGAGAGATTCCTTTAGTGACCATGGTCCAAGGTGGTGCTGAAGAAGGAACGCGCACGTGAGAGAAATACGACGACAAGAAATGGACTGGTTTCGTTTGACGTTTGCTGGTGGGGTATATATGCAGGCGATGGGCTATGTTGTGAGAGTGTGTGGAGTGAGAGAGTGAGTGTCTGGCTGGCTGGGGATATATTCGTGGTGCAGCAGTGGTGGATGGATGGAGAGAACAAAGAAAGATGAAAGATATAGTAGTAATAGGAATGTTATTAACAAAGAAAAGTGTGTTGCTGGTTATGCTATTAAGATGCTGGAAATATATGTCACTTTTGTGGTGCTGTTTAGTTGTTGATGCATATTTATTGATGAATATTTATTAGTTGACCATTCACCATTCGAAATTGTCATTTGGAATTATTGATTTATTTGGTTAATATGATTTATTTTTTTAATATTACTTGGTTTCAAATAAATCCCACCAATTTACCACCACTTGATTGACCATTAAAACCAATTAAATATAAATAATCAACTATTTATTTCTCTCTCTCCCCCATGATTTCCACACAAAAAAATTTACACACGACTCTCTCTACAATTTCCATAATTACAATCACTACAAATGAATTCCTCCTTCAAGGATCCACCAAATCATAATCGGGAAGGAACGCATCGTAGGTGGGAACATTTTTCGACCACAAATCGATCTTCGGCCCCTTTCCCAGCTGACCCATGAGCCATTGACGATCCCGTTCGATCTTTATGTGCGTCACACGTTGGAGCTGCGGATTTTGGAGGTTTTTATATTTCCCCATTTAATTAATTAAAGAGTAAAATCAGACCTGTTTGTACTGCCCGACGCACTCTGCGAAGTCTTGGTACAGGAACTTGCACTTTTTCTTCCCCTGGAACGCTCCGTGCGCTTGGAGGCTGCGGATTTATAGAGGGAATTTTTTAGAATCGCTATTTTATGAGCTTATTTAATAGAAATTATTTTATAAATGAACAAACTCACCAATCCAACCACCTCAAATTGAAGGGGACACACTGGCCCATGACTTGATGTCCGATGGGGCCGGTCATGTCCGTCAAGGGGGTCCGGATGGGTGGGGGACACACCATCGTCTCCTCGGGGGGCGGGTGTTCAGGACGTTACCCATCTTCACCAAGAGATAGAATTTCTATTTTTCTAAATTATCAGCAGGTTTTTTGTGTATTTTTTTAGGAGATAATTCTAATCTCCCCGCTGCTCCTTCTTGAGTGAAAAGGTGAGACGGACGATGACTAATTAGAGAGAAAGAGTAAAGAAAAACAGCAGGTTTTATTATTGTGAGTGAGTGAAAAAAGTGCCATTTTAGTGATTGAACAGAGAAATCATGGGGAGTGCCTCGGCGGAGAATGTTTATAAACAGCAAAATAATAATAGTGCAGGGAGTGCTGGGAGTGGAAGTGAAGATAACGTGTGGTGAGTAGTATTATCCTATTACGTAACATTACAACTTGACAATTTCGATATAAACTTAGGTCCTCCATCCTGTCCGAAGTGCGGTCGAACGCCTCGGTCAAGCTCCCTTCGGGAAGGGCCGTCGTCGTTTTAGGTCCGGTGGTTTTGCTGTTATTTAAGATTAACTAAATAACTAATTTTATAAATAAAACAGGCCACCCGGAGAGTGGAAAAACGACGCTGGTGGCGAAACTGCAAGGGATCGAGGATCCCAAGAAAGGTTCCGGTTTAGAGTACACCTACATCGAGATTAGAGACGAGTACAGGGAGGACACGACCCACTTGTCCGTTTTCACCCTGGATGGGGACAAGGCACACTTTCCTCTGCGTAAGGAAATCGTCTTCAGATAATCGTCACTCAAAGTCTAATAATAATTCTCTCAACAGTAACCTTCGCATTGAACACCTCCACCCTGACCTCCACCACAATCCTCCTGACCGTGTCCATGTCCACTCCCTGGTTGATCCTAGAACAACTCCAAGACTGGGCCGGATTACTACACGACCACGTCGATAGCCTCAAAATCCCACCCGACGAAGTTAAGACTTTGCGAGAAGGGGTCCTGCGTCGATGGTTGAGTTACCAAGAACCTCTTGGCGATGGGGAAGGGGACATTTCTGGGCTGGTGCAGGGGGGTGGAGTGGGGATCGAGGAGATGGTGGCGGATGAAGGGGTGCTCGTGAGGAATGTGGGGGTGGATATTGTCGTCGTGGTGACGAAGACGGATCACATGACCACGTTGGAGAGGGAGGAGAATTATCGGGAGGAACATTTTGATTTTATTCAGTTTCACGTGAGGAGGTTCTGTCTGAATTATGGGGCGAGTTTGTTCTATACGTCGGTGAAGGAGGATAAAAATTGTGATCTCTTGGTGAGTAAATTACTATTAAAGTGTGTTGGTGGATTTTAGTTGATTTATCTCTCTCTTTAGTACAAGTATCTAGTCCACCGGGTCTACGGGGGCACGAACAACTTCAAAACGCCGGCACTCGTCGTGGAAAAGGATGCCGTTTTTATGTGAGCATTCCTCTTCACCATAAAAGTAATGTAATAAATCATCGTTTCTAACGTATAATAGCCCCTCCGGGTGGGACAACCTCAAGAAAATGTCCATCCTGCACGAGTCCATGTCCTCTATCGACCCAGAATCTTACTACAACGACGTCATCCTCCGCCCCGTCCACAAAACGGTCAGATCTGAAGGGAGAAACGTCGCCGAGGTGGAGGTGGAAGATGAACAGTTGTTTCTGGAGAGGCAGATGGGGATTTTGACCCTTGGCGGTGGTGGGGGTGCAGTTGGGGGGAGTGTGGGGAAAGGGAAAACACCAGCGAGTGATAAGAGACAGACCAGTGGTGGGGGTGGGAGTAGTATTAGCGGTGGGGTTACGACGGGAGGGATCACCACGCCGAAGAAGGTATTTACTATTTATTTATTTAAAGGTGATTTTTTAATAAAATTCAACCGCAGGGCGAGCAATGCACGGACCGCGTCCTGGCGAATTTCTTTAATTCTTTACTAACGAATAAGAAGAGTGGCGGAGGAGGAGGGAGTGGTCCAAGCAGTGCAAACACGAGTCTAAGTGGAACGGATTGTTAATTTTATTAATTTTCTCTTTGTAAATAAATCTAAATCACAAAATTGAATAAACTCTCTCGGAATGGATTATCCCAGGAGCAGAAGACGGAAATCCCGGCCGTGTACTCGGCTGGGATGGGGAGGTGTGGGGTTTTCTTTATCGTGGTGGTGGTGGAGTGGGGGGACTCCTCCTCGTGGAGCATGTGGGACACGGTTCCTTTATATCAATTTGTTAGTTTAATCTTGTTATAATTGATAAAATACGATAATACTCACCCAACACGTTCATCTCGTTCCACTCCTGCCCGATCCTCGTGAGTAATCTTAAATCGTAATTCTGCTGATGGAACTTGAGCACGTCCTCTCTTTTAATAAGTAGAACCGACTCTGAAGTGATTTGTGGTAGGAACTCATCAATGGGAATTTTCTCCAGCGGATTCGTGAGTAAAACGGTGTTGGCGTCCACGCCATAAATCATCTGGTGATGCCAAGCGTCGGCGAGGGTTGAGATTTTCTGCGGGTTCAGCGTGGCCAATGGAGCGCAGCCAGCGTCGATCCAGGTGGCGAGGGTGGTGAGGAGTTTGGACGGGTTGGTGGTGTGGTGATTGAGGGGGAAGAATTTTCCCACTATTTTGTTATTGGTTAGAGTTTGGATGGCGGTGATTATTTGTGAATGGGTCGTTCCGGCACGGGAGCGGGAGATGAGGTAGGTGTGGAGCGGGGTGGTGGTGGGGTCACTGGAGCGGAGCGAGGGGGGGAGCAGTGAAAGTAGAGTGGCTGGGGAGGGGAGAGGGTGGTGGAGAGAGGTGAGGATGTGGGTGAGGGAGGTTAGGCCGCAGGAGGAGGGGCCGAATTGGGAGGTGGTTGAGGTGGTGAGTTTGCGGGCTTGTTCAAGGGTCCAGATTAGGTGAGGTGGTGGTGGGGTTATTAGTGGTGGGGTGGAAGCATTGAGAGAGTCGAGATACGCCTGGCGTGGATGTGGTGGTAATGATGAAATTGGTGATGGAGGTTGAACTGACGCTGGCTGACCTAATTGCGGAAGATTATTCTCGACAAAATCCCCCTCGATGAAGTCCTCTTCTAAATCTGATGAACTTTTACTCGTGCTTCCACTGCTCGTCGATTCTGATTCCGTTGCTGCTGGCGGTGCAGAAGAGCTGAAAACACACAAAATTAGCAAAAAAAACCTCTCTCTAATTAAAAAATAAGGAACCTATTCCCAGCCTCCTCCACTCCAGAAATCCCACCAAAACAATCCTGTGTTTGCCTCTGAGTAGAATGCTGAAAGAACTGAAAGAAAGACGAGGGCAGATCCGCCAATTGCCTGCTCGTCCCTTCCTCCTCTTCAGGGGGCTCCCTCCACGTGTAAACGTAATTGTCGTCCGGGTCGGGGGACGGATTGTTGTTGTTTTCGTTCGGGGAGGTCATCTTTTTTATTCACTCTCTCGTCTGACTTTTTGAATTGAGTTTGTGTCCATCCACCCGGGGCAACTGTACCCTCACCCCGCCAACCGTTTCTCTCACTGAAAAAAAAGTGACACACTACACTGCTGACAATTAAACAATTGACAATGTGACGATGCCACCACCAGCACCACCATCGTCCGTGACTACACCCCCACCACAACCCCGCCTCCTCCTCGGGGCGTTACTCTTGTTGTGTGTGGATCTGATCTGGGTGCTTTCCAGCGAACTCTCGGACCACATTTATCACGATGAACATTTCGATAAGCCGTTCTTCACGGTGTTTGTCAAGACGGGGATGTTCATCGTGTTTTTAGTGGGGAGGGTGGGGGTCGTGGGTGGGCAGGGGAATGGGTTGGGCAGTGGCGGTGGCAGTGGGGATTATAGGGTGAGTTGTAGTTTTAATTAATTTGTGTGGTGATAATAATTGATAAATTTCCAGTTACTAACGGATGCGGATGAACCCACAACCTCACAACCACCACAATCAACGATAGAAACCCACTCCACCTCCCCCTCCACCTCCGACACCGAAGAAGAACTAATCATCGCTCCCACACTCAGCCCCTCGGCCTTCGTCCCCATAAATTACGAGGACAACACGAGCGATGAGGGGAATGGCAAAGTCAAATTTAGTCGGGTGGCCGAGGTGCGTAAGGGATATTAATTTACTGATTTTATACTAATAGAGGTGATCCATAGGTCCGCCACTGCAGTCCAAAGGACGCCACGGCCGCTACCCTCTCCCGAATGTCGTACCACGCTTCCCTCGCCGTCCAGGACTCCCTCGCCAGAAATGCGGACAAACTCACGACGACGGAGACGGCCAGGGTCGCTCTGGCTTTTTGCGCAATGGTAATTTATTCTTAAATTACCTTGAAAATGTATTAAAATCCCAAATTTCCAATAGTGGTTCCTTGCAAACTACACCTACGCGCTGGCCATTTCCACAGCCACCTCCCAAGTGGCTCTAATCAACGTCTTGTCCTCCACCTCATCTTTATTCACCCTTGGCCTATCCGCCGCCTTCCCCTCGACCCCGTCGGACAGGGTCACCTTGTCGAAGTTATTTTGTGTTCTCGTTTCCATTTGTGGGGTTGTCGTGGTGAGTTTTATGACGAGGGAAAATGGGGTGGAGGTGAAGTTAGGGGCCGGTTGGGCTCTGGTCAGTGCGGGGTTCTATGCGGCGTATTTAGTATTTCTGAGGAGGGCCGTGGGCGGGAGGGAGGGACGGATGGATGTGTTTCTTTTCTTTGGTGAGTGCAGTAGTAGTGGGGAGTGGTTTAAAATGCTAATTAGAATTTTATAGGATTCGTGGGGCTGTTCAACGTGCTCCTGCTCTGGCCGCTCTTCCTGCTCCTTCACTACTCCTCCTTTGAGGTGTTCACATTCCCCTCCCAGCGCCAGTGGGGGTTTCTTCTAGTCAATGGGATTTTGGGCACGGTCTTCAGCGAGGTTCTGTGGGTTTGGTTAGTTTACTCACTTAATTTCTTAAATTACAATGTCAATAAAGTAAATTACTTCCGTAGGAGCTGCCTGCTGACCTCCTCACTAATCGCGACGCTGGCCATCACCCTCACGATCCCCATGTCCATGATAGCCGACGTGGTGTTCAAGGGTGCGTCGTATAATTATTGGTTTTACATTGGGTCCATTCCTGTGCTGGTGGGGTTCGTGGGGGTGACTTTGTTGGGGGTGGGGGACTGGGATCCACTAGGGGAGGGGGTTTGTCGGAAGGAGGAAGAAGTGGGAAGAGGAGAAGTGGAAGACACCACGACGTTGTTGGAGAATAGTGAAATTAATTCTTAAGATTTTTTTTGTAGTGTATTTTTAGTTTGTGTCCTCAATAAATGTGGGATTTGAGATTGTATTTTGGGTGATTGGAGAGAAAGGGAAAGTTGTCATGTGCAATTTGTGAGGAAAGGGTTGATTTTTGTGGGTATATTTCTGGACCGGATCCACTAATATAAAGCGAAAGTGAGAGTGACTGAGGATATAAAAGGGTCGAAAAATGCCCAAACCCTTGGCCATTCGCATAATCACTCTCTCACAAAGTCTCGAATCATGTCTGGGTTCAGGTTTTTGGTGAGTTTTTCTTTATTTTCTGTGACTATTTTTTGGGCGTGAATTAATTAATTTTACTAAAATTTCCAGCTCTTGCTGCTCCTCGTCTCCGTCGTCTCCCTGGTCCACTCCAGCCCGATGAAGTTTGAGGAGGAGGAGGAACCCGAGGAGTCCCCACCGCTCTACGAAATCAATCCCCATTTCGGGTTCAGGAAATACTTTGAAATCAGGTACGAGCCGTTGACGGTGCCCTTGGAGTATGCGGAACAGCAGGTGCCTCAGTCGCAGTCGCAGCAGGTGAGGTGTTTTTGGAATTGTGAGTTGTGTGAGTGGTGCTGATTTTTGTTTTAATTTTTTTGCAGGGATATTATTGAGGTTTAGTTTAATAAGTTATTTAATTTAATTAGCGTACAAAAAATTAATTAACGTATTAGTTTAGTAAATAAATAAATAAATAAAATCACAAAACGCTGGTGTACAACCCGTGATGCATGGTGATTCCTTTGAAGACGTACTTTCCATGCTTGGCCCATCCTTTGTTCTTGTTTTTTACGTGGCTGAACTCGGGGAGGAAGCCGATCCCGTCTAGGGAATTAGTTTTTGCATGAATTATCATAAACAGCACCCATAAAATTATAATTTCAAATGTTTAAAACTTTGCGCATATTTTTCCACGTAGCACAAAAAGTCACTCAACAAATATAAAATAAGATAAAAGACTCACCCAACACCCTCTCCGTCAAATCGACGAGATATCCTGGAGAGAAAACGGACTCTTTCCTGACCATTTTCCAGCCATGGTTTTTATTATTCTTTTTGTTCTTATTTTTCCTCTGGTGGTGGGGATTGTTGTGCTTGTTTTGGGCCCAGTATTTCACGTAGTGCGGGGGTCGGTTGTTCTTCTTCTTTCGTGGGGGGAGGAGGGTGGAGGGGATTTTAAAGAGGGGGAGCGTGTAGCCCGTGGATTTTGTGGACGGAGGGGAGATGGAGCCGGAGCGGGGGGAGAATTCTGTGGAGGAGAGTGGGTCGGATAATGGAGGGTAGTGGTGGGTGATGACCACGTGGGGGGTGAGGGTCAGGGAGTGCGTGGCCGCAGGGGTGGTGGGCTGCAAGTGACAAGTGTTTTAGGGTGGTTTTCAATGTGTTTTTAATGGGAATTTTTACCTGAACAAAGCCAGCCAGGAGAAAGAGGAGTGCAGCAGCTATAATCAACGCCATAATGTTTCGGGTAATGAAGTGTGTGATCGTTTGATTTCAGAAGATGTTTTTTGATGATGCAAAGTGTGTGCAGCGGAGAATGTGCAGTGAGATGAATGCGAAATGAGCGTATTAAAACAGGTTTTTCTAGTTCAACGATCTTTTATTTAAGCTATTTTTTTTACTATCTCTCTCTCTCTACCAACCTGCAAAATTATTGTGTTTAGGATTTGTTTTTTGTAGTGTGGGGAATTTTTAGAAAGAATTAAGACGTACCATGACCTCCGCCGCCGCCGCCGCCCTGCAGGTTTTTAGAAGATTATTAATGGGGGGCCAGTTAATTAAATTGATGATAAACTTACTCCACCACCGCCACCGCCTCCCCAACCGTGGACGACTTCATGGTGGAGATTGAGCTGGGGATGTTTGATGACGACGGGAGCACCGCCTTGAGGGAATTTCGGCGCTTTGTAATGGACGTGGCGATGGATTGGGGGTTTCTTCCAGCCCCAGCCGCCGCCTCCGCCGCCGCCATGGCCGCCGCCGCCTCCGCCGCCATGGCCGCCGCCGCCTCCGCCGCCATGGCCGCCGCCGCCATGGCCACCGCCACCGCCTCCTCCCTGTGAAATGAGGATGAATTTAGTACTTGCGCTAATGATAGAATTTATAAAAACCCTTACCCAACCACCATGTCCCCCACCACCACCACCTCCTCCACCTCCACCCCCACCACCGCTACCCCAGCCCTTTTTCTCCTTATGAACTGGACCCCAATAGTACCAAAATCCACCCTTTTTGCTGCTTCCCTTCTGAAAATTGGACACAATAAATAAACACTAAAATCGCCATGGCAATGGATTATCCACAGACCTTCTTCTTCTTCTTCTTCTTCTGCGGAAAAGTAAATAAATAATCAGTCCAAAAACCCACGAAAAATAGCAAAAATCCACCTACCTTCCCCTTCTTCTTCTTCCCACCCCCGCCCCAGCCATCCCTCCCGCTCCCGCTGAAGCTGATGGGGGTGAGTTCAATCTCCCCGGAGGAATAGTCTAGAAAGGTGGCTCTGGGGGAGTAGACGGGGTAGGTCTCCTCCGTCTCGTAATAAGGAGCAACAGGGACGAGGTCATCATCGTCCAGCTCTTGGTACGTGTAGTGGTAGGCGTGCGTGTAGGTCAGGGCTGCCAGGAGCAGCAGGGACTAAGGAGACAGAATTTGTTATTTATTAGTGGGGGTGTAATGGTGGGAGGGGAGGAACACTCACCGCGAAGAACCGCATCTCCTATATTTAAGAAGAAAAGCACGTAAAAGGAGAGTGATCTTCTCCGTGGGAAGAACAGGACTGGAGGGGAGACGACCCACGGAGACGTGTTTTATCGTCCAGCAATAGGAGAGAGGTGAGTATGAGTGTGAAAAAAGTGACCAAACCACTTTGCTGCTGCTGGGTAGTTGACCCATGCAGATGCCGTGAAATTATGATGCTGCGGTGGTTTTGAGACGTGTGAGGTCGATGCACGATTAAAATGGAGAGAAATGAATGGAGAGAAACAAAGTGGGTGCGGTTTGTATATGGATTTTTTATTTAATTTAATTTAATTTATTTAGTGACCCCAACCCCAGCCTTCGTACGCGTGGATTATCTTGCCCGGTTTTCCCCAGCCCTGTGGATTTTAAGAGAGAAAGAGTTTTTAGAGGTGGTTATTGCATGGAAACTATGATTAAATTTAACTTACCCATCCTCCTCCGCCGCCGCCTCCGTGACCGCCGCCGCCGCCACCACCACCACCACCTCCGTGGCCCTATTAAGTAATTATTTTTTAAGAAATATTCCCACAACAAGTAGTAAATTTTTTCTAGTAAATCCAAATATCCTCACCCATCCGCCATGTCCTCCTCCCCCACCACCCCCACCACCCCCACCATGCCCCCCACCATGCCCCCCACCACCCCACCCCTTCTTCTCATGATGCACCGGCTTCGGATGGATATGGATCGTGGGACCCTTTTCACTCTCAAACACGGGTCCAGGCAATAAAACATGTTGTTGTTTATTCCATCCCCACCCGACGTATTTAAACTCTGGTTCGGGCCAGCCCCAGCCCCCCTTCTTCCCCTTCTTCTTTTTCTTCTTCTTCCCTCCGCGGAACTCTCTGACCAAGTCCTCCTCGTAGATCGGCTCGTAGATTGGGTAGACCAGGTCGGACTCGCTGGAGTCAATTTCGGGTGAGGACTCGGTCCATCGCGGGTAGACGCGGAGTGGGGGGTGCGATGAGGTGTGGGTGGGGAGGGGGGTGTCCGAGTAGTAGTAGTACTGGGAGGAGACCACTGTTGCTAGTAACAGGGTGGACTGGGAATTTCAGGGGAATTATTAGTGCGATTCCATGGAAAATGAGAGAGAAAAAGTCTTACCAAAGCAGCCCTCATGTTGATAATGTCCGAGTGCGTTTCACTTTCAAGTGATGTGATTATGGAGGGTGCTGGTAAATAAATAGTCAAGTCTCCGTTGCACCACCGCCGCTGCTCTTGCTCCTGGTGAAGTCGGAGACGGTCGTCGACGACGATAGGTGCTTCAATGAAAAACTGACCAAACGGGTATGATCACCCGGTCGTTGCTCTTCTGCCTTCTGCCGTGGTTAAGATGCGATGAGATCTCAAAGAAAATCGGGTGAAAGTCAAGAACCTCCTGCAAACACCTAAAAACCCGTTTCACACAGACCGGTTTCATATGAGCTGCACAAACCCGTTTTTCTACACAAGTTCACCAACCCTCAAGTAATTAACGCGTAAGAAGCTCTTTTTTTGTATAAAAACAATTTTATTTCACAAATTTTGATCATGTTTTTTGTCAAATTAACACATAGCCAATTAATAAATATTTTGCAATAAATTACTCTTCGTAGCCGCCGTAGCCGCCTGGAATTTAGTGGAAAAGAAGTGGGATTTAGTGGATGTCTCAATAAGAAATTACCGGAATTTATTAAAGTTTCTCTTACCATATCCACCATGACCACCACCGCCGCTTCCTCCGCCACCCCCACCGTACCCGCCGCCGCCACCCCATCCCCAGCCACCGCCGCCCTTCTTACCCTTCTTCTTCTTTCCCTTCTTCTTCTGCAAAAATTTACATAAATTAACTCCAATCCACCAAAAAAACCTCAAAAACCAAGTAAATCCCTACCTTCTTCTTCTTCTTTCCCTTCTTCTTTTTCCCTCCCTCTTTGTGGTAGGATCCCCAGCCGTAGCCATAGGGCTGGCCCCACCCGCCGCCACCCTGGGCTACGCCGGACCCGCCCTTCCAGCCCCCTCCGGACGAGGGTTGCCAGCCATAGCGGATGTAGACTGGTCTGAAGAGAAAGTCTGAACCCTCCAAGTCCGTCTCCTTCTCCCCGTCCTCTTGACCCCAGGAGGACACCACGGCCAGGGCCAACACCAGCCCCGCCACCACGATCTGTAAGCACACACACTATTAGTCACACCACACCGATAAGTTTGGGATAAGATTAGTGGGAGTGGGACTAACCAAATACTTTTGCATTGCAGCTCTCTCTCACTCGCACACACAAGTCCCCTCGACGACGCACCAGAGAGGAATCCTGCTCCCAATGACCACTTTTGGTGTTTATATACAGCAGGTCAATACCTGAGAGGAGGTGATGAACTGGTGGTGGCAGTGGCAATTATTTGCAGTACTGGTCTTTGTGGTATTCTCTTTACTGGTCTTCTTCTCTCTCGGGGGCTTCATAGCATCATCAACAGGTGTGTGTGTGTGTGTGTATGTTACTTTTTCATAAAACTGGTTCCGTCTCTTCTTCTCTCAATCTCTTTTGGCTAAAACTTGGCGATACACATAAATTTTTGACCTTCTTCTTTATTCTTAAAGATATTTAGCTGATACTGGGTGACATGAAAACTCTGCACAGCCGGAAATTAGTCGCGTCCGCTAACAGTACATTCTGGTTTTTTCCCAAATCTAACGGCACAATGCGATATGAAATAAGAACGACTGAGAGTGAGTAATTTTATATATTGTCGATTTATTAAATCAATAAACAGGTTGGTAAATGAATGAAGGAGACGACACGTTGACCGACTCTTCGTCGTCTTCTTCGTCCTCCTCTTCGTCAGAGTCGTCAGAGTCGTAGTTGCGTCGGTGGTGGATGGTGCTTGGCCAGACCGGGAGAAGCTCGGTGGATGTGGTGGAAAAGTCCGTGGTGGGAGTGATGGGGAGAAGGGCACGTTCCCATCCTAAGAGGAAATAAGAGTTTTAGATTTTGGACTTGGAAATTAAGAGAGTGGACTCACCCCACCCATCACCACCATCATCATCGTCGTCATGGCCACCCCAACCCCACCCGCTGTGTTTTCCTCCACCGCCGCCGCCACCGTGACCGTGACCGCCACCCCATCCCCATCCTTTCTGCTTTTGCTTGCCCCAGCCCTGCAGGAGGTGGTTATTTTACTGATTTTTTAATTGATATGCGTATTTCTTACCCATCCGCCACCGCCGCCTCCGCCGCCACCACCGTGTCCCCACCCGCCACCGCCCCCTCCATGACTCTCCTCTTCTTTAATCAGCCCCTTCACACAAAAAACTCGAATTAACATCACCTCAAAATACGATCCCTCTCTCTCCCACCGACTCACCCAACCCTGCTGCAACCTCAACCCCCACCCACCTCCCCACCCCTTCCCACCAGGATCCTTATGATGAACCCTGATCCCCCCATAAATCCCGACCCCTTTGATGCTCGGTTTCTTCCAGCCCCATCCCTTGGACACGGTCACCTCCTTCTCCTTGCTGCTCCCCCACCCAAACAGACGCCCCGAGGGGTACGTGTCACTCGCCGCCAGGGACAAGAGGCCCAGCCCCAGGAGGAGCTATATACAGGGGGGATTTTAATTAGTAATTATAAATCACGTGACGTTGAGACTCACCAAGAGAAAGCTTTTGACCGGTGTGATCATGACGTTGGAGATTTGGAGATTGGGCGAGATCCGAGGCTGAAGTGTGGTTATATCGGGTTTGAAGAGAGTGAGAGTGTGGTGGCTGGAGGGTCGCTGAACTGGCGGATGGACCGGTTTTTTGATGGTGTTTATGCTAATGTTTATGGGTGCAGTGGCGTTTTGTAAAGGTGGTGGTGGTTGGGAATAGGGAGAAGGAGGTGTGGAAAGAGGGTGTAGGGGGGAGGGGGGAGAGGTTCTGTTCAGGAAATTTTGAGTTTTTGGGGGTTTAAATAAAGAAATTGGGTGGGGTTGATATTTTTTCAACTTGGTCAACGCATAAAACATCAAACTCCTGGCACATACAAATTTTACGTTACTATAACGTCATGAGCAGATTTATAGCCCGGGGCTTATCTGCCCCTCTGTCTGTCTGTCTGTCTGTGAAACTTATCCCGGAATTGTGCAGACACTTGAGGTAAGTGCAATGATGAGCAAAATCTTTAGTGGTGAACCGGATCGTAAACCTTGTGGAGAATGCCAACTACGAAGTGCGTCACTTTTGCGAGATGGACAGACCCACACTGGTTCTTGGAGATTCTCCGACATAACTGAAGAGTTTTCCATATTTAGTCTGTCCACATTTATTTTTCTACTTTTCATATTTCCACATTTTGTCCGGATCCCCTCTGACTCGGGCTAAAAAAGTGTTGAAAATCAGAGGATATTTAGAGGATATCAGAGGTTACCCTGGTGACGGACGCTAAGACGTCCCATAAAATGCGGAAAATCTTACCCGCCCTCATCGCCATTAGAGAAATGCATGCAATGCATCGCAACCACAGATTGTGGCGCAGCAATTTTTTAATTACCAAAGCTTTATCAGGGAGCAAATGTAAATTTGAGTGATATATTCCAAGGATATGGCTTTCTGCGGAGGCATTACAAAAATGACGTAATCATGGAGACAGCCCGACCCAGGATTAATGTACCCGTGTTGTTGTTCTGGGATGGGAGTGGGCAAAAAAGATGCTTCGAGTTGGCCCCTCTCGAATACGGGAGACGTCACGGAGGTTTTGACGCCTCGTGCCCCGTTTTTTTTGTCTATGGGAGGATGATTTCTTTAAAATTAAAATTTCAGGAACTGCATGCAATTTTCCCATGATTTTGCTCCAGCTTCAAGATTCCATGCAATGGCCTCGTTTCCAAGGTTTCCACAGAACTATTCAAAAATAAAAGATAATAATCCAAGATTCCAAGATTATTTGACACTTTATCAGTCTATAAGGTTACGACAAATGACCGAGTTACAAAATAAATTTTCATTTTTATTAGCCCGAATCTGGGCTTATGGAACCGTCATGTCCGTCCGTCCGTCCGTCTGTCTGTCTGTCCGGCACGATAGAGCCAAAACGGCTGAACCGATTGACTTGAAATTTTTACCATGTACATATTGGACAAAGTTAGGAAACGGGTTCGAAGATGGGCGAAATCGGTCAAGTGGTGGACCGGTGGGAGTCATGTGAGTAGTTGGGATAAAATTTTGAAATTTTCGTAGAAAGCTGAAATTTGGTACAGAGGTAGCTAATGACTTCTAATAGATAAAAATGATTTCAAGTTGGAAAAATTTTCATCTTTCTTGACAGACTCTATGGGGTGACTACCAGTTTTTCAAAATCGTTATATTGAGTTGAAATTTGGTAAACAGGTTGCTTATGGGTCTTATTGGAAGAATATGAAACGAAATTTGGAAAATTTTTATCTGGAGCGACCCTATGGGGTGACCCACACCGATTTTTAAAAATTGCTTTAAAAATATGAAATCCGGCACCGTGATGCTTAATAGCTACTCATGAAAGAATATGAAGTTAAAATGCCAAATAATAGAAAATATCTAATAAACATTTAACTATCCACACCACGGAGGTTGGTAATATTATTATGTAGGTTTCGGAAAAATAGAAGTGAGCTCGGACTCACCGACAGAATCCCTGACTAAATGAAGTCTGCGCTGTAGGTTTCAAAAAATAAAAGCTGTTGAAAATATGTCATGGGTGGTTAATATTATTACAATGACAAACCTAATTTTTATGTCTTTTCAGATGGGCTTATAGATTTGTCAAGATGTCTGTCTGTGCGCACGATAACTCTCTTTAAACACAAGCTAGCGACCTGAAATTTTGCGAAGTTCATCTTCGGGTCAAAAGTAAGGATAAGTTCGAAGATTGACATGTTAACCATTTTAAGTGGTTAGGGTTGACAGAAAAAAAAATATTAAATGTCATAGAAAAGTCCCAAATTTGTCGTAGGAAGTTGAAATTTTGAGATTAAGCCCTACGGGTGAGACCATAGGGCTTAATCCATACAGATCTTTCAAAATTATGGCACTCCACCAGTCAAATGGTTGGTTTGACCGACAACCGCAGAGTCTGACTCGGGCTCATAAAGGCTGCCCATTGGAGATTTGAAGTTTACTATTCGAAATAGTACACTCGAGATTTTCAGCTTAAAAAATCAAGCTAAAAATTACGATGATTTCATCTTCAAGAATTAAGTCTCTGTGTCTTCCCGTTCAAAAGTTATTAAAGGTCAAAGAGTTGTTTTTTTCGACCATCGAGAAAAAACAACTATTTTTAAAAATAATTATTTAATTTGTAACTCAACCATTTGTCGCAACCGTTAAGGGAGACTAACGTTACCTAGATACTAAATGTCAAGCAATCGTGCCAAGATTCCATCCAATGGCCTCGTTTTGAAGGTTTCCATAGAAATATTCAAAGTATGGACCCATGACTCCAAATTAATTTTATGGACTGATAAAAATTGACACGCCAAAATAAACGGCGTGTGAAAACACCACTATTACCCAAAAAAACCCCCAATTTTATTCCAATAAAACCCCCCCAAAAAAATTACAAAACATGTAAATTTTGGCACGATTTCGACTTCTTAATCAGCAAATCCTCGGCCTGCACCAATTTCCTCAACAATTCCCATGCCAACTCGTGAATCGAAAAAATATTCCTCTTCCTCTTATGTTTCAAACTTTTTCTCTGTTTCCTCCTCTGGTTGTCATGGAAACTGTGGCGGAGACGACACTGCTTCAGAGAACCCACGAGCAACTCGTCCACGTTGTGCTGAAGGCCGGGCGACGTTTCGATGAATTTCGCTGAATAGGTCGTTGCCAGGGTTTTTCCTTCTGCGCATTTAAATTTAAATTGGTGATTAATTGGTAATTTAATTGCAATTAAAAAAAACCCACCATGCACTTGCACTTCGCGAGCCCGTTCCAAATCACACTTGTTTCCCACTAAAATCACGGCCTTTGAGCTCGTCTCCACCTGCCAAAGATAGCGCAAAATCTCCTCGGCAACGGCGTAACTATGACGATCCGTTATCGAATATACGATTATGCAACAGTGCGGGTTGTACGTTGCCAGGGAGTTTTCCGGCTGTGGAATGGATTCTTTTAGTTGCCGTGGAAATTATTTTTTTAAATTAATTAAAAAAAACCCACCGACATCTCCGAGCAGGGATGATCGATGAAAACGAGTTCGGATTCTTGGCCGTCGAGCTGCACGGAAATCGTCCGCTCCCCAAATTCGTCGTCTATTGAGAAGAATTTTTTATTAGCGACAGTTACTTCGTCAAGCCCGAGTAGGAGTCTACTTTTAGCATAGAATCCCATCGAAAAAATTAAAAAAAGACACACCACACTCCAGCCACATAATCCCTCACCCAAACTGGCGTCATACGTGGAAATGTACTCTGAGGTCATGAACTGATTGACCAATGCGCTTTTCCCGACTCCCGAGTGACCCAACATGACCACTCGATACCGGTTCTCTTCCGAACCAAAGAAAAAATCCCCGCTCGTCGTGTCGCTGATTTCCGAGTAAATCGACTCCATCGAATTGTTCGAATTACAACATGACGACGAGATTGGCGAGTTTCTATGGAAATAATTATTTTATAACAAATTTTTCCATGGAAACACTAAATCCAAAAAAAATCACCTCGACGAATTCCTGGTGCTCGGATTGGATTTAATGAATCTCCTGCTGTTTCTAGGCAACACTTCGTCGCCTTCGTTGACAACGCGATTGTCCTTAATGTTAAAATTTCTCAAACGGTACATCAACGCCGTGGCGTCAACGTTAATCTCGGAATCGTCCTCGTCATCCGTATCGGAGGAGTCGCCATGGTGATGGTGCGGGTGGTTGCCATGGTAACTGCGGGCGGGGAGGGAACCCACACGGTGCTTCCGGGGGCTGTTCTTCCCGAATTCGAGGACTGTGGAGAGAAAGTGATTTCCATGGTTACTTAATTTCCATGTGGTGTTTTAACAAATATTATTTTGCATGCATTTTGATTATTCACATGTGCAATCTTAATAAAAAAAAATTTCCATGGCAACTCCCACCTGGCAATTCCAAAAAATTGCTCTGCCTCCGTTGCGACGTGGATTTCTTTTGTCTTTTTTCGAGCTCGCATTTTTGTAATAATTTAGGACTTAGTGAATTCCTACGTGAAGCCAAATAAGCCAAACCACCACCCGCGGAGGATCTCCGAGAACTTGTTGCTGACGTGTTGTCGCTTAGCAACTGCTCGTCCTCCGGGTTTATTTTTAACGGTGAGGGCTTTTTCTTTGCCATGGTTTTATTTATTTATTCTACTAATTCATATAAAAAAATCTCTATGACAACGATTATTATTTAATCCACACGAGTAAATCAGATGGGCGTGTGGTTGGATCGATAGTTTGACAGCTCGAATCTCGCATTTCCATGACAACGTCCTCAGCGGCGTCGGCGTGGTGATCGTCGTCGGTGTGTCTCATTTTCACCAGCCGTGACGGTTGGTATGGTTTCGGGGGGATGTAATAAAATGGCTGCTGGATCACCGTGGGGGGGGCGGACTTTGAGGATTTTGAGGTCGAGGAGGACTTCCGGGTTTCTTGGGGGGTGGAGGTGGTGGGGGGCTGCGATGGGGGGTAGATTTTTAGCGAGGAGGTCTGCGAGGTTTTTTAAAGATTATTAGTTTCCATGGAATTTTTATATTTTAATTTTGTGGTTGCCATGGAGATAAAATTTAAAAAATACCCGCATGATCTCGAGCATCTCCTCCTTGTCCTGTTTCAGCTTCCGATACACGTTGAGCATGAGTCCCGAGCACATTCCGCTCATCAGCAAAATCCCCAAAAAAGCTATGATCAAAATGTTCGTCTTCAGCTGGAAGGTGTCTTTCTGCGTGGATACCATTTCATCAGTTGCCATGGAAACCAAAAATAAAAAAATAGCTCACCGCCCCACACAACTTCTCATCCTCGTCATTCCTCGATTTACAATTATCGATGCTGTCGCATTTCAAAATCTTCGGAACACAAGTGGAATCGCGACAGTCCACTTCCGTCAGGGGGTCGCATTCCTCCGCTGCGGATACAAAAAAGTTATGATACCGTTGCCATGGCAACAAATAATAAAAAATTAATAAAAATTAACCAACCCCCCTCCAGCGCCCTAAAAACGCTAAAATACGCGAGCAAACTACTCTTCAAACTCCTCTTTTCCAGATCCAAATACGAAAAAAACCGTAAATGCAGTTTATTCCCGGGACTCGTGACATATTCCCGATCCGAACTGCAAAACTGTTTCAACCTCCCTTCGTCACCTTCCAATTCCGTTTTCGAACCGTAAATCTCGACGAAATTGAACTCGCAGTCGTTGGGGCTCTGGAGCTCGTATTTTATGAACTGGAGAAATATTTTCTGGTCCTCCGCTGCGGTCACGATCCAGGTGCAGTCAACTTGGAAACTGGTTGCTAGGGACTGGTTAATTATCTCCATGGGGATGTTTTTTGAGGTTTCTATGGTGAGGTTCGGGTGGGTTTCGAGGTTTAGATGGGTGGTGCAGGGGGTCGTTTCGGGGGAGTCTACAAAAGAGAAAAATAAATTGTTTTTTTTTGGTTGCCATGGAAATAAATTTTTTAAAACCTTACCAACCAACCCCTCGACAAACTCGATTTTGATTTTGAACCCATTATATTCAATGTTTCCATCCGTTTTAAAGCGTAACCATAGAAACGGTCCGCTGGATTCGATGTAAATCGGGGGCGTGGTCCCGCAGATTTTATTCACTAAAGAAGAGTAGCCAAACTGGCCGTCGCGGATTTCGAGGTAGTCATGGTTACAGGATTGTTGGTCTTCGAGGGTGTACTCCAGGGCGAATTGCTCGATAAAGTGGAGGCGGATGACGTTGGTGGGGTGTGGCGCTGTGAGAGAGGGAATTAATTTGGTTGCCATGGTGATTATTTTAAAATAAATTACCCTCGATGAGCTTGGTGCACTGGACGTTGCTGGGGTAATTATCCGGATACCATGGCGACGTAAATTCATTTTGATTGGTTGTCATGGAAAAACTTGAACAGGTTTCCGTGGAATTCTCACTCGTTGCCAGGGGGATTATTAAAGAGATAATTAGGATTATTTTATTCATTTTATAATATTTTCTAAAAAAGTGTGTGCCGTTGCCGTGGAATTGGCCGGTTGCCAGGTGCCTATAAATAGATTTACAATAAAAAAGATGCGTGTGTAAAAACCCAAAGAAATTCCATAGCAGCGATTTTTTATTCATTTTTACAAAGAAAAATTTTAGTCATAAATTTTATCCTCCACAAGTTTGACGACATTGTCGAAAATGTGTTCATTTTGGAATGTGTTTTGTTGTTGCTGTGACAACAATAATCGTTTCCTCCGTCGCAATGAACTCATCATGATCATGTTGGAAATTATCTCGTCATCTTCGTTGCTTAGCAACGAGGAATCAATTTCATGTTGGTCGTCATAGCGACCACGCTTTTGCGGGAATGATGTTGGGGGGGAGGTGGTGGTGCTTGGTGAGGGGGGGAGCATCGTTCGGGAGCGGGCTGTAAATTTTAGGATTTTTCCATGGTTACAATTTTTTATAGAATTAATTTCCATGGTTACAATTAAATTCCATAAGAAAACCCACTCACCAAATCCCCCCGCAGCAACAACCTGTTGTTGATCCTGTGAATTGTTAAACTCCGCCATGGAAACATCGGTCATCATTTTATTCTTCTTAGCAACGGAATTGTTGTTGAACGTGGTTGGCAAGACGACCAAGGCCAAGGACAGGATCAGCACGAGCAGCGTCGTTGTCGAGGTGGTTGGATTCGGCTTCTGCTTCTGCGCCGTGAGCGCGAGCTGCAAGCGCTTCACTTGCTGACTCAGCTTCGTGTTCGCGGACTCCAGGGTGCGCACTTTTTTCGACAAGAGCGATTTCTCCTCTTCCACTTCAGAGACCCTGCGCAGAGGTTGTCATGGTGATTATTTTAGGAAATTTATTTATAAAAAAAGTCTCCATGGAAACCGAACCGCTGTTGAAGCTTGTCGAGAAACTCCTTTTTCCTCTTGCGCGAGTCCTGCGCGGAGATTTTGTTCCTGATTTTGCGCCGGATGCGCTTCAGCTCGCGCTCCTCGAATTTCGTGAGCGGGTAGTGCGTCGGCAGGGTGATGCCTTCCTTGGTGAGGAGGCGCTTTTCCTCGTCTATTAATTTTTATTAGTTGCCATGGTGATTATTTTAAAATAATGGTTGCTAACCCACCTGACAACTTGAGTTCTTGGAACCCATTTTTCTCGTAAAACTTCCCACTGGTGGAGGACGAGGAGGAGGAGTCGTCTTCCTCCTCCTCGATCAGCATCGCGTTCTCCGACGTGGTAATTATGTAAGAGTTCTTGGAGCGGATTATCTTGAGGGTCTGCGGTTTTATAAATTAGTTGTCATGGTTACTAAATGCGTTGCCATGGTAACAATTACCTGTTGTTGCTGTTGCTGAACCTCCACCCCACCACCCCCACCCATCAAATCCTCATCCTCCTCCTCCTCACACTGAAAATTGGCCGTGAAATCCTGTGTCACGTGGTTATCATCATCCTCGTGAATGACCACGAATTGGTTGTCTTCTTCGCTCAATTGTTCGGAATCAGAGTCGATTTTTATTACGTCATCGAAGGAGGCGAAGGACTCGAAGGAGCCGAATTTTATGGACTCTAAGAAATTGTCCTGGTTACGAAAGGGGTCCAGAGTGGTGTTTAGCAGGTCCATTTTTTATGCTTGGATGTGGTGGGGTTTTTAAATGAGAGATGGGTGTGTTTGATGGGAACATATGTCAACTCTGTGGGGAGAGTGAAAAGTGAGAAAAGGATTGTGTGGGCATAGATGAGGTGCGTAGATGGATGGGAGAGTGGTGGGGATTCTTGTTCTATGGGCTGCGCAGGGTTTAGCCGGTACTGTTATTTTTACGGTTTCTTTGGTTTTCATGGAAATTGACAGTTTGATTTTGTGGATATTTTAGAGGGTTTCAGCAGGTGTGCTAAAATATTGGCGTAAAATTGGCATTGGAATTGGCGTGCCAAAATTTGGCAGGGAAATTGGCACGAAATTTAACACACAAATTTGGCGTGCTAAAATTTAGCACAAAATTTAGCACAAAATTTTAGCAATTTACATTAACTCCCTGGAAATTCCGGCATAACTCCCAAAATTCCCCATGGAAACGCGAGACACCCGAGAAATGCATCTCTCCAGCAACTCTCTCCATGAGAATACCCGCACATCTCTCCCCCTCTTTTTTCCCATGTCCCAACCCGCTTCTGAACTACTGGAGCCTCCAGCCACAATTCGGACCAAAAATAATAATCAATATTTCCATGACAACGCCACCCTCTTTTTCCACTCTCTCTCTCTTTCCACTCACACTTTCTAAATCCAAAAATTTCAGCAATAATCCACAAAATGCTCCTCCTAACGACGCTCCTCTTTATAATCACCATGGCAACGGGGACCCCCCAGTTGACCGCCCCCAAGTGCCAACCCATCACGATCCCCATGTGTCGCAACATTGGTTACAATTTCACCCAGATGCCGAACCCTTTCAATCACGATTCTCAGGTAAGGAAATTAATAAATAAATTTATAAAAAAATCTTAAAAATCTCCATGACAACAGGAGGAAGCGGGCCTGGAAGTCCACCAGTACTGGCCGCTGGTCGAGATCCGCTGTTCCCCTGACCTCAAATTCTTCATCTGTTCGTTGTACGTCCCGATTTGCATGGAGGATTACAAGGGCTCCGTCCCGGCCTGTAAATCCGTCTGCGAAAGGGCAAGGGAGGGATGCGAGCCCGTTATGTTAGTTTCCATGGAATTAATTTTTTAAGTTTCCATGGCAACCTAAAAAAACTTTATCTCCACAGGACGCACTACGGATTCCAGTGGCCGGAGCGCTTTTCCTGCGCCAACTTCCCCCCTTTTGGTCCCCAATCCATTTGCATGGACGAGCGTCGAGGAGAGTTGCCTAGCAACAAGTCCACCGTCGCCATAGCAACCAGACCACCCCCCACACAAAAATCCCCTACAAACTGCAGCTGCACCTGTAAAAAGCCTCTTTTGCGCCACCCCCATCGCAACGTTTATAACCTAATCCAAAACTGCACGTTGCCATGCCGACTGTATTCTGAAAAGAATTTTGTAAATTATTGGTTATCATTTTGGAGTGTGAGCTGTTGTTTGATAAGTTTCGTAACCATGGTAACGTTCGCCTTGGATACGGCGCGATTTAATTACCCCGAGCGACCCATAGTTTATTTGTCATTTTGCTATTTTTTAATCTCCATTGGTTACCTGATTCGGATTTATTTCGGGCATGAGCGGATTGCGTGTGAGGAATTTAACTCTAAGTTAATCGTCAAGGAAACGAATTTTATCTATAATTATTGTAGTCTGGTGTTTTTTCTCGTTTATTATTTTGGGGTTGCGGGGGGGTGTTGGTGAGTGGTTTTTATAAAATTTGTGATTGGTTGCCATGGCTACGATTTCTAATTTAAAAATTATTTCCAGGTGGGTAAACCTATCAATCTCGTGGTATTTAGCGGCTGGGTGTAAATGGGGTTCGGAAGCTATAGCTCAGAAGTGGCCGATATTCCACCTGGTCGCCTGGATCCTGGTTCCCATGACGATGAGCTTGACGGCGAGTTTAAATGGATTTGTGGATGGGGACCCAATTTCTGGGATTTGTTCCCTTGGAAACACGAATGAATTTAATTTGTTTTATTTTATTCTCGTCCCCGGTGGGGGGTTGTTAATTGTGGGGACCGTTTTTTTACTTTGGGGCTTCGTGGAGTTGTGCAGGATTAGGAGGGTAGGAATTTATCTTTTTATGTAAATTTCCATGGCAACCAAATAATTATTTTTAAAAATTCCAGGCCATCTCTAAGCAAAGCGGGAAAACGGAAAAACTAGAAAAACTAATGATTCGAATTGGCGTATTTTCAATTTTGTACACATTTCCGGCCTCAGCCGTCATAGCAACGCAATTTTACGAAGTTTACGCGAGAAAAGAATGGATTTTATCCAATTTTTGCAGTTGTCATGGAGATTTATCCCAGCATGCGAAACCAAGTTACTCTTTACTCATGATCAAGTAAATCTCACTTTACCCCACTGATCCCACTGCCCGTGTAATTTAATAATTCTCTTTTTTTCTACATCTCAGATACTTCCTAACCCTCACCGTTGGCATAACAACCGGAGGGGTGTGGATTTGGTCAAAGAAAACCTTGGAAACGTGGAAAAACACGCTGTTTCCATGGAAATCTAATAAAAATAATAAATGTTCACGTGTTTAACTTTGTAAACTTTATAATAAAAGAAATAAAAAAAATGGCCACAAGAAAAAACTCAAAAAACAACATAGCAGGATTGTACGATTTAGAGGAAACCCTTGGAAAAGGTCATTTCGCGGTTGTCAAGGCCGCGCGGCATGTTTTTACGAACGAGCGCGTGGCCGTGAAGGTCATCGATAAGCTGAAATTGGACACGGCGAGTTCGAAAGCAATTTTAAAGGAAGTTTTGTGCATGAAATTAGTCCAGCATCGGAATGTTGTGAAGCTTTATGAAGTTATCGATACGAGTTCGAAGCTTTTTTTGATTTTGGAGTTGGGCAGGGGGGATTTGTATGATTTGATTCAGAGGGGGGGTTAGTTATAATTTATAGTAATTGGTTGCCATGGTAACCTAATTTATAAAAATATTTGTAACTCCGCAGAGTTATCGGAACCCACGGCGCGGCGCTATTTTATCCAAATTTTCCAGGCCGTTAGTTACTGTCACAAGTTACACGTTGTTCATCGGGATTTGAAACCGGGTATGTTTATTATTTTGTTGCCATGGAAATAAAATAAAAAAAAACCGTATCCCTAGAAAACGTGGTCTACTTCCCCGACAACGACAAACTCCACGGGGGGATGGTAAAACTCACGGATTTTGGGTTTTCGAACAATTACCGACCTGGTGAAAAATTGGACACTTCCTGCGGATCGCTCGCTTATTCCGCGCCAGAGATTTTACTCGGCGACGCTTATGACGCGCCCGCCGTTGGTATGGTGATTTTTATTCGTTTCCATGGGAATTAAATTAAAAATCCCCTGTTTCCATAGACATCTGGTCGCTGGGGGTGATTCTCTATACGCTGGTGACGGGCCACCCCCCTTTTCAAGAGGCGAATGACTCCGAGACCTTGACGATGATCATGGACGTTAAATACAAAATCCCACCCACGGTTTCCATGGAGTGCGCGGATTTAATTAAAAAAATGTTGCAACGGTTGCCAGAGAAACGGATCTCCATATTTGATATTCAAAATCACGAGTGGATTCGGGGGTGGGCGGAGGAGGGGGAGCAGGGGGAGGGGGAGGTAATTTTATCGTGCCATGGTTACTGTGGGGAATCATTTTTGTATTTTTTTTGTAGACCCCCCTGATAAACAAGTATAAATTAACCTTGGGGGAGAGGGAGAAAATAATCCAGCAAATGATCGAGGGGGGCGTGGTCAAGGGGGAGGAGCAGGTTGTTGAGTGAGTGAAATACTACTATCAAATATTTGTTGCCATGACAACCAAAAAATAAAATTGATTAAATCCACAGCTCCCTGGCAACCAACGCGTATAACTACATAACCTCCACGTACTATCTCTTAGCGGAACGGTTGCTAAGGGAACGAAGTCACATGACAACAACAACAAACGACGAAATAAAAAACCTAACCTCCAGTTTAGAAAGTTTATCCTCGATAAAACCCACGACCAACACCCGGCGAGCATCAATATGTGGGGACGACCCCCCTGAAGCCCCCCCACCCCCACCTGAAGAATCTCCTAAAAAACTCCCCCCTCCCACTCCCACTCTTCCGGATTGAGTAAATTTAATAAAAACAATTTCTCACCACAGCAACAGATCTCTGAGGAAATAGAAATCGAACCGTTGCCACAGCAACCACCAGTGGAAATTAAGAAAAAATCAAAATCGAAAAAGTCCACATTTTTTAATTGGCTTTTTAAGCGACATAGTTTAAATTCGAATAATAACAACAATAGGATTTATAAAACGAGGTCCTGCTCCGAGTTGAAAATTAAGTTTAACGTTAATTAGCGTTTCCATGGGAATAAATGTTTTTATTGAAAAAGAGAAATAGTGTTTCCATGGAGATTTAATTACAGAGAAATAATTAATTACTCGACTCGATGAGCACCTGTCTGAACTTGTCCGCGGGCATGTCCTGGTTCACGTTCAGGCGGAAAATCGCTTCCAGAACGGATAATTCCGTCGCCGTGGTGTCCGCGCCCGTGAAAAGCGACCAGTCGTTCGCGACGAGGCCCGCGGCGAGGACCTCCGAGCCGCGGTTTATGGAGCCCGCCTAGGGATTTAGATAGGGTGTTGTCATGGTGATTATGTTATTGGTTGCCATGGAAATTAAAGTTATTAAAGCTTACCACCAAGGGCACCTGCAACAAGGAACTCAACTCATCCTGTTCATTCTGCGACGTTTTGGGGTGGACCACGCCCCCTTGGTTCGTAAAAACGCAGTAACTTCCCACTAAAACGTTCCCAGCGACGGACTGTCGGAATACCTCGACGTTCAGGGTGTCTTGGAGTAGTTCCTCCGTTTCCTATCGCCATGGAAACAATTAAAAAATATAATCACCATGACAACCAAAAAACCCATACCCTGTCCAAATCGGGATGCACCAATGCGACATAATCATTGCAAGCGATGACGTTCCCCAGCGCGGACAATTTTTCCTCCACTCTTTGAATTTTGACCGCATCGGGTAAGGAATTCCTCAAGTGTTGCAACTCCTGGTCCGTCGTGGTGTTGGGGACGAGGAGACCGTGGCGGTTCGCGGCCGTGAGGCGCCCGATTATGCGACACCCCGCGATCGAGGCGTGCACCACGGGGATCGTGTCGCTGAGTTCGGATTCGAAGGTGCTAGGGATTTATAATAATTAATTAGTTGCCATGGTTACTAAAATCACCATGGTTTTACTCTCCGTACCTGTAAAAATTCTCGGCCCCTCCGATCGCAGCGAGGCAAAAAGTGTTTGTCAGTTTTGAAAATACGCCGATTTCGTTGTTTTTCTCAAATTGGACGCGGATTGCCATGGTTACGGTTTTGAATTTTATGATTTATGAAAACTATTTATCAGAAAAACTATGGAAACGAAATAACCAACGCTGCTCAAACACACGTTCTTCTTCACTATAGAAACGTAAAACAAATAATTTAAATAAACCGCCTTGCATTATTTTATTATTATTTTCGGGGCATTTTGAGATATCACAGTCTTTAAAATTGAGAAATTTTTTGTATAAATATTGCTATGGAAACATCACTTCTTCTCAAACGTTGTCATCTATTTTAAAAAATCACAATTAAAATTAAATTTTACAAAATTACAAATGAAAAAAACCCACCATGATACCACCACCGGGTTTTCTTGGGATTTTTCGAGCATGTTTTTACATAGAATGCGTCGTCAGGGGGGTGTTTCTATAGAAACAATGTTAGTATAACCATGGCAACAAACAGTAAAAATAAATTACCTTCTCCACCGCGCTCCCGAGCATGCTCACGATGCTGAGACAAACGCTCTGCACGCTCAGCGCCGGCGACCAGTCGTCCGTCAAAATCGACAGGCAGATGTGGCCGTTGGAATAGATCTTTATTTTTTAAAAAAATTAATCGTTACCATGGCAACCGAAAATGTAAAGTTACAAATAATTACGTGAGGATGCACGGGGATGTTGTCCCCTGTGAAGATAACCTCCGGGGACTCGAAGGGGTATTTCTGAGAGAACTTAAAACTGAGGGTAAATTCCTCATTCGCGTAGAGCGAGGGGGTGGGGCCGGTGATTTGCAACCTCCAAAATATACAATTTGAAGAGCCCGTATTTTTCGAGGCGATGAATTCCGTATCCACGGTGATCCCAGGGGGGGCGTCCTTCAACATCGACATTAGCTCTTTCTGCAGCCGGCGCTGTTGAATTCACGTTGTTATTTGTAATTTCATAATTTGTAACTTTGCAAAACTAACCTGACTCGGCGTGAGGGGGGAGTTGGTTGCCATGGTTACTTTGACTATTAATTTTGCATTTTATTTTCTCTTCTTTGACTAAATTTCCAAGGAGACTGAAAGAAAAAAATTCAAACCTCCCGCGCTCTTCAATCAGCGAAATACACACAGAGATCAGAGAGAGAGCTCCGTAAATTAATAAATTTATAATAAAAATGTTATCTTTATCGAAAAAGCTCCAACGTTCCCGTGGAAACTCCTCCTCGGAAATTGAAACCAACAACAATGTCATGGCAACGAGCAATCAGAAAAAAGTCTCCATCAGAGATCGGCTCCTCGTCAAGGAGGTAATATTTTAAGATTTATTTTTTGTTGCCATGGAAATAATACGATAAAAAAAACGTAGTTATCAGACCTCCCCTCGCTGCTCCCCCCCAGCGTGACCTTGACCCATCCGGACCCTGATAAATTACACGAATTCACGGTGACCGTCCAGCCGGAGGAAGGTCACTGGGCCAGAGGGAAGTTCGTCTTCAACGTCGTCGTCACGGAGGAGTACAACTTTGCCGTAATTTTATTTCTCATAGTTGTCATGACAACTGATAATTAATTTCCATAGCAACCAATAACAAAGATTTTAAAATCACAGCCACCCATCGTGAAGTGCCGCACGAGGCTCTGGCATCCTAACATAACCGAGGAGGGGTCTGTCTGTCTGTCCCTACTCCGTCAGTCCTCAATCGATGAGTTAGGATGGGCGCCTACGAGGACCTTGAAAGACGTCGTTTGGGGCGTGAATGCGTTGTTTACCGTAGGTTTTTTTTATGCTTGGTTACCATGGAAACCAAAAAAAATATAAATGTTGCCATGGAAATAATAAAAATTATTGCTCTAAATTACAGGACCTCCTAAACTTCGAGGACCCCCTGAACCCCTCCGCTTCGGAACAATACCATTCGGACCCCAAGCAATTTCAACGGAAAGTTAAAGAGTTTATTTCTAAATATTGTTAATCATCTCATAATAATTATACACACACATTTAAATTAAAAAAAACATTAATCAAAACGATATTTTTTATCCGCCATGTCGATCGCCCAACGAAATTTGGCCCTCAGCGTTTTGTTGTAAACTTTCTCTATGGGAACGTCGTGCTTTTTACACCTGCAATTTAATTTTATATTAGTTGTTATGGTTATTTATTTGTAAATATATTATAATAATAAATGTGAGTTACCAAGCAATGCTGATCCGTGGGTCTAAATAATTCAACTTGCTCGTTCCCAAGGCAATTTCTTTCCCTTCGTCCTTGTCCGTTTTCGTCATTTCCAGTTTTTTTAATTGCTCCTCTGTCCGGCGGAGTTGGGCAGATTTCTTTTCGTGGTCTCTATGGTTACATGAGATAATTTTTTTAGTTTCCATGGTTACTTAAAATTAATTTCCATGGTTACTTAAATAAATCACCATAGTTACAAACTTACTTGCTCCCCCTGGACAACCCCTTCAGCTCCTTCTTGACCTTTTTGACATCATCCTTTTTCTGTTGGATCTTGGTGACCAAGTTTTCCATGGATTTTTCGTGTGATTTGGGAACGGCCCGTTGATGGTTACATAAGACCGCGACGGCCCGATTGGCCCTGTTATACGCGAGAACCTTCTCATTGACCGAGCCGTTGACGGGGGTGAGCTCGTCCAGCTGCTCTTGGAGCGTGTGGGAGGCATTGTAGGTTCGGAATACTTTGGCCGTGAGGCCGCTCAAGAGGTCGTTCAGGTGCTTGTTCAGGATTTGCGTCTAGATTTTGTAAATTGGTTGCCATGGAAATTATTAACCAGTTGCCATGGTAACAAAATAATTTATAGAAAAACTCACATTCAACCGATCAAAAAGATCATCCCCCGGCTTCTTGCTCTCCATGAAGAGTTTTAGATTTTTAAAAACGCGTTTTTCCACGGTAACCTGGTTGAAATACCGGATCGAGTCCTTTCCCAAGAAATCAAACGTCACGACGGATTCTTGACCGTCCTTTTCGTCGAATAATTCAATGTGCTCCACGCGCAGGGAACAGCAGCCAACGGTGTCCGCCTGGTCCTCGTCTTTTTCATTGCCCGCGCGGAGGGCGAGCTGTTGTCAGGGAAACATTATGGATATTTGTTAGTTGCCATGGAAATTATTATTCAGTTGCCATGGAAACACTCACCTTATCAATAAAGTAAAGCGCCACTGCCCTTTGTCGAACGCGCATTTCCTTTGATTTAAAGTCATTTTTATAGTTTTCACGGATTTTATGAATATGTTTCGCTAGTTCGCGAGCCTTTTCGTATTTTAACCAATCCTTTTCTCCTTTCAGGCGAGACGTGGGGTTCAACATGACGTACTTTGTTTGTCCCTGTGGAGAGATATTAAAATTAGTTGCCATGGTAACGATAGAAATAATAGTAACCATGGCAACAATACCGCACCTGCACATTCTCGATCCAGCAAGCCAACCACGTGACCGTGTTGTCATGACGAACCTCTTTCCACCGGTGGGACTCGGGGGGCTGCAATAATCACCCAAAAATAATTAAATAAACCCACGGTAACCATGGCAACCACACTCCACCCACCTTCGGCACCACGGCATCCTTGGAACAATTGATGATAACGTCCTCGGGGAAAATCCTCTTTTTGAGCATCCCCATTTTGGGATGATCCCCCCGCCCCCTGAACAATCCAGGGGGTTCGATCCTAAAATTCCCAATTTTCTCCTTGTGCCCGTCCAACACGCAAATCCCAAACTCCTCCGCGATCCGCTCGTTCTCTTCTTTTTGACATAATTTCTCCTCTTTCGACATGGATTTCCTCTCCTCGGATTTTAGTTTAAAATACTCGTTTATCTCGCGGAAATCGCACTTTCGAAGGTCCGTGATGGTCTTTTTTTCATCGGCGGTCATCGTTCGGCGCCAGTCCTGCAGTATCAAAAAAAGCGGGGTTTATACTCGATTTATTGAGAAAAAATCGTGGAAATTCCCATGGAAACCAGTAAAAAACAAAGTATAAACCGGGCTTCATACCTTAAAAAAGTTCTCATTAAACTTCTCTTTAGTCGTGTATTCATGTTCGATGAACCTCGAGTAAAATCCAGCCACCTCCTCCGCGTCCTCGCTCAATTTAACAACCTTCCCATCGTATTTAAAGTGCACGGATTTGGGTAATTTTTCATATTTCGCAGCGAAAACGGGGCCTTTATGCTCGAGGAAATTCCACTTGACGCCGTCGTCCCGGGGCTCCTCCTCCCACCATTTCCAGACTTCCTCCTCTTCCTTTTTGGGCTTTTTCTTTTTTGGGGAGGGGGATTGCGATGTGGGTTTTTTCACTTGTTTTCTATGGATTTAATTAATTATTAGTGGGTTTCCATGGATTTTATGAGTAAAAAATTTCTTACTTGGACTTTTTTCTGAGCGGTTTCGAGTCCGAGTCGGAGTCGTCAGAGGAATGGTTGGATTTTCGCTTTTGTGAGGTTGTGGGTGGGGGTGGTTTGCGGTGGATCTATGGGGATTTTTTTAAAGTTACCATGGTTACGAGATCATAAGAAATTGAAATTACCAGAGGTTTGTCGTCTTCAGAATCGGAATCATAATTTTTTTTAACTTGGATTCTCGAGGAAAGTGGACGGTCGTCCTCCGAGTCGTCCACCTCCATTTTTTTTACAGGCGAGAGGGAGCGGCGTTCACTAGAGTTTTAGATTAATTAGTTTTATTGGTGTGGAATAATTGGCGTGTGCTAAAAATTGGCACAGAAATTGGCACAAAAAATTGGCACAGAAATTGGCACGCCAAATTTTAGCACAAAAATTGGCACAAAAATTGGCACGCCAAAAAATTAGCACAGAAATGCCAAAAATTAAAGTTAAACAAAAAAACCCACATTTTAACCTCCGCTGCCACCTCCACTGCCGCCGCCACGGCTTCCGATTTCCTTGGCGACCCTGAATCCCCATTACTTTTAGAAGACGACTCCCTATGCCGGTCGCGGTCCTAATTAAAAACACAAATTTAATCACCATGCCAACACCCCTTATTTAAAATCCAAATAAAATAATATATAATAATAATAACAATAATAATAACAATAATAAATCCACCTTATCCCTTTTTTTATGTTTACTATGATGCGAGGACTTCTTATCACTTTTATGCTTGTGTTTATGTTTATGTTTATGAGAAGAATTATGGTTGCTATGGTTACTCGTCCCGTTTTCTATATTCTGCGCTACTTCCATTTTATTATTATTTAATTAGTGTCAAAAAATTACTCGACTCTTCAAAAAAAAAATCTGCTGATGTATAAAACCGTTTTTATTATATGTCTGAGTGGACGATGAGTAGTAGCGGTGGTTTCCTTGGATTTTGAGGCACAGATGGCGTCCAAGTCTGTCTGATGAAAATTTGACTAGCAACTCAAAAAAAAAATTGAAATATGAGATGAAATTTTATCTTTTATTGTTGTCTCGGAGACTCTGTTTTTATTATCCATTTTTAATTACTAATAGTCAATAAAAGTGCAAAGATTTGATTTTAAATAAGAATCCGTTGCCATGACGACGAATAAAAATCTACCCCCCTTTTACACACACTAGCCATCTGTTACATCCTCTCGCGTATTTCCTCTCTCTCAGAGAGAACGACTTCCTCTCTTGATCTTCATCACCTTTTAAGAGGAGAGAGAGAAAAGTTCTCATCATTGAAATTATTCTCTCATGAGATGATGAAGAGAGAGACGCGTGTATGAGGAGTTAAATTTTTGATCCAGTTTTGTTTCTCACGGAAAAAAAGAAGTTTCCGTTCATTGTTTTAGTTTAGAGTTAAGAGAAGAGAAGAGGCAGAGTTGGGTTGAGTTGAGGAGATTAAATATTCTCTTCTCTAAGGATAAATCTCTCATATTTTAACCTAAGATTAAGACCCTCACTGAATTCTGGGAAGGTCTAAAAATCTACCTGAATTAAGTTAAAAAACTGACCCAACTAAAAATAGCGACACATTCTCTCCAAAGAGTCAACCAAAAAATTTGTTTACAATAAACAATTCACTCGAAACTCTCTCTCAACTAACTCTCCATCCATCCATCCAACAACCATCTCACCAAATCATCATCACCATCCACACACACACACAACCACTGACTCTGTCTCCACAGTGTGGTTATACTAAAATTCCATGACAACGATTCATACAAACAGAAGAGAATTTCACTGGAGGAAAGCCACAAAAGAAATTTTTAGTCCAAGATTAGCAATCCGCGAGGTTGGTTCGTTGTTACGATGGAGACGACAAAAGTTAAATTGGTGGGTGCTAGGAAACGGAAACCTGTCTCCATCTCCAAGGTGACTTTTTTTTACTTTATTATTTCCATGGTGATTATTATAATAAAAAAGTGTGTGTATAGATAACCATGGAAACGAAGGAATCTCTCGAGTATCTCACATCGCCCCCGGCTGAAGAAGTGGAACAAGATTTTGCAGATCCGAATAAATCCAAGTTAAAATTAATTCTGAGTGAATTAAAGTTGAAAAAGAGCTTGGTTAGTTTTTTATTTTTTAGAGTTTCCATGGGGATTTTTTACTAATTTTTTTTTAAAACCATAGCAATCCCCACAAAACCACCTCCAAAAACCACACCCCCAAATGGACAAATCCCTACACCCACACCCCCAAATAACCCCTGACCAAACGGAGCCCTTGGATCTTTCCATGGACGCCGTGGACTTGTCCAAGCAACGCATCCAACAACATCATCCAACGAATCCCATGGTAACCATGGCAACCTCACCACCCACACCGAATCAAATGATGATGTTTTATCAGCAGTATTTCCTGTGAGTCTTTTTTAACAATTTTGTGTTTGCAACGTTTCCATGGCAACGGGAGGAAGGAGAGAGAGATTGAATAATTTATTTGTGAATATATTTCCATAGCAACCAAACATCAACAAGAGATAATATGACAACCGGAATGCATAACATGGCAACGAATCTTGTTGATCATCACGGTTCTTCGGTTGCCAATGCCGTTGCCATGACGATCAATAAAAATCAACCAACACAACCATGGGATGTTGTTACCAAGAAAAAGGAGGAGGTCCCAGTGGGCGGGGCAACCTCGATTAAAAGGGGGAGGAGCTCAATTAATCAGGAGGAGTTTAGGTTGGTGGGTTTTTTTGAGGGGTTATTTGAGATTTTTTTAAGATTTTTTAATGGTTTCTATAGAAAAGAAAGCAAGAAAAAGTCCACCACAAATGCGTCGGAAATTAACAAACCAAAGCAGCGCCGGTATCGGACCGAGCGCCCTTTCGCGTGCCCCCACTGCCCTGCGAGATTCACTCTCAGGTTGGTTATTTAACAAGTTTATTTTGTTTCCATGGCAACTAATTTTAATCATTTTTAAAAAACTCTCAGATCCAACATGGAACGCCACGGGAAGCACCAGCACCCGTTGGTATGGCAACGCTCCCCCTCGAACCGTGTCCTGAACAAACAAAAACTGTTGTCATGCCAACCGACCCCTCCCACTCCATCCACCCCACGTGACTCTTCATCCCCACCCCCTCACCACCACCCAGAATCCAGTATTCGAGCCGTGCTAAGTTCAAAATTGAAGAGGAAATTGTCTGAAAATGAAGAGTTGGCGAGTGTGGATAAGCTTTTGAAGTTGGTTGAGGGAGGGGGGTTTCCAAGGGATCAGGAAAATCATCATCATGAGGGGGAGGGTCATCATGAGGGGGAGGGGGAGGGGGAGAGTGAGGATTACGATGAAGATGAAGAGGATGAGGATGGAGAGGAGGAGGAATTTGAGGAAAAAATGTCAAAAAAACAAAGTGCTTATTCTTCTGCGCCGTTTAAGGTGCATTTTTTTTAAGGTTTTTTGAGTGTGTTTTTTATAATAAATTTTTTTGAGGGGTTATTTTTTTTTGTTTTTTGAATTTTTTTTGTTGTCATGGTTTTTTCATATTTTTTTTCGTTTCATTTTTTTTTGTTTCCCTGGAAACGTTTGTGTATAATCACCATGGAAACAAGTTATTATTAAATGTGTGTTACGGTTTTCCATGGAAATAGGTTTTATTTTTAGCTCGAATCGGGGGTTGTGGACCCTTCGTGTCTTGAGATTATTCGTCGTACTGTCCAGCTGGAATTTGTTGGATAGGCTGGATTTAAAATTGCAAAAAAATAATAACCACCTGACTCGGGCCATGTCAAGTCTGCACCGTATCTTTTTAATCGCAACGTTGCTATGGAATTACTAAGAAACATTTTTTTGTGTCCTTATTTCCATGGAAACCTATTTTTTAATCACCATGGAAACCAAAAAATCACCATGGAAACCAGAATTCTCTATATCTCTCTCTCCCTCTAGATAAACTGCCCCCACTGTTCCCGGAGGTTCCCCTGGACGTCCTCCCTCCGTCGTCATCTCCTGACGCACACGGGTCAAAAACCGTTCCAGTGTTCGAAATGCCCCCTTTTGTTCACGACCAAGTCCAACTGCGATCGCCACTTGATAAGGAAACATTCCAAGGCGGACAATGATCACAGTGGGGCCGAGGACGAGGACGAGGAGGGGGTCGAGGGGGAGGAGGAGGAAGAGTCTTCGGAGGAGGAGGGGTTAATCCATTGTGGGAATAATAATAATGGGGGGAGTGGTGCAGGTGGGGTGGGGAATTGTGAGCCCATGTTTAGGTAATTATTATTATTATCGATTAATTTTAATTGGTAGAAATTATCGATTAAAAAATGTGAATTTTTTAAATGATTAAGTGAATTAATCGCCAATTTTAATCCAAAAATTACCGATTAATTATAACCAAAATTACCAATTAAAAAAATGTAGATGTCACATCTGCCACGACTCCACGACGATCCAATCCACGTCCCGAATGGAAATTTTAGTTCACATGGAAACTGAACATTTAGAAATTTACAATGAATTTAAAGAGAAGAATTTAATCTTGGTCGACGATGGGAGCGTTGAGGACGGGGACCAGGGCAACAGGAAGGTGCGTTGCAATTAAAAATAATCAGAGTTAATTGGTAATTAATTGGTAAATTTAATTATTACCAGGTGCTCTGCGTCTTCTGCCTCCGCCGGTTTTGGTCCGTCGAGGACTTGAGGAGGCACATTCGGTAATTTTGCTGGGGGGGGGGTTAATTTTTGGTGTGCTAATTTTTGTGCCAATTTTTGGCGTGCCAATTTTCGTGTCAATTTCTCTGCCAATTTTTATGCTAATTTCAGCACGCCAATTTTCATGCCAATTTTTGTGCCAATTTCATGCCAATTCCTCTGCCAATTTTTTAGCACGCCAAAAAACTCTTCCAATTTCCTCAGAATATTCCCAAATTACTAAAAAACCTCACAAATTTCCACAGGAGCCACACGGGGGAGCGTCCCTTTTCCTGCAAGTTTTGTTCCCGAAAGTTCACCCTGAAACATTCCATGATGCGTCACTTGAAAAAGCATGAAATTCTGTAAAATAAAAAGCGCCACCTCTGAGTAATAAACTGAGTAACTTTCATATGTCCGAGTTTTATTGTCTTTTCTTCTCTCCTGTCTCTACGCCGGATTTATTATTATTCTCAGAAAAAGCACCGAAAAAGCACCCACAAATTACTGAAAAACTAATAAAAAACCATCAAAAAAATGATGGACTCGGGGGGGAACACGAACCAGTTCATTGGTTCGAAAATCTCGCTTATCTCAAAGAGCGAGATTCGTTACGAGGGGATTTTGTACGCGCTGGATCTTCAAGAGGCTACGATTTCGTTGGCCAAGGGTGAGTTTTTTAATTGGTAATTGGTGATTATTAATTGGTGATTATTAATTGGTAATTAAATAGTGCGCTCATTTGGGACGGAGGACCGGCCGACCCCGCGCCCCGTCGCGGCGAAGGATGAAGTTTACGAATTTATCATTTTCCGGGGGTCGGACATCAAGGGGATCGATGTGATTGAACCACCCAAGGCGGAGCAGCAGGTGGAGGAGGAGGAGGAGGAAGAGTTTGAAGATCCCGCTATTGTCGGGCAGTCCGTGGGGTCGAGGGGGCAGGGGCAGCAGCAACAACAACCGGGGGGTCAAAGAGGGGGGCAGCAGCAACAACAACCACAACCACAACAACCAAGACAACAAAAACCTGGTGGTGGGGGTGGTCACGTGAAGGGTGGGTTTTTTTTTAATTTTTTTTTTGCGCGGATAAAATACTTATGTTTTTATTGCAGCGCCACAACCACACCCCCCGCAACAGCAACAACAACAACAACCACATCCCCATTCACAACCACCACCACAACAGAAATACGCTGCACCCCCACAACAACAACAACAACACCACCAACCTCAATACCGGAACTACTCCTCCCGTGGTCGCGGACAACCCCCCCAGAACAACTCTCAACAACCCCCCAATTATTACCGCGGCGGCGGTGGTCGCGGCGGAGTTGGGCGCTTTCCGGCCGCGCAGCAGAAACTGCAATTTGAGTCAGAGTTTGATTTTGAGAAGGCGAACGAGGAGTTGCAGAGCCAGTTGGCGCAGATCAAGTTGGTGGATGAGGAAAAAAAAGAGGCGGAGGCGGAGGGGGAGCGGGGGGACGGCGGGGGGGAGGTCGAGGAAGAGAAAATCTACTATCAGAAAGATAACTTTTTCGATAACATTTCATGCGAGGCGTTGGAAAGGGAAGGGGGCGGGCAGGGGGGTGGCGGAAGGTGGGTTGGTGGTTTTATGTGTTGGCATGGTTATCGTGGTTAATCGTGGGGTTTGGATTAAGATTGGTGATTAAAAATGTTAATCCCAATTAATCCAAGTTCCGCGGGTTGCCATGGTTACCAATTAAAATTAATAATTACTCTCCATAGACACCCCCGCCCGGACTGGCGCGCGGAGCGGAAACTGAACGCCGAGACCTTTGGAGTAACGAATTACCGTGGGAACGGTTATTACCGTGGTTACCGTGGCTACAACCGAGGATACAATTCCCGTGGTTACAACAATAATCGTGGAGGAGGTGGTTACTATAATAATCGTGGATATAATCGTGGATACAATTCCCGTGGTAACAATAATACGCGTGGTTATGGAAACAGCAGAGGCACTTCTCAAGTTGCCGATTAATTTCTCATTTTAGAAAACCAAATTTATTTCCATGGTTTCAAAAAATTTATAAATTTATAAAATTACGAGAGAGAGGAAAAAGGAATTAATCGATATCTTCATCATTAAATAAATCCTCGTCAATTTCCAAATTTTCAATCGGTAATATTTTTTCCATGGTTTCTTCAAAATCATAATTTTGATATTCTCCAAGAGTTATTTCCCTGTACTTTTTTTATAATAAATTAAAATTAATTACCAATTAAAAATAATTACCAATTAAAACTTACTTCATTTTCATCCTTTTCCTCTTCCCCCTCATCCGAATCACCATTATTTTCGTTGTTGTCATAGCAACCAATGACTTCATCCTCATCCTCCATGGCAACATCCATCGCTAATTCCGGATTAAACGTGAACATATCCCGGCCGGATAACTACATAAATTATAAATTAAATCCCGTTTCCATGGCAACCAAAAAAAATACGCACCCCCAATTTATTCCCCGCTTTGAAATCCCTCAATTTTTTGTCCGCTAATTTTTTCTCTTCGGATTTTTTCTCGATTAATTTCCGCTTTTTCCACGCCACAAAAGTTTCCATGGTTACTTTGGTTAGATTTTCTAAGGAATTTAATTTCCCACGCTCCTTTTCGATCCAGTCCTCGAGGGAGGTCTCGTTTTCTTTGTTTGCTTCCTTCATCGCTTTGAGGTCTTTCTTTAGGATGAAACCCGGGGGGAGGGCGTGCCGGTAGATGCACGCGGTGGAGGAGGGGCACTCCCAAAACCAGCCGTATTTTTGCTTTTCCACGGCTTCCAGGAAGTGTTTGCAGATCTGTGGATATTGAAAAATGGGGCATGGTGATTAAATTGTTGTCATGGTTATTTTAATTTAATTAATTTAATTTCCATGACAACAAAATCTTACAATTTCCGTCTTGGTCCCCTCCTGCGCGCCGTGCTTCTTCTCCACGACGTCCTTCAATTTATCGTCGTCCCACGTGTCCATCGTGTCCTAAATAAAAATTTAAAAAATCAGTTTCCATGGCAACCAAAATTTACAACTACGCACCTCCTCCCTCAAATCACAATAGAGCGACCGCTTCTCGGCCTTCCTCTCGATGGTCAAATCATGGGAAAACTTGCACTTGTCCCCCTTGGCGCACTGGCCCTGCTTGAAAAATGCGCACAGGATCGACTTTGGGTCCGCTCCTGAAAAATGGAATTAAAAATTAGTGATTTTTTCTTAGGTGCGAATAATTCTACTTTACCCTTTTCCACTTTTTGGACCGGTTTGAAAATTCCCGTGAGGAGCGGATCGTCGGCTGGTTTCTTTTTGTCGTCGACTTTGGAGGCGAGCAATTTGGCGGATGGGTTGTTGCCGAATTTGACTTGTTTTTCAACTTGTTGGATAAATTTCTGCTGTTTCGCCCCTTTTTTGTTTTTTAGGCCGAAGGTTTTGTCCTATGGGGATTTTTATTTAGGGATTTTTTTTTGGTTGTCATGGCAACGGAAATAAATTTTTTTAATTTATTACCTCGATGACCTTCTCCTTCTTTTTGGCCTCTGTTTTTTTGGAGGGGCCCCCTTTTTGACCCCCACCCGCGGAGGAGGAAGGTTTGGGGGGCATTTTTTATGTGGATTTTTTTTAAGTCGTTTGGATTATTAAAAAAAATTTAAAGGTTGCCACCATGAAATCACGTGATTTTTTAAAACTCGAATTAAAAATTTCAAACAATTTAATTAAAAAATCAATTTCCAAGGAAACGTGAAAAATAATTTCCAGACGACGGTGAAATTCAAAAACCCCGCGCGAGATGGCGCTGTTGCTGAGGAAATTTCACTCGCCTTTCGTTTTTCTCGTATTTCTCGTCGCTCATCTGGTCGCTCCAATTCTCTTAAATAAATAAAATAATATAAAATTAATTAAAGAAAAATGTTCCACCCTCCTCCCACGACGACGAATGGGAATCACCATGGCAACACTTATTCTCAGGACCCCGTGCAGGTAATAAGAAATTATTTCACTGCAATATCACTAACAATTAATAATACCAATTTTAAAAAACTCCACCGTTCCCTAGGCAACCATCTGGCACTGTTTGAACAATTACGCCTACGCCGATGCCATTTTCCTCGCAGAAAGATTGTTTTATTCCGGTAATTTTACTTTTTTCTAAAAAAAATCATCATGGCAACTAATAATTTTAAAAAAATTCGCAGACCTACCCCCCGAGGGCTCCCCTGACACGCCCTCCATCCGGCTCCACCTCCTGGCAACGGCCTACTACCGCTCAAACGACAAACTCCAATGTTACGAGTTGCTAAGGAACCACTACAAATCCGTTGCTAACCTCAATCACAAGTGCAAATTTCTCCTAGCAACCGTTTCCTTTGAATTGGGGAGGTTGGTTACTAATTTTTATGGTTTCCATGGCAACTGAAATAATAAAAATAAAATCCTGTAGAACCACCACGGCGGAGACGACCCTCTTGACCCCGCCCACTTTGTACACCAAAGCCACGCCCCCTTTGGATTTTATAGAGAAAAATTACTACGAGTGTGCTTGTTTCGCGTTGAAATTATATGGGAAAATCTGCATGGCAACGGAACGGATGGCCGTTGCTAAGGAAGCATATTCTCGAGCGTTGAAATTAAATCCGTTCTTGTTCGAGGCGTTCGAAAATGTTGTCAAAATGGGGTTTTCTAATGGGAATAACAAAGAGAATAAAGAAAACCCGGGGGAGTTTATCGAGAGGGTTTTTCAGGTGGGTCACTATTTTTTTGTTGCCATGACAACGGGGAAATTAATTTTTTTTTATTTCCATAGACCACCCATCTCCATGACAACGCGTTGTCACTAAATTGCCATGGAATTTATATTGAGGAAAAAACGCAGTTGGAAAATAACAAAGCAGGGATTTTAATCAATAGAAACACTAAAAACAATAATAACAACAATCGTTGCCATAGAAACCTGTTCACCTCAACGCCAAATAGTCATTATTTCGGGTGAGTTTTTATCTTTAAATTTAATTTTAAACCTCACCTAGCAACCAATTTTTTTTATAACCAACTGCAGAACCCATCTAAACCCCCTAACAACCCCCCCAAACAATAACCACACCCCCTCCTCATTCCTGCCCTCCTCCCTCCACACCCTCCAACCACACCCCCAGCAGGACACGACAACTTTAATAAGTCCGATAATCACCATGGAAACCACTCCCCTTGGCAACAATTCAATCGAGCCAAAGCCAAAAAAGGTGACTTTTTTACTGATTAAAAATTAATTAATTTTATAAATAATTAAATTTTGTTAATTAAAAAAAGCCTTGTTTACGAACTGTTTCATCTCCACAACAACAACCGCAACCACAACAACAACAATTGTCATGGCAACAACAGTCGCAACAACAACAACAACAACAAACTGTTAGGAGGAGTTCCAGGTTGTTTGGGGGCATGGGGGGGCAGCAAAGTGGGGTGGGGTCAGTGGGGTCACAGATGAGTGGGGGTGGTGGGGGTGGTGGGGGTGTGGGTGGGACGGGTGGGGTGGAGGATTTGGTGGGGAGTAATAAGAAACAGCAGAGTTTGAAGGTATGAAACTATTTTTGGGAGATTATTTTTTTGGTTGCCATGGAAATTAATTTTTATTTTCTTAAAAAAATAGGAAAACACCAAAGAGCAAGCCCCCCAGAAAAATAAATTCCGAAAAAAAGTCGTCATAGAAATGGATCGGTCTTCGTTAGGTAATTTTTTTATAAAATGGTAACCATGGCAACCAATAAATCTAAATTTAAATCCTTATAGACACCCTCCTCTTGACGATCCACCCCCTCGCCATGGCAACCTACTACCTAACCCGTTACGACTGCAAGAAAACCCTGGAAACCATAGCAACGCTAAAACCCAGCCAAAGCTCCACCCCTTTCGCCCTAGCAACCGTTGCCAGGGCCCAGTTCGAAATGGGGGATTACGAGGCGGCCATCGGGTAATTTTTACTGTTTTATAAAAATAATTGTAACCATGGCAACAAACTTAAATCACCATGACAACCCTACAGAACCTACACCACCCTCCGCACTACAAACCCCTTCTCGCCCTCACTCACCTACCTCTCCAGCTCCCTCTGGCACACCTCCATGGAAACCCAGCTCTCCTCCCTCAGCCAAGAATTCCTCTCCCACCCCTCGAACAAGACCACGCCCACCACCTGGCTCACCCTTGGCAACACGTTTTCCCTCCAAAAAGAGCACGAGACCGCGATCAAATTTTTCAAGCGCGCGATTCAAATCGACCCGGGCGCTTATTACGCGTACATCCTGTTGGGTCATGAATACGTCGCGACGGACGAGTTGGATAAAGCCTTAAGGTGTTTCCGAACAGCGTCACGGATCGACGCGAGCCAATACAATTGTTGGTACGGGATCGGGATGATTTATTATAAACAGGAGAGGTTCGAGGAGGCTAGTGTTTATTACGAGAGGGCGAGTAGGGTTAACAGGGGGAATGTCGTTTTACTTTGTCATCTGGGGGTGGTAAGCAGTTACTGATTTATTATTTTGGTTGCCATGGTTACGATATTATTATTTTCTGCAGGTCCAAAGCGCGCTAAACCAGAACGAAAAATCCCTCGCGACATTCAACCGCGCGCTGCAACAATCTCCAGGCGACGCGCTTTGTAAATTCCACCGCGCGAGCGTTTTATTCGCTGGCGGGAAATTAGAAGAGAGTTTAAAAGAATTGGAAGAATTAAAAAGGATCGTTCCCAAGGAGAGTTTAGTCCATTTTTTAATCGCCAAGGTGAGTTTTTTTTAAAGTTACCATGGAAATTTATTTAAATCACCATGACAACAAATAACCACACCCCCTTTTATCCAAAAGATCCACTCAAAACGGGGCTCCACCCACAAAGCGCTTTTGCATTTCTCCTGGGCCACGGACCTGGACCCCAAAGGAGCCAACAACCATATAAAAGAATCCATCGAGCCCGTTTTGAACAACTCCTCATCGGACTCCCCTGAAGACGACGAAGAGGAGGAGCCACACCCCCACGAGCTCCCTCCCCCAACAACAGCCACGCCCACATTGGAAGAGGAAAATTTATAACACGAGAAACGAGAGACTAAATCCTGCCCACCGGGAGTCCAAAGGAGAAAGTTCTCCTCGCTTGAGATTCGCGGAGGGAAATTTGAAAAATTTAGTGAATAATAAAAACTTGTTAAAATTAATCTGTGTCTTTTGGTAAATAAATAAATTTAATTGAGAAACTATGGAAACGAATGGGAGTAAATTTAATAGGAAAAAAAGCAGTAATAGTTTGGAGGATGAGTTGATTGATGAGGAGGAGGAGTTTAGAGAAGATCCAGAGGGGGTGGAGTTTGAGGATGGAGAGGAGGAGTTTTCTTCAGGTGGGTGTGGTGAAGAGTTGTTATGGTTATTTTGTGGTAATTGTTTAATTGGTTGCTATAGAAACCAAGGATACAATGGGGGCGAAGGATGAGGAGCAGTTGTTGGAGGATTCCGAAGCCATGGAGGACTCGGTAAATTAATCATTATTAATTGGAAATAATCGCGATTAATTAATTATAATTAAAAATGCCAATTAAAAATACCAATTAAAGGAGCTGGAAGCGATAAAGGCCCGCGTCCGTGAGATGGAAGAAGAGGCCGAAAAGTTAAAACAGCTCCAAACCGAGGTCGATCGGCAGATGAGCATTGGTAATTTTTTAATTAATTTTCCGTTACCATGACAACCAAAAAAAATAAAATAAAAATCCGCAGGGCACTCCCCCCTAAACTCCTCCCGGCTGTCCACGTCCTCGACGTCGACGACGACACCGAACGCGGGTGGGGGTTCGTCGGACACGTTGTCGTTGGAGGAGAAAATGGAGGTGGACGCGCGGTCGGTTTATGTGGGGAACGTGGACTACGGGGCGACGGCGGAGGAGCTGGAACAGCATTTCCATGGCTGCGGGAGTATTAATAGGGTCACCATTTTGTGTAATAAATATGATGGGCATCCAAAGGGGTGAGTGGGTGGTTTCCTTGGGGGTGGATTTTTGGTTCCATGGCAACCTAATTATATTTCCATGACAACGAATAATTGTTTGATTTATAGTTTCGGCTACATAGAGTTCACGGACCGGGAGAGCGTCAACACGGCCATGGCCATGGACGAGAGTTTATTCAGAGCCAGGCAGATTAAGGTCCGTTGCCATGGTGACCATTATTTATTTTTTCATTGTTGTTATGGTAATTAAAATTTAATAAATAGGTGATGCCCAAGCGCACCAACCGCCCGGGCCTGTGTCGGACGGACCGCCCCCCCAGTTTCCGCGGGGCGGGGGGTGGTCCAATGCGCGGAAGGGGGGGTTTTCGAGGCAGGGGCCGGTTCAACTCGAGGTTTCCAAGGTGATTTTTTTTAATTTTTAGTAATTATTTCCATGGCAACTAATTAAAATAATTTGTAAACAAATTGCAGACGCGGCGGTGGTTTCCGTGGTGGTAGCGCAAGAGGAAATTATTTCTCACCTTATTAATTATCTCGTTTTAAATAAAAATTCGTTGCTATGGGGATTTTTTATCTTTAAAAATTGTTAATAAAAATTTATGTGTCTCAATTCGCCCCGTCTCATTTTGCCTCTGGAAAACCAACCCCGGATCATCCCTTCTCGGTTTCTCACCGTGCCCCGCCAGGTTTCCATGGTTTTTTAGGGTATTTATTGGCACACCCACTAGTCACACCCACTCTGGTTTTTATGCACCCCCTTTTAAATTCCCATATGACCACACCCCCGGCGGGAACTTTAAACAACCGCGCCCCCTGAAAAACCACACCCCCAAGATACCCAAAAAACCCCCCATGTAAAAAAACCACACCCCCTCTGGAAAAATTCTCTCCAAAAACTTTCTCCAAAACTTTCTCCAGGAAAACTTTCTCTCCAGCTACAAAAACTTTCTCCAGCAACAAAATTTCTCCAGCGAAACTTTTCTCTTTCCAGCAAAACTTTGGGTTCAGTTCCAATCTGCTTTCACTCCACGAATCACCTCCAAATCCACGTTCCGAAATTCGGGTTTTTTCATACGTTCGGAATTGTGTGTGTGAGGGAAAAAAGGGCGTGGTTTTTTGGATTTTAATTGTTTCCGTGGTTACGGAAATTAATTAATTGTTAAAAATTTCCATGACAACTGTTTTTCATTTTTTAATTTAAAAAACTTTCCCTAACAACAAATTAACTATTAAAATAAACTTTTAAACAAAGAAAATTTAAAAAAAAATCACCATGACGACGAAAAATCAAAATTTTCCATAAATCTCACATTCCCCCTTTAGAAAAATGCACCACCACTTGCGCCACCCCCTCCTCCCACTGCATCACCCCACCTCAACCCCACCCCCTCTGCCACTCCCACCACCCACCTCCCTCCCCCCACCCCCACCCACCCTCCAATCCTCCCCCCACAACAACAATCAACAATCCCGCATAAAAAACAACGTTTATTAGCGACGAGTTTCCATGGAAAAAAAGAAGAATCCACGTTGGAGTTCGATAACGACACGAATAACAATTTTGAAGAGAGTGGGCCCAAGGAATACTTGAATTTAGATGGGCAGCAGTGGAATAATGGTAAAATTACCATTTTGTTTTGGTTGCCATGGTTACTTTTAAGAATTAATTTTTTTTAGCCCCCCGCCGCTCGAGCCCCACCCCCTCAAACTGCTCCTCAACGACAAACTCTTCAAACCACACCCACTCCTCAACGAATAGTCAAGCAAAGTGCCCCACCCCAGGTAGTTTTAATTTATTTCTTTTACTAAAAATAAATAAATCACCATGGTTATTTAAAAAAAAAGGCTGCACGGGGGCGGGTCACGTGACGGGTCTATATTCCCACCACCGTTCGTTGTCAGGGTGTCCGAGGAAGGATAAGCTCGCCCCGGAAAGTTAGTCACTTTTACTATAATTCGGTTGCCATGGAAACTAAAATCTCACCTTGCCCCCCCTTTAGTCCTGGCCCTGCATGAGACAATCTTGAAATGCCCGACGAGTGGTTGCACGGGTCGGGGGCACGTCAACTCCAACCGGAACACGCACCGCTCGCTCTCCGGATGCCCCATCGCCCATGGCTCCGGGGCTTTCGTTAAGGGTACAGCAATCACTTTTTTATTTTTTTATGGTTACCATGGTTACCATTTCCATGGTTATTTAGGTAAAGATGACTACGAGGACTCCTCCCCTCACTCGAATGAACAGAGTATGGTCTCACTTTTCCCCCCGTTGTTGTTGCTGCCGGAATATAATAATGTTACCACGACAACGGGGACGCCTCCTCCGACGACGGTGGTGCAGCAACCACACCCCCTGCAGAAGGATAACATTTTGAATTTGAGCGTGAAGCAGATGATGGCCAGTGGGGGTGTCAGTGGGAGTGGTGGGGGTGGTGCTGAGGGGATAATGGATCTGAGCTATGTTCGAAACTCACCCCATGATTTGAGCTGTCCGAGTAAAGAACAAACAGAGGCTTTGGATTTCTCTTACTTTCAAAATCAACAACAACAACAACAACAGCAGCAACAACAACAGGGGGGAGGGGGGAGTGGTGGGGGGGTGGGAGTGGTTCGAGTGGGTGGATCCGTCGGGAACATTGTGAGTTTTTTTTAAAAATTAAATATATTTCCATGGTGATAATAATATTCTATCTTTTATAGCCACCCCCCGCTACGACCCCAGCCACACCCATAGCCACACCCCTCGCTATGACACCCACCACCACACCCACAACCACAACCACCACCCCCCACCACCAAATAATCAATATTATTACCAAGATTATTATGCCCAAAATTACTATAACAACAACATTCCACCCTTGTCACACCCTCCGTTGCCACAGCAACAACAACAACAACCACCCACAACAACAACAACATCGACCCAGGGGAATTACTACATTTACCCACCCCCACCACACCCACAACAACAGTTGATGATGAGCAGTGGGGGTGGTTTGAGTGGGGGTGGGGAATTTCAGGATCGCAACGGGAGTCCTAAAATTTATTCCCCCGTGGTTACCACGACAACGGCTTCCACCCCGAGGAGCAATTCCAGGGGGAGGGATGGGAAGGATCTCATTCAGTGCCCCACCCCCGGGTATGGAAACAATTTTTTCATGGTTGCCATGGGATTAATTAGTTTCTGTTTCTTAGGTGCGACGGGATGGGGCACGTTTCCGGTAACTATGCGACGCACAGGAGGTAATTTATTATTTTAATCACCATGGCAACCGATTAAAAAATAAAATAAAATTTCAGTCTCTCGGGCTGCCCCCGCGCGAACAAACCGAAATCGAAACCTCGTGAGGGGCCTGAGGCGGAGCCCCTGCGGTGTCCAATTCCGGGCTGCGATGGCTCGGGCCACGCGACGGGAAAGTTCTTATCTCACCGGTCTGCGAGTGGATGTCCGATTGCGAATCGGGCCAAGCGACAAACGGGGGGCGAGCAGGAGGGGAAATTATTCATGCAGTCGGATGGGGGGAATTTCGATTTTTCAGGGGAGCAGAAGGTGATTTTTAAAATATTGTTGTTGCCATGGCAACTGTTTAAAATTGCATTTCCATGGCAACCAATAAATATTAAAAAAAATACATTTCCATGACAACTAACCTCCCAAAATTATTCCCCACAGCTCCACCACTACACCTCCCCCCCCTCGACCTCGGCCACCCCCCACACCCCGACCCCCACGACGACGAACGATGACGACTACGCCGAGAAGGATAATAAACGTTACTATAACAACATTATACGAAACATGTCTTTATTAGAGAGGCAGCAACCACCGCCGCCCCCACCCCCACCACACCCACCGCAGCAACCACACCCACACCAACAACAGCAACAATTTGGGTACAATTATTATTACGAAGGGTACGAGTTTGATTATCTGGGGAAGCTCCAGCAGTTGTCAGGGGGGCAGCAGCAAAATAGTGGTAGTCATGGCAACAGGGGGGATTAATTGTGTGTGTGTAAATTTGTGTGTAAATAAATGAATTTTTTTCTTGGGAAATTTGAGATTTTTTTGGGGCAGGTTGAGATTTGGGGCGGGGTGAGATTGAGATTGAGACGGAAGGGTGGCCCGGTGGCCGGCGTCGCAGGTTTCCCATGCGGAATCGTGTGGACGACACATGGGTTGTCATGGAAATTCATGGGAATTCATGGAGATTTTTTAAAAAGTTTTTTATGACGGGAGTTCTTAGTCACGTGCAAATTTTTTAGCTAATTTTTTTGTTGGCGAGTTAATTCCCATGGTTACGCATTTCACGCATTCCATTTCACACCGCACACATCATCAACCTTCATGTAATTCCATGGAAACACACCCGCAACTCCATGTAATTTCATGTAATTCCACCTCGACATTTCACACAAATAAATACACAATTCCATGGAAACATGAATAACTTTCCCCTTTGAGAGAAATCCCCCCGTATTTCCTCCCCAGAGATGGCCTCAGCCGTTTCTCTCTCCGGAATCCCCTCTCGCTGATGTGAAAGTGGGACCGTAGGTGGCGGTGAAAGTGGGGAAAAGAGAAAGTGGGGAAAGGAGGAAATAATCAGAGAAAGAGAGAAAAATGGGGGGATTCACGTCGAACATTTAATGAAAATCACGTGAATTTTGGGGCGTCTGAGAAGTTTCCAAACGTTGTAATAAATAACTTGTGGCTCGTATTTCTCCTGTAATTGATGTGATTCGTTGTCCAATATGTTGAATTAGTTTAATTCCATCTTCACCCCAAACTCCAATTGTTTCAGCAGCCACCGGGATGAAAATGAAACGATCCTCTAAGAAAGAGTATAGTGTCTTCTTCTTTTTCTCACAATGCGATGGTGTGAAGCGTAACCCTCCGATTTGGCTGAAATTTTAAAATTAGGTGGTCCAAGCCAATACAACTAACGTTTCTTCCATTCTCTTCCCCTGCGAGGGGAAGAGAATGGAAGTGGAGTTTTCTCACTCCGCCTGAAAAAAGTCGGCCGTTTTTTGAACTTTGACCTCAAATATTTTGAGTAACTCACACCATCGCACAAACTGCCTGAAGATAGTTGTATTGGCTTGGACCACCTAATTTTAAAATTTCAGCCAAATCGGAGGGTTGCACTTCACACCATCGCATTGTCAGCTAACACGGCCGCAGCCCCAGGATGACCGGACGTGGAGGAGAGGAACGATGGGGCAAAGGTATCGACGCACGTGAAGTCCCAGACTAAAGCTTTTCCCCTTGACCATGGAATAAGTGTCATCCCATCAGCTCGTTTTCCGTCAGTTCGGCAGCATCCCACTGGCTCTCTTATTGAGGGGACTTCTGCGGTACGAAGGGCACGGGAAATGACATCATTTGCGGCACTGTGTCTTGACCACCGCCCAGCGCTCTTTCTGCACGATAGACCATGATAACCACTTGAGGATACTTCGGCTCCACAGATACATTTATGTGGTTGGCAAATTGCACAGCCGAGTCTGAGTGCGATGGCCACACGAAATTCTTCGTTAGAGAGGTGGTTTCCAAGTTGTGGTGCAGGGATTGCGTTCAGCCAGGCTCCAACGTATGGTCTGTCTAGAGCAAGTAGACGAGCTTTATCTTGCGGTGTGCTGATGTTATCAAGAAGTGTCTTCTGGCGATGTTCGATTAAAGGAGCCTCCCAAATAGCTTGTTTTCCTCGCAATTCGGGTAGTGGTAGTTGGCGATAATCTGCGGACCAGAGCTCTTCACCTTCTGATATGGCGTCATCTTGGTCACGTATGTAGTCCGGAAGGAGGGACTCGAGATGTGGCAAACAGCTATGAGCGGACGCAAGAAAGCACGGAATCGCCGTGCTCACAGCATGTCTGGTTCCCAAACCTCCCTTACTGACTGGAAGAGACGACTGTATCCAAGACTCTGGGGATAGAAAACAGTTAGTGATTCCTTCCAAGACCAACTTGAGGGTGTTATCGTAAGCCAAAAGAGAGGCATATCATCAAGATACTTTGTTTTAAGCTACAAGATACAAGATAAAGATACTTTTGGAAAAATTCCAAGATACTAGATACAAGATACTTTATTCTCTGTTTTTGCCAAGATACTTAGATACTAAGTAAAAGATACTTTTTAGTATTTGTTAAGATACAAGATAAGATAAAGTATCTTAAATATTTAACAAGATACAAGATACTTTTGATTTTTTTTAAGATTGAAAAAAGCTAAAATTAAAGTATCTATCTTGCCCAAGCCTGCAAAGGAGTTGGACCTGGACGCTCTAATGTTCCATATTTAACCAAAATGGACATTACCCAAAATTACCACTTTTTTATTAAGGGGTGTGAGATTTTGTCTATATATGAATTCGAGAATTTAACCATAATAAAAAAATGCAATTGACATAAAACGTGGAAATGTAGACAAGAATTTTTGCCAATTCCAAGATCGTATTTTATTAAAGCAGAAAAATATATCTCCAACTCATATTAAAATTTCCGGGTAATAAATACTCTCTCTCTCTCCTTCTTAACTCTTATCTTAGTAAACCATTCCATACGGTAAAATTGCACGATTAACTGACATCGTATGGGCGGTGCCCCATAGAAAAAAAAAATTTTCATTTTCAAATCTTTGGGCCCAAAGTCCCCTTGTCGGGCCCAACGACTTTAACCTTTAATAACTTTTGAACAGGCAGACATAGAGACTTGATTCCTGAGGAGGAAATCATCCTAATTTTTAGCTTGATTTTTTAAGCTAAAAATCTCGAGTGTACTATTTCGATAGCTAAAACGTTTATTTTGAAGAATATCTCCAGAATATAAGTTTTTCAGCCAATTCTTATCTCACAAAATTTTATAATATGCCAAACTGATCGTATGATCTAGACCGATCGATTGACACCCCACTGGAGGGTGTGGGATCACTTGACCCGGATTTGACATAGGGGGTCATCTCAATCTTCCAACTTAGCAACGGTCCACTCACACTATTTTTTCAGTACATAATAATTAAAATTTAATTTCTTCAAAAATGAAAATTTGTGTCGTAACATGTATAGAATGATAAGTGTCAAATAATATTGGTAAAATTGTATTAAATTCATCATGCGAACCGTGCACGTGTATCGCGATGAAGTCATTAGAAGAAAATGCGGAAATATATAAAAGGAATTCCTCGCCCAATTCAATTCACGTGCTCGAATGGCCACCAATTTAAAAAAAAACCGTTTCATTCCAATGCATTTCTTGCCTCACCAATTTTCGCACCAGAAATATTTGCAAAAGTTCCCTGACTCGAATGCTTCACTTTTAACAGCAACTTTTGAGATCATCTAAAGGAAATTTTACCTGGGTTTTATTAAAGGAAGTGTTTGGACGTAAAAAGGATTTGTAAAAAAGTAAAGACTTTTCAGTGACAAATTTTCATTTGCACTTTTGAATGAAATGTTGAATAAAAAAGAAGTTCATGTCGTGGAGGTATTATTGTTGCGAAATGTGTCCAAGTGCATGCAGTGAAGAGAGAAACTCTCCTTGATACATGACTTTATTTAATTCCATTTTGTGTGCAAATTCCCGACCACAAATTTTATTGCTAAATATCTTTAAAACCACGGGTATTTCATCACTCTTTCTCTTTATCAAATTTATAATTTCTGATAAAAATACTTCCACGACAAAGTTAAAGAAAGAGAGAGACGCGTGTTAAGTGGATTTGCCTAAATCCCGTGCAAGTTTCTTATAGTTTGTATGCGCAAATCTTTTTCTCTTGCATGGAAATTTTTCTAAAGAATAATTCGCAAAATTGCTGAAGTGATAATCAGTTTTACAAGCTAAACCTAAGGATTTCTTAGGTGAGACGACTGAGTTAGTAATTAAAAGGATGGAATAACCTCCTCCCACACACTGGAGAGAAGGTTTTGGTAAAATGAGACATAAGCCCAAAGAATAAACCGCTACGAAATTGACTGATTCTTTTATAAAAACTTAGGTGAGGCTCCCTGGAAAACAAATTAAATTCATCCGATTTCTCCGTTGGTATTAATCCCCAATTTTTGCCAATGACGATCACCGGATTCATAAAATAAAAGCACACATGCAAAAATATCCTGATTAAACATCTCTCTCTCTAAAACATCCCTTCCCAACCCTGTTTTACTTTACTCCCCATCCTCTCTAAATAAAATCCCCTCCTCTCTCTACAGAATCTTCCTTCCTTCTCCAACTCTTCTTCTCTCTTCTCTCTCCACATCTCTCTGCCTCTCTGTCTGCCACATCTCTCTCCAACTCCAACAATTCCGCACTCGCCCAGCACACTCCCCCCAAAAAAAGCCATGTATGCCCACAGGGTTGTTGCATAGCATCGATTTTTACTCTCGCAGAGGGGGCGTCCATTTTTTTGCTATCCACTAGAAATCTCGGCAGGAAAAGTGTTTTTGAAATTTTCAAGAAATCTATCTTCAAAACTTCAAAAGTGGACTTGAAATTTCTCGCCCCCTCCACAAACGCCCTTTTTTTGAGGGATCGAGTCAGCTAGATTCTGGCACTGCCTTGAGGGGATGTGGCCGTATTATTATTATAAAAGAGCGAGAGAGGAGAGGAGAGAGAGAAAAAATTGAGACTGTGGAATGTATGCGATTCTTTTATTCTAACAATTTTTGTGAATTTTTTGAGTTTTATAATTCGGAAATTTTATGATGAGTGGATTTGGTGTGGATTTTTGGGAGAGATTTCTGGGAGAATTTGGTAAAAATGGGTAGAAAAATTCCTCCTTCCACGCCCCTCGCAATCAGCATTCTTCACTTTTTTTTATTGAAGGCTGCTGCTGGTCGGAGTTGGGTTGGCAGTGTGTGTGTGTAATTTTTTGAGGTTATTTTACTAGTCTCAGGGGCCCGTGGAGTTTAGTAGTGGGTTTTGAGGGATTTTGTGAGATTACAATTTTTTAAATTGTTGTATCAAGTAGTTTGAGTCTAAAAATCTACAGTACAAAAGTACAATATTTTACTAACAGTGCAGTATGGTCGTAGGAATTATACAATTTTGACAAGGTTTTCAAATTTATGGATCCATGTCC